GGTGGGGGAGGGAATGGTGGCTTAGGGTTGTTAGAGATGGGTCGGGAAGGAAGGAGAGAGAAGGAGAGAGTTTTTTAATTTAATTTTATTATTATTTTACTTTATTATTTTGTTTTAAAAAGATTTAAAAGTAAAAATTAACTATGGTTATCTCACGAACATGTGTCAATTTTCTCGTGCTCATCTTGGTTAGGCAAGGCCCTGCCTAGAAGTAAAAAGTGGTACGACAAAAGATTATGATGAAATGTAAAATCTTGTGCTTATTTGCTACTATTCCTCGGTAAGAAATTATAACATACTACGGTAGTATAATCAAGTAGTATATTTTGTACACGTGCTATAATATAGATAAATGATATTGTTTATTTTCTCCTTTTTTAGGGAATGATATCAATATATTTAAAACACGTATACAAAATGTATCGCGTGATCATACTGCTGTAGTTTTCTATAATTGACACAATAATTATTATTAAAAACTGCTTGCCTAAACTGCAACAATTGGACATGGTGTTATTCTCACGCAATATTTTTTTAGTTGCTGACAAATAAAATTGATTTAGTAATGTAGGGTAAGATACGAAACTTTTCTACAGTGAATTTTTTATATGTACTTTTTTTTCCTCTTTTGATTGGCATAAATTCCGCGATAGTTGAGTTGAGGACAACTAAGCTCTTTTTTTTTCTCTTCATGATTTGCCATGACTTTTCTTTCTTTATTGAGCTTTTGATGGCAAACAATGTATAAAGCTCCAAATGCTAAAGAGCAATTAGAGATTAGAGATGCCAATGACTAGGGCGGCCAGGCCCCTATTTGTATGCTCTTTAACACGTGATATATGCTAAAAGATAACTATGATCAAGAATGAAGAAAATGACTGTTCATCAACTTTTTCTTTCTTTCTTTTTCCCAAAACCCAAAACCTTTTATTACTTTTATTTTATCCATGGTATCAAAATCTAACTCGATGAAGGTCGGGCTGCTTTTCATAAGCCCTCCTTTAGAACTACCGATTTTGAGTTAGCTTAATTTATAGAATGATTAATTAAAAGCCCTTCACAGCATCTGTGTTTGATCAAAGATAAACTTCAACGTTACAATAAAGCACATCAACAAGACATCAAAAGTATCAATCTCTAGAAAGCAACAAATAACATGTTAAAACGGACAAAAGCCGCACTAAAACTACTCCAACATAACCTAAATCCTAAAGCAACCTATGAGTCTAAACGAACCATACCACCACCACCTGAAGAAGTGCTGTCACGGCCACACCCTCCACCGCATCCAAAAAAGATTTAGAAAAAACATAATTCAGCGATTTACATGGTTACACAGTATCCGTGTTGTCCTAGTATTAACAATTTGTGTACTCGAATCATCACAAATCATAATCACGTCGTGTTTTATTTTTAATGATAGCTAAGCACACCCTGATCATAATCTTTGTTTAATGTGTGAAAAAACGCATGATGTTTAAGCTTAATCGGTGTAGTGTAATTAACAATTTGGCAAGGGGTGTCGTGTCGGCAAGGAATCAAAATGTTTTAAACTATATTTTGGTTGCATCCAGCTTAGACGACCCACGCATAAAAGAGAACTTTGCATTATTATATGAAATTGTATTTCGAGTACATTTCACCATCTTATACCAAAAAACTGAGACAACTACATAAATATGAAAAAGACAAATATACTATTTTTTCTTTAATTTTTCATAGATTTAAAGGCAATATATATACGAATTGAAAAAATACTAAATTATTTATACGGATAATAACTCTAAAATAAGTGAATGTTTAATTTTAAAATAAAACGGGAACCAATTTTTGGAATTGAAATAAATTTCTGTTATGTAATAATAATATTGTAAGTTGTAGTGCAATAAGCGACAAATAAGTTTGATAAAATAACAATTTTAATCAGGCCTAATTTTGACCAATAGTGCTAATTTTAGTTTTCCTACAAAATATATATGTAATAGATGCATGTGATATGACAGTTACATATACTCTGTCAGATCTTCCATTTGGGGGATTCAGATGCTGGAAGAAATCTAATATAATATCATTAAAAAATTTAGTTGGTTAATGATTTTCGAGTTGAGTGATAGCTACTAATTCGAGTTAATTAAGAATGGCTCCTAGTCCTCGCATAAAAAGTCCTACATTGAAAAATTAACAAAATAAATACAATATATTATGAGTGGTTCCATTATTTATTTCACCGAAACTTTTTGTGATAAAATCTCACATCTACTGGCCTTTATATGTGGTTAAATTGGGAACAATATCGGTATTACTAGTAGTGAGGGAATCAATGGACTTAAAAATTTTAAATTGTTTGATGGTGGAATTGAACTCCTCAAATAAGCTCCTCACTCTAAACTCCTCATTATAAAAGCTCCTAAGATGGACAATTTTCCCATTGAAGAAGACATCTACTTATGAAAAGAAAATAAAGAAACGAAGAAGGGATGGGTTTACATATACATGAGCATTTTTTGTTTACTATTTTAATCCAATGTGTATTCTCACCATCATCTTTCTTAATACTTGATACATATCCATAAACGTAATAATAGTTAACTTTAAAAGTTGAGAGAAAAATATTTCCTTATCTACCTACCAAGGCTTTGACAATCTATAAAAAAATTGGTTAAAAAATATTATCATCTTTACGATTAAAACAATGAGATTGGGAGGACCATTCCCAGCTGTATGTTTTAAGTTAGAGATGCAATAGTAATAGCTTCCAAGGACAGTTGTCCCCCCTATTGCACCCAATCGATCTGTTTGTTTTTCAGTCTTTAATTTTGACAACTAGAAACTGAATGCCAAATCAATTACAAATTAATTCTCAGTGGATGTTTGAAAAGTCTACACACCTTTCCACGGATAAGTAAAAATATCATATACACTACACTGTAAAGCACACAAGTTGACCTACAAGTGGAGAAAATCTATTGGACCAGTACTTAAATTATATTTTTATATACATTAATAATTAGTTTTTAAACTCATAACCTTTTTGTAATACAAGCGATAAGGAAGAAGAATCGAACCTATAATCGGGTACACGGATAAATGCTCTTCATCAAATAAGCTACAAATCCCTTGCTCAAGTGATATAATTTGTGTAGACTTGTAACAACATATATATGTTTCCAAGAGTTGAGAAAGCCATCAGCATGAAAATTCTTGTTAACCTGTGTGAGGCTACAAATAACAACAACAAAAATTTCCTGAAAGGGATTTTTCCTTTTCTTTTTTGCCAACAAATGCAATAAGTAGTCTTCTAGCTAGCATGTTATTGTCTTGTTTCTTTCTTTTGTTGAATTAATTTTGTCTTTGCTTAAGAGAGGACAAGAAAGAAAATGAGGCATGAGAGAAAAAGAAAATGAGATGGCAGAGATTCATGTACTACATGCATGCATCTCGTCCCACTCAACTATACATATCTAACTTTAATATAAGCGATATTGACCGAGAGGAGAATTGAGCCTAAGAAGTTAATGTAAATACTTTTAACTATATGAGTTACAACTGCCTCGCTCTTCCGGTTAGTTAATTATATATAACAATACTCACTAATGTATGAATTGGGACCTAGATTAAGAAAATCCTCCATCCAAAGCACACATACTTTGTAAACCCAACTTCATGTAAAAGACAAGGAGGTTAGTGGCATAGGGACCAAAAGTTTGTACATGTACAAAGGGCCAAGAGCCAAAGAGATGAGGCTTTAATCTTATCCGTGTCAAAAGACTTGTAACGTGTTGAGAAGAAACTTCGTTGAAAAGAAAGACCCAAAGAGTCTGTCAGAGAGTCTGTCAAACCCGTGCAAAGTTCCAGTATTCAAAGCACAACCAGAGCATCTTTTCAAAGAATTATAAACAAAAATATTAAGAGTATATATAAATGAATAATACCGTAACATAACAACACAGTATTATTTTTTAATTATATCTTAAAGAACACATGCATGTGATGTTATTGAGTACAGAAACAAAAAAAACAACACATGTTATTATTCTCTCTACTTTGATGCTAACCATTTAGGATTTCGATAATACATCTTTTTGATAAATAAAGAACACATATTATTATTTTGTTGGGCAGCTAATGATACTCTTAACTTTTTTTTTCTTTCATGTATTAGACCATGTATTATTATTTTTCAAAAAAGGTATTTGATCCTTGCTTAGGAGGCATTTATTGCATACGTGAGTTAGGTCAGTGAACCTGTCTCCTTCCATCCAAGTTCAAATCTCCTCCATAGATTAAAATAAGTTCCGATATTATTCATTTATATAGAGGCCCAATATCCATGAGACTGGTCCAATGTCCGCCTCGTTGCACCCTAAACCCTTGACCGAAAAGGGAGAAACCACACAATTTTAGTAAGTTTTATTGTAGAGGCCCAATATCCATGAGTCTGGTCCGATCTTGTGGTGTCATGATCTTTAGACTAGGCCCAGTGAAAAAATTCAACCGATTAAAAAAAGAAGTTCAGTTATTTACCTAAGTGGTCTCAATACTGTCGGGTCGGGTTGAGAAATTTCGTTTAAAACCCTTAAACCCTTAACGATCGAAACGCAGCCGTTTAGAGCGAAGGCATGCCAACAACGTTTTGGTTCAATTTCTAGTTAGGTTTGTGAACAGAGAGAGTATCAGACTAGCGGCAAGTCCACAGAAGCAAAAGTAAGCTTCATCTTTTCCCATTTTTCATTGATAAAAATAAATTTATGTTCTTCTGAATTGAATTGCACTTTCCATTTTCCTAATTTCTAGGTTTTCAAACAATAATATTATTGGAAGAAAGAAAGTTAGCTACTTTTGTTATTGATTTCATTTGTTTATTTAAATTTTCAGCGTGCTGGCTGTTTACGTTCTCTGACTTAATTGCTTTGTTGTTTGTTTGGGTTATTGGTAGTTATACTGTTTTATACTAGGAAGCTGTTGAAATTTGTGTGTGAGTGGTGCTGGGAGGGTTGCTTATGGTTTCTTTTGGGTCTAAGGCATTGCCATTGAGACGACTTGGAGGCATAATGGGTGATGAGGATAATTCACACAAACGGAGTAGAAAGAAAATGGGTATGAGCCGAAAGCCTGACAAACAAAGTAATTACTTTGATGCCAATGTCAACAAAAATGGATCCGGTCGGGGCTCACAACGTCAAAGCGATTCGGAAACACGAAGATCAGTGGTTAGGTATTACATGATAAGTTTTTTCAATTACGGGTTTTGAGAAAGATGGTCACTTTGTGAATTGTTTGGCATTTTAATGTTTTTGAGTACTTGTTGTAGGAAACAGGTTGATCCCGAAACCACAAAATACTTTTCGGAAATTGCCAACCTTATTGAGAGTAATGGGGTTGATATGGAGGAGCGGTCGGTTGTATGTGGTAATGCCCTGGAGGAAGCTAGGGGGAAAGAATTTGAACTTGCTACTGATTATTACTTAAGCCACACTATGCAGACTCTTCTTGAGGGCTGTGACGTTAACTCCCTTTGTTCTTTCCTTCAAAGCTGCGCAAAGGACTTCCCTTCTATTGCAATGGACCGTTCTGGTTCTCATGTAGCTGAGACTGCAATCAAGTCTTTATCTCAGCATCTTCAGGACAATGATGTCTATTCTGTTATTGAGGACACTCTAAATGCAATATGCAAGGTATTAAGTGTTTGATGTTCTTAATTACAACAAGTGATTTTGGGTCAATATCTTCAGCATTTGGTTAGTTGTTGCCTGTTCTATCTCTGGAATTTTAAAACCAGAAGATATCCAGATAATTTGATTATAATAAGCTAGCAGTTATGAATGTTAAATGTTCAATTAAGTGATGTAAAAACTTCCAGTTTCTTTTTTTTTTCTTTCATTTAAATTTTTTTAAAACAGTTGAAACAGAAAGGTAGTAGGCGTATGTAAACTATGATCTATTTTTTTCCCTTCAATTCATAATATAATATATTTTGTTTCTTGTCAGGTGATTGTAAAGAATCCTGGTGATCTGATGTGCGATTGCTATGGATCTCATGTTCTACGAAGTCTTCTTTCTCTTTTTAAAGGAGTACCATTGGATTCTTCCGAGTTTAACAGGAGAAAGTCTTCTTCAGTCCTTGCAGAGCGGTTGAATTTCAAGGCATTTCGAGCAGACACAGATATTTCACCACAGGCTGTACAGGGATTTCCAGGTTTACTTGACTTTCTTATTTCAGGGATGTCAAAGTGTATCCAGAACAACATTAAGACCATGCAAGTTGACCAGTACAGCAGTTTGGTTCTGCAGGCAAGTTCTAATATACTATCATACTATTTTTTTCCTACTCCTAGGAGTTGCTTAATGTCAATTGAGAACTGAGAAGTTATTCATTACCAAATATATAAAAATAAAGTTAATATAGTGTTGACAACATGGTATTAATAGCATCTTAATCGTAATATAGTGTTAACAACTCCATAATTCAGTTTTCATATATGGTCCAGATCTCCATTTGTGATAGCATCTGATGAGTCTTAAGACAATCCACCAGAGTATACTTCTCAAAATTTGTGACAAATTTAATATACCCAATTCTAAGTGTGGAAGTCTGTTTTGTGGTCGGTGGGTTTTTACCCTTCATTTGTTCATCTATGAAAAGGGGAGGGAGCAAATTTTCTTTTCATTTAAGCATTTGTGGATGAAATTGGTGATGTATAATAATTTGATCATCTAAAACTTGATCTTTTGGATGCCTGGGATTTCTACAGAATCAAGTTCTTTTCATAGTCTTATTTTTTGTGTTTCTTTTTCATTTGCAGTATACGGGCATGGTCTGGGTCCATGTTGAATTGTGTTATAACATTTTTATTTTGCCTGGCAGAGTGCTTTGAAATTGTTAGCAGGAGATGAAGAAAAGCTGTTGCAAATAATTCCCATTCTTATTGGATGTACCAGGGAAGAAATTTTAGAAGGAGATTCCATTAAAACGACTAAAGCGAGAAATATTTTATATCTTATGAAAGAAACAGCATTTAGCCATTTAATGGAGGTAAACACTTTCTTCATAAGGTTTGCATGAACAATGCTTATTCCTGCGTGAAATTTTACAAGAGGACAAGTTGCCATGTTCTTCTATTAATTGTGTACTTAATCCAGGCATGCCTTTATAAATTGTCAATTTGATATCAAGTTGGTGTCATAAATGGCATGACGGAAATCAATCTTAATAATCATTTTCTGAAAACTACTAACTGATTTCATCCCAATATTCCGATATGATGAAATTTGTATAGTTTTATATAGCCTTTGCTACAATCATAACTTGTTTGAGCTTATATGTTAGTGAGATGGTTATGCTACATTAACAATTAAACTTCCTTTAGTCAATTGTGGGATCAAAATAATCTTTTCGTACCTACAGCTGTAACTATGCAGTTCTAATGGGTAACACAGCTTCTGCCTCCCCCAAAATTAAAAATAAAACAAAAAACAAGATATAGCTGGCCAAATGTGTAGAATGTGAAGGACTGATGACAAGACATCTATTTATCTTCTGCTATCCCTTTCTCCTTGAATGTAGCTTGGTTTATTTTCATTTTAATTATATGTTCTGAACATTGCAGGTTGCTTTGGAAGTGGCTCCTGAAGTCTTGTACAATGAAATGTTCACAAAAGTTTTTAGAAACTCATTATTTGAGCTTTCATCTCATCATTGTGGGAACTTTGTCATTCAAGCACTAATTTCTCATGCAGGGAGTCAAGATCAGGTATGTTTTGTGACAATGCTGCTTTTTGACACTTTATACCCCTTATCATGCTCCATCGCACCCTGTAATTCTTTTCGATTAGCATTTCCATTATTCAGAGTTAATATAAGTGTTAACTTCAAATTAGCTTCTTCCATTTACTTTTCTGTACTGCTCTCCTATTTTAGCTACTTTGGCATATCTCCTTGCAAAAGGTGGTCCTCAATCTGTCATAACACCTTTTTGCCAATTTGTCCATTAGATGGAGGTGATCTGGGAGGAGCTTGGTTCGAAATTTAAGGATCTGCTTAAAATGGGAAAATCAGGAGTTATTGCTTCGCTGATTGCTGCAAGTCAAAGGCTTCATATTTATGAACATAAGGTCAGAAATGAATTTGTGTTATTGTTCATAATTTCTTTAATTTCACCTCGGTATTTGTGTATTTTAAATTTAACATATTCTGCCAAATTGTGGCCCCCCCCAAAAAAAAATCAGTTCGATTACAGTTTTACTGATGAATAAATTAGATGGATCATGGATATTTACTTGTTAACAAGACTTTGTTCTGGTTGTGAGTCCAGATACTGATTCTGATCGTAGTTATGTTTCCATTACTTGTTTGACAGTGTTGTGAGGCCCTTGCTATGGCTGTACATTCAAGCAATGAGTCTTCAACATGCATTGTTCCTCGGATACTGTTTCTTGACAGCTATTTCTACTGTGAAGATAAGTCTAATTGGAATTGGCCAAGTGGTGCTAAAATGCACGTCATGGGTTCTTTGATTCTGCAAGGAGTTTTTCGATTTCAAAATGTATGGAACCTTTCTCGTAGTTGTACTCAAATCGGAGCCCCCAACAATCATATTAGGTGTTTCTATATATAGTTATATAGTTTTAGCATATTGTGATGCCTCTTAAAATATTCATATAAAGACTTGTAGCTTTTCCACTGTTGCACTCTCTCCATTTCCATTTAAAAGAAAATCACCCCCCACTCCCACCCCGTTTGTATGCCATCTTTTCTCTCTATGTAATATTCTGTTTCCATTGATGGAATATCTAATTTCAATTTTGCCTTTCTAGAGAAAATCTATTGATTTTGGTCGCTGCAATTATAAATTCATATATTCTTGTTAGGACATTCAGGAAATAAAATAATGCAATTAGGATCGAAGCTCGTTCGCTTAATTGGTTCTTGCATTGCAATCTTGTATTTGTTTATACTGATTTACTGTTTCACTTCACAGGAATTTATACAGCCTTTTATTACAAGTATTACATCCCTCAATGCTGATAATATCCTCGAAGCTGCTAAAGATTCTGGTGGTGCTCGTGTTATTGAAGCTTTTCTAAGTTCAGATGCTTCTGCAAAACTGAAGCGCCGACTAATCATGAAGTATGCTGTGTAACTTAATTGGTAGATTGTATGCTTACATAGCCTGTGTATCTACCAGGATGCCCATATATTTGTCTTATGGTTCTAGGCAATTAAAACATTTTTTAATTGGATCTTCTGTTGCTTACTTTGAAGGCTTCGTGGAAATTTTGGAGAGCTTTCATTGCAATCATCAGGTTCCTTTACTGTTGAAAAGTGTTTTACTGTGGGTAACATCTCACTGAGAGAGGCCATAGTATCTGAGTTGTTAACCGTGCAAAGTGAGCTTTGGAATATGAAGCAAGGTCCTCATCTCATGAGGAAATTAGATGTTGATGGGTAAGCTGTTGGCCATGTTCTATTTCAGAATATCAAGATTTTTATGTGCTTCATTGTTAGTCAGGATCTGTGTCAATCCTTTTTCTTTGTTAAGGAAAGCTTGCTCTTGTATCTTAAATAATTCACCGAAGTAATTAGCACATAGCTGGCTATCTTCTGTCACTCATTTGTGCACAAACATCTTTGAAGAAACCATAAAATTATCATTTTGGATACATTGTTTTAGCATTATTTGTTAGGAGTTGAATCTTTGCAGTTTATGTACTTAACCTTGGGTAAATGACAGGTTTGCTGCTAGACCTGATCAATGGAGGTCCAGGCAAGAATCAAAACAATCAACTTTCAATGAATTCTATTCTACATTTGGCTCTAGTGAGACCAAGCCGTCAAAGAACAGCAGCTTTCTTTCTGATGATTCTAAGAAGACCTCACAACCGAATAAAATAAAACAAATGAGGGAAGAAATTGCACATCTCCAGACATCTCCTGCACCATTTTTGAGTACAACAGGCTTCAAACGCAAACCAAATAAACCAGAAAACAGCAGCAAGAAGTTTGCAAGAAATTCGGCCGATGATGATGTTCCTAAAGTGAAGAATAAGTCGAAGAATATAGTCACTGATACATGAGGATGTGGATCATCTGCTTCAATCTCATGTTTTGTAACCTTCTCCAGCGCCACAGAGGATATAAACCCAGTTGGAGAGGGAGAGAAATGCCAGCCTGGAAGAAGCTCCCAAAAAGAAGGAAAAAAATGCTGGTTGGATATAACTATTTAATTGCTCTTAGTCTTGAGATGTTTGAATTGGTAGCATAGGCTAACTGAATTGGAGAATTTCATGTGTGAGAGCCAAGTTCTTAGTTCTGTTTTGTTCTTGTTCCCGTTTTTCAAGTTGAGGTTTTTAAGGTATAGCCTTCTGTAACGGAATGATACTGTTCTGTATGTACCAAGAAAATTATAGATAATTTTACCTTCAAGAGCCTTGAATGAATGAAAACTAACGCTGTCTAGTTTCTCCATGTTTGGTTCTGTACTTCCTTTCTTTCAGACATCTATGAAGGAGGAATTGGATTTGGCGGCGTCCTTGGGCCCCGTTTGGGATTGCTTTTTTTCGCCAAAAACTTGCTTCACTTTAAAATTAAGCAGTTTTAGGTGTTTGGTAAAAATAAAATATCTCGATTATTTTAAAAGCAATGGCCTTTTGACAGCAGCTTTTAAAAGCAGGCTATGGGTTGCTTTTCAAAGCTGCTTTCAAAAGAAGCAGAGATGAACCTTTAATGAATTTTTTTAATTCCCAAAATACCATCATTTATTTTAAAAAATAACACCACCTCCACTTCCACATCCAACTCCACCACTTACACCACCACATTCACTACCTCCACAACCACCGCCATCGCCACCGCCACCACCACCACCACCACCTCCTCCACCACCACAACCACCACCACCACCACCACCATGCTGCCACCTCCACCACCATGTTGTCACCACCACCACCTCCACAAGCGCCATCCATACCACCACCACCTACACAAGCGCCATCCATACCACCACCACCTTCATTCCATCACTACCACTACTACCACATGATTACTACATAACACTTTTAACATAATGTCTATTTTAGTCATTATTCACAGTTACAACAATTTTATATTAAAACTTACCAAACGGTTTTGACACTGATTTTTGTACTAACAGCACTTTAAAAATATTGTTTACCAAACACGGAGCTGTTTTACTTTACAGCTAATTATTTTCAAAGCACAGCAGAAACAACTTTTTTTAAAAGTGACAGCAATCCCAAACTGGACCTTAGAAGGACGAGCCAACCTGCTTTTATAAGGGTTCTTCCTTGCCGTGGTGTTTATGATGTGATTACACAAATGGTGCAAAAATAGGTGAAAAAAATAGGTGTTTATGATGTAAAAACCGTTGTGTAATTATCATAGATGTGTTAGTCGTTGATTTCTACCTAAATTGCTGGTGCGAAAATAGATGAAAAAATAAACCAAATTTGGATCTGATATCAGCGGAATCATGTGCTAAACTCTCAGTTACATAATGCAACTCTGAGCTGTATGCTTTGGCCGAAACGGTGAGATATATATTTCAATAAAGGGTCACGTGACCAGGCACGTGATAACAATGTTAATAGTATGATATTATCTTGCGTATCAGTGACTAGGCAGTGGTTTCAAACCAAAATTGAGGAGAAAACATTTGATCTTGTTCTTGTTTCTCAATCCTTTTGTATTTGTAACAGAAACATGTTATTTTTCTATATATACATCACAAAAAGACTACAAATTTACACTCAAAATCAGAGCTAACAAAACCTTAGCTAGGTAGCAAAACTGCAGTTGCATTACAAGTGGTCTAAAAATGAATGAGAGAGAAAGCTAGCTAGCTAGATACCCTTATTGTTCTGTACTTCCACCTTCAGCCACCTTATGGAGGATTGGACCTGGAAAAAGAAAGCAAGGCAACTGAGGTCAATTATGGGAAATCTTCAAGTGGTGGAGATAAAGAGGCATGAAAGAGCTTGCAAGTATACTTTACTTGTTCTGTGTGGGATTTGAAGTGCTTGGTGGTATTCTTCTAAAGCTTGAGCCAACTTGCTTATACGGGTTCTTCTTCTTTGCCTCCAAATCTTCAAGACCTTGTGATGAAGATGCAGAAGCTGCTTTTTTCGATGCAGAAGCAGAAGTTAATGGACGAGCTTGTGCTGTTGCAATATCAGGCCATGTTGAGAGCACCATGGAAAGAGCAAGAGCCAGAGCAGCTAGAACTCTAGACCAAGTCTTCATATTCATCTGCTCAGTGAGTGTGAAGAAGATAGATAAACTTGAAGCCTATGATTAGATATGAAATGAAATGATGGTCTAGTCTTTGATTTATATACCAAAATTTATGTTCCAAAAAAAAAAACGAAGGAAAAATCCCAATTGGGATCTGATATCAGTGGGATCATGTGCTCAACTTTGACTGTTGTGACATGCTGCAACTCTGACCTGCAGATTTTGGAGAAGAAAATGATGGTTTATGATGTATCCACCTTATATTTATATTTTTTAATTTGCAATTTTCTGCAATTGGGGTCATGTGATGAGGCACGTGATTTTAATATTAATAGTAGTAATGTTGTTTTTGGGAAGCTAAAAGGGCTGTTTATTATAATGTTATTAGTGATTAGGCAGTGGTACTTGTTTACTGGGACAGTGTTGGATCTAGAAATATGATAACAGCTGCTGATGACTGAAACTAGTTGGCTTGGCACTTTTTTTGTACTCTTTTGAGGAAGCTCTTTGGATCTTGTGGTATTGCCTTTTTATTTTTATGTTTGTGTTGTCCTTTTCTTTTTCTCCATAATTTTCTTGATCAGTAAGTAATTATAAGGATCAACAGAGAGATTGTTTCCATTTACCAATGATTAAAAGAACTGAAGATAGAGATTTCCTGATGGAGAGGAACAGAAGGAAGTCTTCCACTTCCGGAAAGAAAGCTCAAAGTGGTCATAATGTACGTCATGGCAAATCGAGAATTGGGCGGGCTGTATCTCACCCTAATTCTTTTTACTTTTTATATAAAACTTTAGCCCACATGATCATTTGATGTGGGAGGGAGATAGAAATGAGTGAAAAATATGTTTCATGGAAGTTTTACTCCATTCAACCAAATTCTCAACTTTACTTTATCTCTTCCGCTCATATTAAAAATATAAATCTGCCGACATGTTAGATTATGACTAGCAACCGTCGTTGTAGCGCGAAAGATTTTCCAATAAAACATAAATTTGAAAATTTGAGATATATTGAGTCAAAATTGGATATAATGTTTTTGTGGTGTGTGTATTGAACACGTGTGTAAATCCCATTATACGATTGTACTATCATTTATGTATTACTGCCTTTTTTCTCTTGGAATTTTATTTCCCGAATATATAGGAATTCTATTTTTTTGGAAGAGCCCCAAAAAAAATAAAAATAAAAAGCGAGCGCATCTCATCTAGGTTGACTAAACTACCCTTAAAAAGCCGCCGACCTCATTCGCAGAGGGGAGAATCAGGGGTATAACGGTCATTTAAAGTTGACCGGATCAGTTGTGGTCCTATGAAAGATGGGTAGGAGCTGAGACTGCCGAGGGGCACTGACTTCACAAATAACGCCTTTGAAAACATCGTTAAATTGGAAATCGCTGAATACGACGTCGTCCTTCTGCTTTTAGCTGCATTTGTCTTCGTAAACGCATACATGTGCGATCGAGGTCTCTTGCTTATCTCCCAAACGCCGATCTCATCAGGTTTTGCTCCAAATTCAATTTTTCTCGTTTCGGATCTACGTTCCTGCATAACCGTTCCATATGTATTTTTTGTGAATTTTTGGTTTTTAAATGTTGAGTTTTATTGCTTGGTTGAATTCGTAAGGCTTAAAGTTTGGTGCTTGACATTAGGAATTTATGATTGGGTTTGTTGTTAATATAGTTTAATCAAGCAGATAAATGAAGAGGGTGAAATGTAGAGATTGCAATTGGAGTTGGCAATTTTTTATTTTGGGATTTTCTATGCTAAAACCCTAAATTCTAATTGAACGCTTGATTATACTAAATTTACATGTATTTTTGTCCAGTAAATGGTTTAATTTAATACATTCTCACTTTGATCTGTAAAGTTGATTGCTTCATAAGAATCTAACTTTGTGTGTTATTTTCTTCTATGTTTATCAGAGAATTGGTAATAACATTTGAAACCAAAGAAGTTCACTATTATATTATTCTCTACAATTTTTGTGAAATGGCGGAGAAGGCATGTGTCAAGCGCCTCCAGAAGGAATATAGAGCCCTCTGCAAAGTATGACTTCTTTTGTTCATCCCAACTTGTTTTCAAATTTCTGTTATAATCAGTTCATGTCATTTAGATCCTAATTATGTGATTAAATTTGCTTGCTTGACCAGTGTATATATTCTGATGTTTCACTGCGATATCAGTATATGGTTCTGTTATATACTTTTAGTGTTATCTTTTGGTCTTGTTACATTCATAAATTGGATGGTTAAATCTCTCCTTTTGTTTTCTTTCGGTTAGTTTCTTGATCGCATCATGTTATGGAGTTTGGCTCCTCTCCATGTTTTTTGTAATTTTTGTATTGTTGAACAGATTGATTGCTATTATTTTTCTCATTGGTCTGGAACTATAGCTGATATATGTGCGGGTGCTATTGTTTTTCTCATAGGTTTGGAACTATAGCCGATATATGTGCATTAGTTTAAGAATTGATGTCTCCTTTTGACTACCCTGTGACTTTATTATGTTTTATCCTTCTGGATGTTGCTAACAGTGCTATATGCCGATGTACAGGAACCAGTTTCTCATATTGTGGCCCGTCCTTCGCCAAATGATATTCTCGAATGGCGTAAGTTTATTTGCAACTGACTTCCTTTAAATTCAAATAGGATTTTTCTTGGTGTAATTGTAATTTGTATCAATTAAAAAACGCTATATGAAAATTTGAGTTTCGAGTGACATTTTGGCTCTCTTTATATCAGCAAGACGAAGAGTTGTGGTTCCAATATTTAGTGAGTAAATAAGGTGAATTTCATTTGCTCATATGTGCCTAAAACTTTGAGCAAGATGTGGCATAAGAATCACAGTTTGCGAAATCAGTTAAGGCATTGACCAGCTTTGTTAAAAAATTATGACGCTTGAAGTGCAACTGAAATTTCCTCAATCTCCTGCTTTCTTGAAATTTCGGTCCAGTACAGTGGAAATAGGATTTGTCAAACTTCCTTATAATTTATGCTCGGTTTGAGCATTTTTGGTATTTTCCCTATTAACTAATATTAAATGCCAGTTCTAGAGTTTGTTTATGTTAATTTAAGGATTTTAGTGATGTGCCACCATACTTCTAGTCACATTGGAAGTGCAGAATCTAAAGCAAACACACGATAAATCTGTTTTTTGTGTAATTCATCCTTCTCATACTCCTTCTTCTATAGTATTTCTAAGTGTGTAGGTACAGTTATCTACGTCATATTGTAATTTATTTCATTTTGTTTGGGGATTTTAATCTTTACTCTTTATATCTCATGCTTCAGACTACGTGTTGGAGGGAAGTGAAGGAACACCTTTTGCAGGTTTGTCTTACGTTACACCCCACCTTTTTCTGTATTTGGTGTGTGATTTTTGGTACTTTACATAAATTAGTCATTTGGTTTGATATCAAAGCTTAGCTTTTTTGTTTTTGGTACTTTATAGGTGGATTTTACTATGGAAAGATCAAGTTTCCTCCAGAATATCCATATAAACCACCAGGAATCAGGTATGTACTTTTTGTATGCCAAAATTATGAAGAAAATTTATTTTTTAATGTTTATGAGAAATATTGTGTTTCTGAGCATGCAATTGTTTTATTTGTACATTCACTTTGTTGATTCTAAATTACACTTTACTTCCTGTCTGTAGTATGACTACTCCCAATGGAAGATTCATGACTCAGAAGAAAATTTGTTTGTCTATGAGTGATTGTAAGTTTTATGGAGTTCTTTTTGAAATAGAATGTTTCTTTTTGTGTGCGAGTGTGCTTTTTTGTTTTTAAATAACTAACTTCATGTCTACCTATGCTTCTTTGCAGTCCATCCTGAAAGTTGGAATCCAATGTGGTCTGTGTCAAGGTTAGAGACACATCTGGGTTTAGAAGGAGCTTTTTATTTATTTTTTATGTTAATTATATTTGTGTGCTTTCTCTTGTTAGCTAGTTGCTATTGTTTATATTATAGTTGTGGTAAGTTGTAATTCCACTAACATCTGTTCTTCACAAATGCAGCATACTTACGGGGCTTCTTTCATTTATGGTGAGTTGATTGTGTCTCTTTCGCATGCTAATTTTATTTTGCCCTAGTTCCATTTGCTTAGCGAAAATTGTGATAACTTCCTGATGCAATCCTAGTAGAGTTTAATCTGTTTGGATGGTACTCAAAGTATAGGTAGCTGTATTTTTAAGTATAAACAAACTTTGATGATTAATGTCCCTTCTCCTGCATATTTCAGTAGTTCAGCCAATCTTTTTCTGTTGTAACTTGTTCTTATTTTTTTAACAGATAATACTTTCTTATTTAGATTTAATAGTTATCTTTGGTTGGGAATTTCACATTCTTTTGTTGGCTTATCTTTGAAGCATCTTTAATGTTTCAATTTCTCTTTTCTAATGCAGATGGACAACAGTCCCACTACCGGCAGTGTGAACACTACTACTGCTGAGAAGCAACGTTTGGCAAAGGCTTCTCTTGCGTTTAACTCTAAAAAGTAAGTCTGTTGGACCTGCTACAGTTTGTTTCATATTCTCTATCTTTTGATGATATAAGCCACACAAGGGCAAAAGTAAAATATGTTCATACATTGTTGTGGTCGAGCGTCCCATGCATCTTGTTCCGACCCTAGTGTGGGTTCTCCACTTTTGAGCTTGTTTCTGGTGTTCTATGTGACAAGTTTGAATCTGTATTGTACTGTCTAACAATTTTCTATGGAAACAGTCCAACATTCCGGAAAATCTTTCCCGAGTATGTGGAGAAGTATAACCAGCAGCAGCTTTCTGAGCAGCTTATTACAGAGCGGGTGTCATCTGAGCTATCTCAAGAAAATTCCAGGCCGTTGTTGGAAAAGGTTGATGACTCAACAGGAGGTATGAAAAGACTAGATGCCTTAAAGGAGGCGAGGAAAAACAAAAAGCAGTCATTCCCAACCTGGATGATGTTGTTGCTAATTTCCGTCTTTGGTGTTGTAATGGCGCTGCCTCTACTTCAACTTTAGTATCGTACAGCCCTAGTAGAAAATTTATTGGGGTCCCGTGGACATAAAACGTTTTGCAAGTCGAGTGGACTTGTTCCAAATACTCCTTTAGGTTTATCTTGTATCTAATATAATTTTGTATAGGAGGTTGATACTAAGGTCAGTTGAATCGCTTGGCTGATGTTTTTCCTTCTATGTCAATGTTTGGTCGTTGTTTGTCAATGTTCAAACATGACATGCTTGTGATGTTATTTCAACTTTAGTGGAGTTTCTGTTTCAACTTTGGGTTGGTTCTCTCTCTCTCTCTCTCTCTCTCTCTCATATATAAATATAAAGTAATGATCTGAAAACTCATTTCAGGGTTTAGAGTAAACCGAAAACTTGTTTTTGTCCCTTCATTTTCTAGATTATCTTTTCCTCGTTTCAGCTACTAAACTATTCTTCACTAATAAGGTTGAGAAGTGTAAAACAAAGGGAATTAGAACAATCCATTCCATGATTGCAACATGTATGCGATGACGTTGAGCAAAGGTGATGACTTTGGTTAAAAGTTTGTAACTTTGATTGTATAAAAAGCTAAACCCCACAAAATCCATAACTTTGATTCCCATGTTTCATGAAAGATGTTACCATTTATCAATTCAAAAGTATAATTTTACACCTAAACTTGAGGTAGGCTTCAAAATCATTGCATTAATGGCATGTTCACTAATCCGTAATCAGAATCAAAATAAGGAGTTGGATTTTGACTCTTCTCAATTCAATCCCTCCTCACCTGATTATGAATTAGTAAACATGCCATAAAGGAGGAATGAAGAAAAATGTTGTAGGACACTACATTCAAAGCCACATTCAACAGTGACAGTCACATTTGATTGTAATTTGCTGCAGACTGTCAATGGCTTTTTAGTTTATAATATAATTAAATGGCTTGATCCAAATAAGCTAAGGTTGCTTGCCTCTGGTCTGTTTCATAGGAGCATTGTACTGAAGCAATTTACTTTTTCTTTCTTTCTTACTATTTTTTAATACTTGGTTTTGTTTTGTGGACAAATAGCACTGAAGCAGGCAGCTCCTTGCTGCACGCCATAAATGGAGGAGGGAGATTTAATTAGCTTTTCCCTCCAAAAACTTTTCAAAGAGAAATCCTCAAAGTCCCCGAAACATGCTCCGCATTTGTCGCAATCCTACATGACCCAGTCCCCATGACAAAAGGTATCTTTCTTCTTTTCGTGTGGGGTTGTTTAATCCACTGTAAAAGTCATAAAACAGTGATTAATTAATAATATTAATTAATGTTTGCCTTAAGTGATAATGCGTTTGGTTTTCAAGTGTTTAATTAGAATCTGATACGTTTGCCGTATCAAGTGAGCTGCTTTAAGTATGTTGCTCATGTTGTGTGTCACTTATGGTTCATATTGATGCTTGCTTGCTTGCTGTATATATCTTGTCCTGCTTTCTTAAGCATTATGGAAAGAGAGAGAAACTTAACACTGCCATTTCAACTACCATTTCTGATTTGATTTCCCATCACCAATATGGTCTTTAAGTAGTAATTTCATTTGGGTGGTTGGCTCTCTGCCTTTCTGATAAATGCTTGCAAGAACAATGGACCACTTTAAGTTTCAGAGCTTTCTGGTTGTTTTTGTCTTCTTCAACTGAAGGTAGAGCCAGATGAGAATTTCATTTCATTTCATGGTCTTTATAAATTATAAGTCATCAATTGCAAACTTTCCTAGATTGTTATCCTTGCTCCTCTTTTTATTTAGGCAACTATGAAGAAATCTCCTGTGCACCCAAAGTATGACATGGAACATGAAGGCAATGGATTTGATCCTCAGGCTGACTTTTATCAGGTTAGATGATTTGATGTTTGTAAACTTGTCTTCATATCTATTGTTCCTCATAGGGATGGCAGTGGGCCAAATCAGGGGTGGGTATGCCATTCCCATCCCCATCCCCATTAAGCATTTTCTCATTCCCGCCTTCATACCTGCAATATTCAATTAGGGGATTTCCCATTTCAGCCTCTCCCCAATCTGCCCCATTACGAATAAAAAACTACTTTGTTGAACGAGAAAAAAACCACTATGATCACAACATATGTATAAATTCAATTTTATTAATTAACTAAAAATCTAGACTATTAAAATAAAATTGAATACATGTCCAAGACATGATCATCATTATAGAACTTCCTCAGCCTCTACTTTAATTTTCGTAGCTATTGTATTGTACAGGGTTAGATATCAAATCTGAGTTTGTCATTTTTTGGCCTGAAAAGGAAAGTTTGTTATTCAATGTCACATTGCACATTCTCTTTGCTAATTATCTGGTTTGAACTTTTTAAATATGGTCAGTTTCTGGAAGAAGCAAAACACTATGCAGTAGAGGCAGACTTCCAGAAATCATCAGGCTATCCAGAAGAAGGTGGAGAAAGAAGATTGGCCCAAGAGAAGAAGAAGAAATCATGGAAAAAGTTTCTATTTCCATGGTTGAAAGGAGATAAAATGAACAAAACTAGCATACAACCAGAAACCATATCTCATGCTTCTAATACAAGGCGGACAAATGTTTCTGGTCCAGTGTATGGCACCGGCAAGGTTACTGATGGTAGGCTCCGGCGTCCGACATCTGGGCCTATCGCCAGTCTTTTCAACCCCACAAAGAGATCAGGCAATGCAATACCCTATGTGTGTCTTGACAACAATGGCAGCCCTCAAGTTGTTAAAACCTATGGGCCTGTTTATCTGGTGACATAGAATGTCATGAAGAAGTTGGCTATAGAGAATTGAATCTTAACCTTTCTGCATCATGGAAGAAGTTCAACTAAATCATGAAACTATATGGTGGTAAGTTTTGGTGGCAAGAACAAGAAACTCTAATATGACAATTTTGCTGAAGTGCAGTGAATTTATGGACTCTACAATGAATGGGTTGTCATGGAAATGTAGTTGGATCATCAAATGGAAGAAACTTGGGAATTTTCTACATCTTGGTTGAATTTGAATAATCCAAGCATATGGAAAAAGCTGCAGATCCTTTAGGTGTTATGTTATTGTGTTTTATCTAAAACAGAAGTTCGAATCCTTGGCAGCCAAGTCAATTTAGCCTTGTATTGATTTCCTTTCTTGTGGTTTGTCAGTAATCAAGGGAAGCAATTATCTGTGTAGCAAAAATTGCATATGCCCTTGATTATCTATCAAACCAAACTTAGAGCATATTCAAATTGTTCTGGACAGTGTTTTTGATGTTTTATTTTCATTCAAACTTCAACTATATCTTCATAATTTCTCTATTCATGTGTCATGTTGAGCAGTTAAAAAGAAGTAATTTTTCGCCAATCAGCAGGAAGCCTATTTTTAGTAAAAATAAATTAGCTTTTAAGAGGGAAACTATACTTGCCCAACAATGCCTCATATACAATGTTTCTGCTGAAAGAGATAAACTACACTTGCCCAAGAAATTAGCTTTTAATATTTCTGCAAATGCTTCATCCGCCAATGGGGTCTTATCCCAATGGTAGAGATGTCAGCATGCAGGTTAGTGGTCTGCGGTTCGATCGCCCATGGCACCATGTGTGTGTGTGAGGATACCCCCTCCCCCTTCCTAACTATGACAAGAAAAAATGCTTACTTTATACATGTGCTGCTGTTATTTTGTTAGAAGCTTCTGGAATGAGCCTCAGCATCCAAAAACCCATCCCTATCACATGCAAAAAACGATTAAAGATGACTTATAGGTACCATACAACTAGTATCAACAAACTCACTATATGGTGGATCACAAGCCTTTTTACCATTCAGAACAGAAACTGATAGATAATAACAAAACATGTGATATTTGTTTACAGAGAAATGAAGCCTTAGTTGTTGGTGCTCTTAATTATATTCATCTTTTTAAAATTCACACCAGGAAAGAATTGAGAAAGATAATGATCAGTTTGAAAGCCAGTAGAAACACCACCACAGACAAGGCAGGGGGTTGTATTTCTTTATGAGGTCATTGCCAAAGAGGAAATTGATAAAGTTTTGAGCCATGTCACAACATCAAATCAGATGCACCAAGTACTGCATTTTGGTTGCTAATTTAATTTAGAAAATCAATTGAATTAAGAGAAAATTTCCACTTTTTACCAACCAAACAATACAAAAGTTAAGAAATTTAACTCCTCTTTTCTTTTTCATTACCAAACGAAGGGTTTAGGGTATCAAATTCATAATGAAGCAGACTGCGCCTGCATTTTGCTTACACAATATACACTCAATTCAAACAAATTGTTCGAATTCTGGTTTGAAGTAAGAGATATACATTACAACTTTGTTGCATAAGAGGCGGTCAGAAGGACTGCTTAGAGATCTCAAGCTACACTTCTTGATTCTCTCTCCAAGAATAAAAGAACAATGAGCAAATTAAAAAATTGACATAAGACATGCTTGATGTTCATCTCCAAAAGAACCAAAATCAATTCTCAGGGATGCAAGATTGCACATCAGACCCTCTCAAACAGCAAATTCCCATCGCCACAATATTTCCTTCCCAAATCTCCCTGGTCCCAAATAGTTATCTCAAATCAATAATTATCAAATATGTGCAAGCATCTAGAGCATTTCTGCTTTCTAACTCTGTCCTCTCCCTCCTCCTTGTTCAACATCAACAGAACTAGGACTGCAGGGACTTATCCTCCTATCTCTGCTCAACAGCCTCTTGAGTGACCTCAACCTCGTCGTAGCCGGAGACTTCAAGTCCTCATCGGCGGCGAACCTATTGCCGGAAGGCGAAGGGGAAGGCGAAGGTGATGGCAATGAGGTTTGACTTGGTATATCAATCACCAACATCCCATCGGGCCTACTAATAGCAGATGAAGATGAAGGTGAAGATGAAGGTGAAGATGAAGAAGATGGGCACATGGGTGGTGATGAAGGGCCTTCTTCTAAACCAGAACCAGGTCCAGAGCTCACCTGGGTCTGGTTCCCCCAAAACAACACATTTGTTGGGAAATTTGGAGCCTCTATTGAAAACCCAGATGCCAAACTCTCAGCTGGTGATAGAATTTGAACACTATCACTCTCTGCCAATGCAGATGAAGAACCAGCAGCACCAGAATCAGCAGAGCTCTCAGGAGCAACAGGGTTACGACAGATTGGACACGTGGAGTGAGACTGAAACCACATGTCAATGCAGTCAACATGGAAGCCATGGCTGCATTTCGGAAGCAGCCTGGCCTTCTCGCCCTGAACAAGCTCAGAGAGACAAACTGCACATTCAAGGCCATCTTTGAAGTCCTCTGAAGGAAACACCAGCACTGGCAGGGACTTGAGGACCAGAGGGTCGAGCCCTTTTCTCACGGTGGCAACTGTGTCCTGGCCGGGGGCGAAAACAAAGCGGCGGCGGCGGCGGCGAGATTGGCGGTTAGCGGAGGTGTCGTCATCTTCGCGCCACCAGTACCATTTGGCGTAGAGATGAAGGCAGAGTACGAAGACAACTACTAAGAAGAGAACCAGAACGGCGATCATCATGATCTTTCCTGTGAGCTGTACGGCGTTTGAGTCGTCTAGTGTTCCGAAAGGGGATAATTCTCCCATTGCTATTCGTTGTTGTTCACAGCTAAAGCTTGGAGCTTTACAATGGAATTTGGGTTTTTGAGGAAATGAGCAGAACCCAGATGGGAAATGCGTTTTGCTTTGAAAATTAATTCTCTAGATGAAGCTAAGGGAAATGAGGCTTAATATAAGGAGAGAGAGAGAGAGAGAGAGAGAGAGAGAGAGTTGAAGTGGCCAAGTGGTAAAGAAAGTTGGACTTGTTCTTTGAGAAGACTAAAGGAAAAATCTTTGAACTCAAAACTTGAGAAAGAGACGGTGGAGAGTGTTGGTGTTGGTTCAATGGACGGAAGAAGGTAAAGACTAAAGAGAGAGAGAGAGAGAGAGAGAGTTGTTGTAACTTGTAGCTTGTAGCTTGAACCTCCACTTTTAGGACTCGAAGACTTGGACTTTTGTTTTGGTGGAGGAAAAAAAGAAGACGGCAACCCATATTTGGGTCCAAGTATGAGGGCAGAGGGTAGAATGAAAAGACTTCAAACCCCACCTCATGTCCATTTCTCAGTGCTTTCCCTCATAGACACCATTGCTGGCTTTTTTGTCACTTTGACACTTGACTTGAGTTTCTCTATTGTAATTTGGTTAAAAATACCATTCCTGCTACCCATTTTCAAAGTAATTTTTACTTCCATAAAAAATGTTCACCTCTATTAGGACATATATGAGTGATGACACAATTCATGCCTGTTTTTCAGCAATAGTTAATGTTGCTATAGTCTCGTACCTCCAGCGGTAGTGTACTTATCTCGACAACCATCACAAATTAATGTTATATGAGTGATTTCATAATTTATACTTGTTTTTCAATGATAATTAATGTTACTATAATCTCATAGCTCTAGTGATAGAGTACTCATCTCGACAACCATCACAATATTCAACTTTCGGTAACTTAAACCTCATTCAAATCAAAATTTACATAATTAGCACTACGTCAAACTAGCATTAATAACTCATATGATCCCTTGCTTAAAGGCTTATTATAGATTTGAATCCGATGAAGCAGATTTTGGGGGTAAGATTGGTCAATGCTACAATAGTGGTTAAGTAAGTTGGTGTTGTTGGGTGTAATTTAACGACCAAACCCTGCATTTTTCAACCAAAATGTCCAACTTTGGTGGACGATGTTCATTTCTTTGTTCAACCCTTTCTAATTGGATGAAGATAAGACCATATAGCTTGGTGGGGGCATATAGAGAAAGTGACTTTTTTTATTGTTTCACCTCACAGAGAAAGTGATTTGATTCAAAGCTAAAACATGGGGAGGTAAATATTTTTCATATGATTAGATTATTGGGAAAACCACAGTCCACAGGATGATGGCAATATATTATGTTCAAAACACTGTTTTAACGCAAATCTCAAAGCAACTTACACCTAAACCCTAATCCGAAAAGCTAGCTGATTATCAGCTGCTTTTGATCTTAGAGTCAAAATTTATTTTTATTTTTGACTTTCTTCCTGTATTTTCTCTTCAAAAAGATCCTCAATCTTTTCGTCCTAAGTGGTGTTTCATTTTCAGAAATGTACTAGTGGCAAGAGAGCAACTCACGCATTGTTTTCAAGTCAATTTTTAGGATGCAGTTTAGCTTTCCAGGCTGTGGCTTAATATATGATTTCATGTCTAAATATATATATTTATGTGCTTTGTTTATGAAAATATATAAGTCAATTAATCTTGCACTCGTGCATGTCACAAAGTGATGTGAAATATCCAAGTGGAAGTTCCCTATATTTAATCGAATCATTTACTCATTGTTCCGATCTTTGTTGTGAAGAATTTCTCGGTGTGACCGCTTGACACAAAAATTTCCTCTAATAAACTCGAAATTAAAAATAAATAAAAAATCCTTTAAACCTCAAAACGAAATAATTTTATACATAAGCACAATCTCTCGCCACCAGAAATGAAAAATGGAAGCCCTAAACTCTAGCTCGTACCATTTGCCATAATTTTGGGCTTTAATTTTCATTTGGAATACAATAATGCTCATCACTTCCGTGAGAAACTAATTAATATACTTGGACATAATGATTGATTTTGAAATGATTTTTCTTGCTCATTAATTATAGCCATTCATGCCATTAAAGCAGAAACACACAGAGGAATGAGTACCAGATTGATAACTTTGTCTGTTAACAAAGTACCTAAAAGAATACCGAGTGAGGAATATATAGCCATAGCTTCTACTGCCATGCCAGCATATCACCGGGCCGCAAGGCTTTCAAATAAAGCTTGAGGGCCCTACGGATGAAATTTCAAGAGCTATTGCTAGCAAATAAGAAGCACCCTCAAATACGAAAACACTATTTGGAGAAAATTTTCAGGATCAGGCACGTGAAAATCGTTTTAATTACAAAATAGTGTACAACTTTTCCTTTTTGGCTTTTGTAAATTGTAAATCCAGTTATAGTCCTGCCACGGTGCCACCCTATGCTTTAAAGATAGAGATGTCATTTTGTTTGCCCCATGCAGCAACCAGATCTCATTGTTGACTTATGTGTCTTGTTCGAGAAAAAGAATCAGAGATTTGGAACTCAAAAGTTGTACAGATTTTGAGTCTTGACACAGTGGGTGAATTGAGGTACTAATTGAGTAATGTTGTAGGAACTTTATACATACGAGGAGTGGAAGAATCGGACACATGACTTCAAGTGCAAGGATAAATACTCTTAACGACTTAAGCTATAAATCTGTTACGAATACTGGCAAATAAGGAGCCACACCCAGCATGGTTAATCTTTTAACTCTCTTTACAGCTTTCGAGGGGAAATTTGGAATAGCATTTGTGCTCAAGAATGTTGAAGTTGACTTTTGACTTTTTTGGGTAGAGGGATAGAGAGGAGGACTGAATTGTTCCAGTTCCAGAAGGAGAGGCTGCGTTGGAAATAAGTTAGATGGTCAATAATTCTTTGGAGGTGGATAGTATCTGTCTGTTTATCCTCAAAATGAATGTAGCCATCAGAAAGTTAATTACAACTTAGTCCTCGAATTGAAGCATAAGAAAACATTTGACTAAAATCCAAGATGCATATGTGGGAAGAAAATAAAAAAAAGCTCAACTTGTTGAAAGAAAACTTGGGTTTCGTAGAACACAAGTAACCAAAGTGAGGAGACCGTGATGGCGGCCAACCAACCAACCAACCAACCGTTCATTCAAACATTTGAAGTCTTTGTTTCACCACGCTTATAATACAATACACATGCAATAATCCTAAATGATCCTTGTGTTGTATGCTGTTCAAATATGTGACTTGTTACTTAAACATTCATGTGATGCTAAATTTTCCCACTAGGAGCCCGTGATGCAAAGAATCTTGGTGAAAGATGAACAGGTATGACAGAACAATCTCAAAACCTTTCAATCATCTCTGGAAGTTTTACAATAATGGTTGATGATGTTGCCTTTGCGCCTTCGGTCTATGTTCTAAGATTTTAGAGCCTTAAATTGGACTTGCGCTTTGAAAAATTATTGATTGTATATGATATACAATGCAACATGCCGACGTCGTGTTATTAATTTACTTAAATTATGACATATGTACATTTGTTAATACTAGACTCCAAAGCTGTCTTTGCCCATGGCCAATTATAACTTGAGTAGATTAGTTAATAATACCACATTTGCATGCCGCATGGTGTTACGGTCAAACACGCCAAATTTTTTTTATATATTTTTTTCTGTGCAACAATCTAATTCCATACTGATCAAAAATAGGATAGGACTCTTGTAATTCAGTCAATCAAATGGGCTAGAACTACAAGCCCACTTTTGGATACAAAGCGGCTACAAACTACAAGCCCACACAAAAATATCAGAAGCGAAGGCCAACAATCCACACAGGTAGCGCCGCAAATATCAAATATCAAATGGGCTGCGGTTGATTTTGAGCTCATTCGTTATCCATCTCCTGCAACTAGTATCAGACATCTTTGTGTGCCTCTCTGTGTGGCTCTCGCAGTTACAGAGTCTCTGTCTCTCCTTCCCAATACCCATAACCTCAATCCACACCTCTGAGTTTTCTTCTTTTGCTCTCTGGTTTTCTCGTTGAGTGAAACGCCCTGAAATGCTGCGTGTGCTCTCTGTTTCTACTGAGCTGTTGTTGAGTTTGGAATTGGCTGAATGAGCTCCCATGCCTTCACTTGGTACTCAAATTCACTCTCTTTCTTTGCTTATTTTTTGGTTTTAAATATGTTTGCTTATAGTTTTAGAAACCCATTGTGTTGAATTGAGTGAGCTCCTTATAACTTAATCAATGTGTGGTGAAAAATGACTTCCCCATGTCACTGACTGCATTTCCAAGGCACGTGCTGTAGTTAACTTGTGATGTTGCTTGAATGAACTGCCTAAAAACCCTTTGTTAAATAATTTGGACTGTTTGGCAAGAGACATTTTATCTGTGTGTGTGTGTGTGTGTAAATGTTCAATTGTCAAAGGATTGATTTTTATGCAAAGATTCTTGCCTGATATGTTTGGATGTTAGTTTCAAGAATTGCTCAACAACCCTTTGTTAAAGAATTTGGATTGTGTGTGTAAATTGTTCAATTGTCAAAGGTCTGATTTTTATACAAAGAAAGATCTCTGGCTGATATTTGTTGAGCAATTGAGGGTATCTGTTATATTCCTGTATTTGTTAGCAGAGATTGCTGTTGCTCAGCCTGCGTTCCAAAATCATCTGGGTACACTGAGGGCTCAAACCCCTCTTCATGGTAAAGTAATTTCAAGTCCATTCACCTTTGGAAGTGACAAGAAACTGTCCTCTGCTTGGAAATCTTCTCACATACCTACAAAGTTGAACTTCAACTTGGGGCACATCAACATCCCAAAGGGTAGTCTTCTCATTAAGGCTGTTGCTACTCTTGAGTCCAAAAGTTCAGTTCAGAATGAGGATGCACACATGGGTTACAACAATTCACAGCTCGGCACGGATTCTAGTCCCTGGACAGTTGAACCCGAATCCTCAAGTGAAGATACCGCAGAATTGGATGAGAGGGAGAGGTTAAGGCGAATGAGGATTTCTAAAGCAAATAAAGGGAACACGCCATGGAACAAAGGCAGGAAGCACAGTCCTGGTAATGATATGCTCATCCAATCTGCCTTTTGTGTTAATTTTCTATATTTCTATGATTACCATACTCTAATTATTAGTACAAATATTGCAGAAACCCTTCAGCTGATCAGAGAGAGAACAAGGCTTGCAATGCAGGATCCTAAGGTGATGTCATGTAAGAATAATTTATATGTTCTCTTAGAATGATCTTTAATACCTTTGGAATAAAATTTATATTAGAGCAGCTAGAGCTACATTCAAAACTTCGGAATTCACTCTCTGATAAAACTTATTTGGTGTATAAACTTAGATGATCTACTTAGTATTGAGACATGTACAGAGGTCCCTTGTCTTTATACGATTCAGCCAGTGCAATATAGCTACAAAGTTGATTAAGACAATATATGCAAAAATCTTTCCCATTCTAGTTGGTTCCAAGGAAACATTAGCTATTTGCATATGTAGGTCATTGAATTTTCACACAACCTATGGCTAAGGCGCATCTCTTGAGCTTCTTCCTAATTCTTCTCGATTTACTGCTGATCTTACTATTTTATGGATGATGGCATCTCATAATACTGTCAAGTAGTTAAATCTGATAACTCTTTCCCGAATATATAAATATCTTGCAGCTCTTCTGCTTTCAAAATGGCCAGGTTACTTAGTTGTCCCATGCAGATACTAATTGTCTTGCTGGTTGAACGATCACTTGCTAATGCTGGTCCTGGTACCTAATTTGATGCACATACTAGTAAATTTGTAGCCAATCCAAGGGACATAATCTCATTTGAAAAACTTCAAAGTTGTTTACTCTACTGACAATATTTGGCTATGCAGGTCAAAATGAAGTTGGTGAACCTTGGACATGCTCAAAGGTGGGTATTACATTGTTCTGTTTATAAAGACTAAGTACTGTTTACCACTACCATCTTTGTCATCCAATTTCCTAGCATTTAAGAGTCCCAACTTTATTCATAAGTTGGCTTCTTTTTCAGTCTTCTACATTTTCAACTAGAAGACTGAGATTGTAAGTTTCCGTTACTTTTCCTTGTATCCATTACAAACATCTTTTCTTTTATTGATCATATAGTAACGAGACAAGAGTTAAAATTGGGCTTGGAGTGCGAATCGGGTGGCAAAGGCGGCGTGAGAAGCTATCATTGCAGGAAAATTGCTGCTTTGAATGGCAGAACTTAATTGCTGCAGCCTCTAGACAAGGCTATGACGGCGAGGGGGAACTGCAATGGGATTCCTACAAGATCTTCGATGAACAGCTTAAAGAGGAGTATTTAGAGAGTGTTGAACAAAGGAAGATAATGCGTAGGCCAAAAGGAAGCAAGAGAGCACCCAAGTCTCTTGAGCAAAGGAGGAAGATTTCACAAGCAATCTCTGCAAAATGGAATGATCCTGTAAGTGCAAATATGGTAATCTTGGAGAGGTCTTATTGGTATCAATTACATCGTCCTCTTTGGTTCCAATAAAGTTTTATCGCCATCCAACTTCTTTCAAGAACATTCCATTGCAAGCTTCCTTTCCAATTATATTTCGGACTCTTGTCAATTCCAAAAACGATTTGGTTCATATCTTCTTTTCTACACCTGCATCCTACAAGCACCTCTTTCTCGCTGTCACCCCTTGGTTCCCTTGTGAATAATTGGGAGTCAAAGATTAATCGTGGTGACTCTAGTGTAGGTTACTCAACTGAATTTTCCACTCCCATCAAGAGAGTCAGTTTTAATGCTATTCATGGTATACATAAGTGCGTAGATGATCTTTGTTAATACATGTTTAGTACTATAATAGCAGGGACCTGAACCTTGATTTCTTTAAATTGTATTTCTATATCAGGATTATCGGGATCGTGTTTGCTCGGCCTTGGCTAAATATTACGACTCATCATATGGAGCAGAAAGAAAGCCAAGGAAGAAGCCAAGTAGTACTACAGAGTCCACAAGAAGGAGCCCTGCAAAGAAAAAAGTTAGTGAGGAAGGTGACATTAAAATCCAAAATCAACGACTGAGGTTAAGGAGAAGTAAAGCACCCATGTTTAAGGATCCTCTGACAAGTTCTAAGATGGAGATGATAAAAAATATCAGAGCACAAAGAGCAGCTGCTGAAAACAAAAAAACTGAAGCCATAGAAAGAGCTAGGTAAGCTTATCTGGTGTACTGATTGGTTTGAAAATTCTATGAGCTAATAAATTGGAAATCACTAGCCTTCAAAATCAGGTCATTGAGAACAAGCCCTTTCTTGCTGTCTAGATGACCTGGTGCCTTTGCCAGTAATATTTAAGCCTAGACTCCTCACTTGTGCAGAATGTCGTGAACTTGTAAAAAGCATCTTATCTCTCCTTGTTTTGATTGCCGTTTAATCTCTGTTGTGACATTCTGCAGGTTATTGATTGCTGAAGCTGAGAAGGCAGCCATGGCCCTTGAGGTTGCTGCAACAAAGAGCCCTGTCGCTCGAGCTTCTCTCATTGAAACCCGACAGCTTATAGCTGAGGCAATTCAATTTATTGAATCTATAGAGACAGCACCGATTTCTTCCCATGAGAATGAAGATTCTTTAGTTGCATCAAATCAAGTGATTAGTCAGGATGAGAAGGAAACATACACTGGGATTGGGGGTCTGACTGAAGCTGAGAATCGAAGGGTAAATGGCACCCAAACATTTTCTTCCCAAGAGAATGAAGACCCGTTATTTGCATCACATGAAGACCCTTTACTTGCATCAAATGAAGACCCTTTATTTGCATCAAACAAAGCGATTAACGGTGAGAAGGAACCACGTAATGTGATTGCCGGTCCAGCTGAATTGGGGGATGTAAAGGTAAATGGCACCAAAATCTTATCATCAAGTAAGGACGAGGACTCTGGCTTTGGCAAGTTCACCTTGGAGGACATGCTAAATGGTGAAGAGGACCTTCCCCCATTGCAGGATATGCTAAATAGTGAAGGGGACCTTCCCCCAGTGAGCCCCAGTGGCTATGGTTTGCCTCCATTTAGTTTTTCGGATCTAATGAAGCAATCGGATCATGACCAGTTAGCACCAAATGGGAACAGTGAAAACAACATGGAGCTTCAACTCAATGGTACAAAAGTTCAATCCCAAGAAGAGGAAACGCCTTCTAAATCGGCTACTGCAGCTAAAAAGTGGGTTCGGGGGAGGCTCGTTGAAGTAGGAGAAGAAGCTTAGTGCAGGTATAGGCAACACCCACAAACTGTGGTGCAACTTTTCTTCTTCAAGAATCTCAACTTTTGAGCTCTATGAGGCATGTCTTCGATCACATCTGCTTCTACCAAACAACAATTGCTCTCTTCATTTGTCAAGGTGGCTATTGATGTTCTCACATAGAGCTCATACTTATTTGTCGACCATGATTGTTCTATATGATGCTGATAGTAGAGTTGGAGTTTCTTTGGCCTCCCATCTACATTCTCTCGGTACCAACAAAGAATTGCATCTGTAATCGTATTTGATATTGAATGTAGATTGAATTTATACATTTTTACTAAACTGTCTGTAATATGGTGCATTTTAATACTGTCACGCAATATAACTTAATCTGTGATATCATATTGTAACACATGAAAGGCCGTACTGTAATACCATACGATAATTTCTCCTCCTCCTTTTACCAAACTGTGAATGGCTCATGTTGTGAAGCAAAATATGCACATGCACAAATCTTGGCATTATTTGTAACAGTGCTGAAATCATTTTGACAACAAGTTCTTTAGCATCATTAAATTACAGCTTTAGATCCATACAACATACAACATACAACATGACTCAATGAACATGATTCTGATGGTAAACTAAGTAGCACTTTCAGGAGGACAGGTGTCAATATCAGAGCGCTTGAGTTGAGAGTCCACAACCTTCTCCACCTCTTGCCTCTTCTTCTCTTTCTCCTCTTTCCCTCTCTCTATCACTTTCTCCACTTCCTCCTCCTACAGAAACGCAAAGAAACCCCATGAAAGATCAAAGATTGGAGGCTGCCAAAACATTCAGAGCTTCTTTCCTGCGATAGAAAATGCATGAAATGAAACAAAAAGGAAACAAAATATATAGCGTTACGTCGACGACGCGAGGGATAGGCAGCCTGTGTCCGTGAACAGCAGCCCGGTTGGGAGATTTGACTGTTGTCATAAGACGCCACAGCAGCTCTGGCTTCTTTATTGCCAAGTTTCTAACTACAAGTAGTCGTCCCTGCATTTTCTATCAGTCCTGCTGCCTTTTCCGTTGCCAATCTTCCTTGTCTGTTTTTGGTACAAACTGAGAGACTGACAATATAATTCTAAGAAATGCCAAATATGACGGTTCATGAGAGACATGAAGTCTTCTAACTCATGCCCTCTGTATGGACTGCCACGTGTCTCCTCAATGACATGTGTCATGTCACTCTGTTTTCTAAAAGTAAAGAAAATGCTAGAGATAGCATATTTCGTTTCCTGATCCCACTAGAAATTATGTGAATGATATTTATCACGCTTCTTGATCCTACTAGAATTATGTGATTATAATGTGTTTATCACGCTTCCTAATCCCTCCACTAGATATTATATTATGATTTTTCTATATAAGGCAATATAGAAATATAGAAAGGGGAAGATGGAACACAAGACTTCTAATCAGAATTATAATGCCAACAGATCTAGTTTAGTGAAAAAGAATCTTGACTTACATATTAGTGTTTTCAAATTCGAATCGCCACGACACCATAATATTGTGTGTATCTGAACATTACCGTAAATATATCTTCAAACATATCTTCGTGTTTGCGTGAGTCGAATTTGAGAGATTTTCCAATAAGAAGATATAACTCGTACTATGCCAATCATATGATTAAACTTAAAAAAAAAAATTCGATGAGTGGCTCCAACAAACCTTTATTTTGTCTGTCTCCCTAAAATCGTTGGGCTTGTTGAATGGGCTGCGAGACCAAACCAACAACCATGCATGGTGGGCTGGTAGGTTGTCATTTTCAACCACCGACACCTCCATTTACAGCAGCTCTGTCGACATTCCTTCCTGATTGGTCTTTCCTGCATTTCATTCATCCCACCAAAATCCTTCTCTCATCTCCTCTCTTTCTCTCCTCCCTCCCTCAGAGTCTCAGACAGACAACAGCAGAAGCTAAAACAAGAAAGCACTTTTTCCAACTACTACTTCTTCAGCCTGACGCCAACATTTCCAAATTGGGCTCAACTGAAAAGCCAGAATCCAAATAACCCAGAAAAATGGAGAGGCCAACTTCGTCGTCCTCCTCGGACGACGACGACGATCGCCAAAACCTAATCGAACAAAACGACAGGAAGCTCCCGACCCCTCGATCCACCACCACCGCCTTCCACATCGCCGACGACGATATCGACGACCGCAACCACCGGCACCATCAGCAATTACGACGTCGTTTCACCTCCCTCAAGCTAAACGAGCTCTTCAACAAGCGATCGTTTGTCCTCTTCGCCATCTTCGTCCCTCTATTCGTCCTCATCCTCTTCTTCACCACCGACATCAAAGCCCTCCTCTTCTCCACCAGCGTCTCGGCCTCTCCCTTCGGTTCCGTCTCCGATAAGCTCCGCGAATCCGAGCTTCGCGCTCTCTACTTGCTCAAACAGCAGCAGCTTGGTCTCTTCAATCTCTGGAACCAAACACTCCCCAATCCCAACTCCACTTCCAATCAATCCAATTCCCCCCAAATCCCACTCCTCGAGGATTTCAAATCCGCTGTCCTTCGTCAGATTTCAATCAACAAAGACATCCAGCAAGTCCTCTTATCGCCCCACCGCTCCGGAAACTACACGGAATTGGATTTTAGGGATTTCGGGGATTTCGAAAACCCGAGTCTCGGCTATCGGTGTGGGATTTTGGACCAGAAATTCTCACAAAGAAGAACAATTGAGTGGAAGCCCAATGCAAGTAAGTACCTTTTCGCCATTTGTGTTTCGGGCCAAATGTCGAACCATTTGATCTGCTTGGAGAAGCACATGTTCTTCGCGGCATTGCTGAACCGGGTTCTGGTGATTCCCAGTGCCAAAGTGGATTACGCGTACAGTAGGGTATTGGACATTGAGCACATTAACAAGTGCTTGGGAAGAAAGGTTGTGGTTACGTTCGAGGAATTGGCCGAGGCGAAGAAGAACCACGTTCACATTGATAAGTTTATATGCTATTTTTCGCATCCTACACCTTGTTATGTGGATGAGGAGCATCTTAAGAAGTTGAAGGGGTCCGGGGTTTCGTTGAGTAAGCTTGAGCCTGCTTGGGTTGAAGATGTGAAGAAGCCGAGCAAAAGGACTGTGCAAGATGTTCAGTCGAAATTTTCGACTTCTGATGATGTTATTGCTATTGGGGATGTCTTCTTTGCTGATTTAGAGCAAGACTGGGTGATGCAGCCTCGTGGTCCTCTTGCGCACAAATGCAAGACTCTGATTGAACCAAGCCGGCTTATAATGCTTACTGCCCAGCGTTTCATTCAGACATTCCTTGGCAAGAACTTCATAGCTCTTCATTTTCGGCGACATGGGTTTTTGAAGTTCTGGTACACTTTTTCTTGCCTTGCATTGCCCTGTTTATTACTTTGCCCATTTGGGTTTTCTTATTTAATTTCGAAGTATGTTTAGCTATTGCACTTGATTGTTCTTTACAACAGAATATAGATAGAGTTAGAGTACATTTGTAAAGGCACAGAGCAACAAGCTCCCAACTCTAAATATTGTGATTTCAAGGGAACAAAAAATGCAGAAACATTGGGTAGCAGCACTGCTTACCTGACTTCATGTTGGAACAATTGATCTATTATGGCTTTGGTTGTCACTGGATAATTTAGAGTGTGATGTCAAAGCATCAGTATATACTCCAATTATGCTGTGCTTTTTACAAATTAGATTGTGGGTCTTCTGGCACTGTGTATGCTATTAGCATTTTCAATTTGCATCTATCTTACAGCACTTCTAAAATGTTTGCTTATCTTACAGCAATAATAAACAGCGAAGTTGCTTTTACCCCATTCCCCAAGCTGCGGATTGCATAACTCGGGTGGCTGAAAGGGCCAATACACCAGTCGTATATCTTTCGACCGATGCGGCTGAGAGTGAAACTGGTTTGCTGCAATCACTAGTTGTGGTGAATGGAAAAGCTGTGCCACTTGTTAAACGACCTGCACGAAATTCAGCCGAAAAATGGGATGCTTTGTTATACAGACATGGAATGGAGGGGGACGGTCAGGTAGATTGTGCTACCATTTTAACATTCTATGACCGCATGAGGGTGTGTTGGTTAGTAGACAGAACATCAAAGTTGTTGCATGATATCCGTATAATTTATATGCCTTTGTTATGCTTGTAGGTAGAAGCTATGCTGGATAAGACGATATGTGCCATGTCGAGTGTCTTCATTGGAGCATCTGGATCCACTTTCACAGAGGATATCTTGAGGCTCCGAAAGGACTGGGGATCAGCTTCGTTGTGTGATGAGTACCTCTGCCAAGGTGAAGACCCAAACTTCGTAGCGGAGAATGAATGAAGAAATAGTATGTTCAATATTCGGTCATTGCTATTCTTTGTGGTTGAACCTGCCCCTCTTGTATGCCCTTCTAATTAGTGGTAGGTTTACCCCGAAATTTATTGACATGTATATTAGTGTATGATAGCGTCTGCATTTCGAAATGAGATTTGTTTTGCGTATCTCTTTTTCCTTTTCTTTTTTTGCTTAATGATAAAATGACTAGATGTGATGCTTATGGTGTCATTCCTAGAGTATATATATGAGTTATCTTTGGCATTTTTCCCATAAGATGGATCATGTAAGTATGGAGTGTTGACTTGGTCTTATTAAGCACACAAGACTTTTGGTGCTGAAAAGAGAAGCTTACATGATCAATTGCTAAAGGTTTCTATATTTTTCAGAATTGTATTGGATTGGATCATGCCTGCGATAAACCGCACCATTTATTCGATGTTTACGTAAGATGCTTGCGTTTCAATCACTAATATTTAGGAAAAGGCATGCACCATCTGCTTGCCGTTTTGGCAACTCAAAGATTTCCTTTTGGTTCGTCCTCCTGATGCTGAAAATTACTTTCAAGAGACGGATTAACGTACAAGTTTAAGTCATCATCATTTACTAAGCTGTGATTAGTGCCCCAAAGTATCAACTTGAGATAAAACAAAATTAATACACCGGAATTAGAATTAGAATCAGAATCAGAATCAGAATCAGTTGTCAAATTGGAAAGGAAAACATCACTCACCAAGCCTAGTAAAAGCAAAGCGGAGAAATAGAAAAGGTGCGGCATAATAGTTCGATAGTGTTACCAATTCATTCATTTTAAAAAAAAGGTTTTGCACAATTACATAGTGTTACCAATCGATTCATATTAAAAAGACAATTATATAGCGTTATCGATGGATTGATGTTAAAAATAAAAAGCTTGCATATTAAAACATGTGGATTAATACCCTTCCGACTAAACCATTTTCTCATCTAGTGGGTAGGATCAAGTTTCCAACTAACTGGAGGGCAATGGGCCAAATAACTAAATCCCATTCCACTTGCGAGGATTGTGCCACGTGGAGACTCTACAAGAGAAGAGCTGAGTCACCCTCCATTCGATTCGCCTTCACAATCACAAAAAACACAACACACCATGACATGACGCCGCCTCTCCTCTTCCTCTTCCTCTTCCCCTTCCTGTTCCGTCTACGATCCCTTCTGTAACTGGTACCTTCCTTCTTCTTGATGCTCATCGCTTCTTAGCTGGTTGGTTTGGTTGTATTTTGGCTTTTCGTTTCATGCTTTGCTTTCCTCCTCCAGTTCTATCGAAACTTCAATCCCAAAACTCCCACATTCTCATTGCATCATCATATTCCTTTGATTTGTTGGATTTGATTTTTAATATTTTGTTTCTGTTCCTCCACTCCTTTGACGACGTCTTGGATTTTTTTTAAGGAAAAAAGAAAGCGTTTTTTTTCAAAGGTTTGAGAGTGGAGATTCAATGATTCTTCATCATCATTTTCTTCTTCGTCACTGACTTAGAATATACCAATTTCGTTGATTTTTTTAAATTAAAAACGAAAACCCAAAACAAAGATTCAATTTCTTTCTTTTTATTATTCTATTATTATTTTGTTTGTTTTGTGTGCTTAATGATCACGAAGAAAAAACCTTTATAAGAAGTGGGTTGATAAGGGGCTTTCATAGTTGTTGTGGTGACAACTGGGAAGGATGAGAGCGAGAGTGATAGTGTTTCCTGTTAGAGGGAGGAACTGGTGCTTCAGCAGATCCATTGAGCCTCTGGTTTCAGACTCTGCCTCTCATATTCCTTCAACTCTCAAAGGCCTCTGGAAAAAGCTCTCTTTCTCTTCCAATACCAATGCCAATGCCAATGCCAACCCTTTTGCTGCCAACGCTGAGCTCCTCGTTGATTTTGTCTCTACCAAGGTCCATAGAAAAACCCGTTATTTATAGCATTTACTGCTGCTGTATTTTCACTGGGGTTTTCTTATATCTATTTGGATATCATGGTTTTGTTTTTTGTTTTTGAGTAGATGAACAATGCCTGGATGGGGCTGGAGAAGGCGCCTCAGGGAACTTTTAAAAACAAGCTTCATGGGTGAGTAGAACTGCAAGCTCACAGAACCCTGAGTGAATTTTGGAGTTTTCATTTGCCTCACTAAAGTTTGGTGATATGAGTTTTAACTTGAGCAGTTATAATGTAGGTTGGGATTGAAGCTGTTAGCTCGCGTTAAGCCTTCTGAGATTTTTCTGAAATCAATCTCTAATGAGATCACGGGTGTTGAAGTTACATACCCTTCAAGGTTTCTTTCTGTTGCTTTCACTTACAAATTTGCTTCCTTCTTTTCTTTTTAAAAGCGCTATCTTTTCAACTTCTTCCACCATTTTTCTGCTGGGTTTGTATGAAGAACTACTTTGAAAAAACAACAGATAGTCACATATATAGAATAGCTCGTTTTTCATTCGTTTGCCATTTGGAATGATAACACCTTTTATTGTACAATGCAAAATGCTACAGCCCATGGTAGTGTGAAATTCGGTGTGCAACGAATTTGATAGAACTTCACAGAAATTATACGGTGCTTTATCTATTAGATGGGCTAATAGGAATATATAAAATAAAAAAATTAGCATATCAACTTAAGAGCTATGCCCAATCACAACACTAAACAATGAAGACTTGGTAATTTTGAGTCAAAACAATTATTACTTCTAGTATTTCTCTCTGAAAAAGAATTTATTAGTGCAAAAAGAATGCTCAATATTCTAATTTTTATTTGCAATTTTTTTTCAGTGATTTGTATATTTCGTTTTTTATGTTTTGGTGTCCTAATCATATATTAGGGTTTTGCAGCTTAAATGCACGGCTTGTCCGTAGGAGGTTACGACATATAGCTATGAGGTATTCTTTTGCTTTCACATATGATAACTAGGGGTTTAGAGCCACATTTATTGATTGTATCACTTATTTTCTCTTTTTTCCTTTGTATTGAGCAAGAACCAAAATACCAAATCTATATAAACCTTACTGATGAATGGAGCCACTCCTCGACCTAATTGAAATCAACGAGGCTCTTTCAGTCAATGTTTATCGTTTATGACTCTTTAGATTGTATATCAATGCTGGACTACTTTCAAAATTTCTTATGACTTTACCTAGATTTAGAAGATTATGTGTAATTACAGTATTAATAAATTTGGGCGTTATTTTATCATGGGTCAAGGTACTTTTCTGACAGCTTCATGCATCAACAGTGGAGAGTAGGAGTGAAATTGATTGTAGGGAGTCTTAAGCTTTATGTATTGAGAATGATATCTAGATCCAAGACCCATGGAATTTCTGTCGATTGATGACCTTTGTAACTTAATTGCCAAAAGCTCCTGTGGTACATTTGGTGTTTGTCGCTTGAAGGGCTATTGAAGATGGCATTAATTTCCATTGGATATATTATATTGATTTATGATGAGACCAAAATTTATTGATATGAAGTTTTATCTGATTATCAGGGGATCTATCATACACAAAAAGTACTTATATGGTTCGTTTACGTTGCTTCCTCTGACATCTGCATTTACTGTACGTATGTGTTAACTTGAGTTGTCAACTCTTATTTCACTGTGAATTTGTTCAGTCTGTTGATCCTTAAATGCTTTTGCACTTCGCAGCTTACATATCCTTTTGCCAGATCAACTAAATTCCCATTCTTACATGAGTTGTTTTTAATTCCATGCAGGTTTTGCCTTTGCCTAATATTCCCTTCTTTTGGTGTTTATTCCGTACTTACTCTCATTGGCGAGCTCTACAGGTGCATTGCATACACTCTTTTTAGAGATAAAAACTATTCCTAGCCTGATTTCTTTTGTAAAATAAACTAGAAAATTAGTTTAAAACTCTGCAGAATATATATATTTTTTCCTGTTTCAATCCTGGTAGATCAATTATGTATTGCCTATTACAATATGTAGATATATCAAAATTCTTTCTTGTTTTTTGTTCTTTTTGATGTTTAAGGGAAGCGTGAAGCTCCTTCAGCTAGTCTCAGATAGCCATGACACTCCCAATTCTACTCTCGATGGAAATGAAACTGAGCACATTAAATCACATGGACGCAAAAAGATACATGATTCTCCATGGGTAAGTTATTTTATGATGTCCTGAAATTGGAGTCCACTGGGTTTTGATTTTCAATGGCCTGTGACAAGAGTCCTAGAAGAACCTTGTTCTGGTAGATATTATTGCAGCTGTCTGGGTTCTATTGCATCCCTTGAAGTAGTTAGTGTTAGATAAACCTAATTTCTGAGAACCTTCGTCACTTATGCACAATTGGGAGATTTATGGGGTTTCTGCATCATCAATAAGCTAGGCATGACAAGAATATGACAAAATCTAGCACCGCAACGACAACAATGGGATTATTTCTTGGCCTCCTGCTCAGTTACCATCGCCAACATGCTCATGCATTGGGCTGACACCGTGCACACACAAGCAAGCTATTTGTGTTGTTGATAACAACTTAAGATATCTTCCTGTTTTCCATTAAGTTTTTAGCCTAGGAAGTTTTACTGTTGTTTAATCTTCACTTGTGTCATCATCCTGTCCAATAGTTCATAATTTAATCACCATTTGCTTACTGTCTCAACCATTAATTGTTCAAAACTGTTGTTTCCCCTGCTTTCTTGAGATCTGACTAACTCTATACGGTTGCCCCGCCCTCCTTCCCCCATGACACAGATGCAAGCCTGTGCACGAGTACACAAAAACACCTTTTTTCTGCAAATGCTTATAATATTATCACATTGACTCCTGTCAAACATAGCATCATTCAATTTTCTCTCTTTTTATTAATTTATTTTTTTGTTCCTCTATGTATTTAGGTTTTGCAGCCGTCTAAAAAACTTGAGGAACTTCTTCATCATGGAGATGAGCAAGACGGTCTGAAAAAACCTGCTATATTAGATATCTGCAAAACCTTTGAATTGAACACTAATGATGTTCTGAAATACAGAGATTCAATGTAGTTACATATTTGTTTTCCATATGCAATGTAGCATCACATTCACTAGCGAAAAGCAATTTCATCTTCTTTTTTTCTTTATTTGTTGGAATAATTGGGCAATGCCAGAGGAAAATTTTGAGTTATGAGGACTGAGAATTTCTACTGTGAAGTTTACCTCTTCTAATGGTGCTTGGAAAAATGCACCAGATTATAAAGTTTACCTCTTCTACTGTGAATTTCTGTCTTGGCTTCCGACTCTGATTCAGATTGGTTTACTAAAAGTCTGCGAAAATTTACATCTTTACTGATAGTATTATCTGCATATAGGAAGCAATTGGTTATTTTGTTTTGCAAATCACTACACAGCAAGCAACATTAACTGCAAATTCACTGATGGTGATTTAAATTCCGTTATTTAAGAATTCTAAACAATTTTCAAATCCTTTATCCAAATGGAGGTAAACTATTTTCAGCTTCTGGATCAGAACCCAATTCCAAGCCGAAAATATTATTTAGTACCATCAAGTCCCAACCTTACCCTATCTGGAAAAATGATACTTCCAAATGTGCACCCTGTAATTTGATGAATGCACCTAACATTCATTTTCTTTTTTCAAAATACCCCCTAATTTATCCTTAAGCTTACAGATCAAATAACTTTTAAAAAAATCACTAAAATCAGGTGGATATTTCTATATGCAAAGCAAAAGACGTTTATGGTTAAATTAAGTAACTCAAAATCACCTTTATTTGGGATTTTTTTTTTCAAAATATAACTACATTTTAAAGAAACCTATGTAAAATATTAAAATATAAATGAAACGAGCCTAATCCGACATAATACTTGCACGCGCACAACACGTGATATAATTTTCCCTATAAATTATAGAAGCAAAACGCAAAGCAGCGGCATTGATTGGGACTTGCGAGAAGGTTAGGGGCATAGCTTGAACAAAAAGAAAGTCGATTGAGCTCTCAAAATACTTTGAGCAAAAAATCTAGTGCAAACTCCAATCTCTACTCTCTAGTCTCCAATGGCGCCAGAACCTGAAGACATCAAGGACGAGAAGAACCCTAGACCGCTTGACGAGGACGACATCGCCCTCCTCAAGACCTATGTGAGTTTTCAGCTCAATTTTTCACAAACCCTATTTTTCTCCTTTTCGATCTGTTCGTCTGTCTTTCATTTTCGCTTAATCTCAAATCCCCAATTTCATATATCGCGTCATGTTTCTCAGATTATTTTTGTGATTAGTACAAAATGATAATAGGGATTTAATGGAATATGCAGGGGTTAGGGCCTTATTCAACACATATTAAGAAAGCCGAGAAGGAAGTCAAGGATTTGGCTAAGAAGGTCAATGATTTGTGTGGTATGTACATGTCCCTTTGCTCAATCTTGCGCCCAATTAAAAAAATTTCAGTATATGTGCTTAGCTTTGTACATGGGCCAAGTTAAAGTTGATTGCTTTACAGGTATTAAGGAGTCTGATACTGGCTTAGCTGCACCCAGCCAATGGGATCTTGTTTCTGACAAGCAAATGATGCAGGAGGAGCAGCCTCTTCAGGTTTGGTTTGGTTTGATTGCACACTCAACCATACAGTCACTGTTTTGTGTTATAATTTGATAATGAAGCATTGATTGATTTTGTGAGCCAGGTTGCAAGATGTACGAAGATAATCAATCCCAATTCTGAGGATGCTAAATACGTCATAAATGTTAAGCAAATTGCAAAGGTCTAGCCTCTCTCTTTTTTGTTTTCCTAAAACAGCTCCCTTTTTCTTCTTTATTTTCTCCATATGTTTCAGTCTTTTACTTTTTTGGTTCTCCTGCTCCATTCCTCATATCCTGTATCATTTCTGGAAAATTTGCAGTTTGTTGTTGGGCTGGGTGACAAGGTTTCTCCAACTGATATAGAAGAAGGCATGCGTGTGGGGTAGGCCCACCTATTTGGCAACTATGATAATTTTACAGATTTGTTAATCTTATTCAATTATTGGCATGAACATAGCTAGTTTAGGATGCATCACGTAAGGTTATGCTTGATTGTATTTGTTAAGCGACACACCAAAGAATTGCTTAAAGAACTTGTGCAGTAGCGAAGTTTTTTTAATTAAAAAAATAGGAAAATTATTTATTACAGCACCTTTTCTGCATGCTCACATCTCAGCTCCTGCCTTATCACCATATTTTATGATGTTGTTCTTTAACATTCTATATTTGTTGTTGATGACTATGTTAGTTTTCTTAGAATTGGAGTTAGTGCTGTATGCTCACATCTTTATCAAGTTTGTAGTGAATATGTTGGAGGCTTGTGTTTGTTTGCTACTATATTGTTGTTTGGTTAACTAGTTTGTCACTGCAGGGTTGACAGGAACAAGTATCAAATTCAGATTCCTTTGCCTCCAAAGATCGATCCAAGTGTGACCATGATGACGGTGGAAGAGAAGCCAGATGTAACATATAATGATGTTGGTGGATGCAAGGAGCAGATTGAAAAGATGCGAGAAGTGCGTATAGCTTATTTAACTATCTTTCTTTCCACTGTTTGTTTGTTTCTTTATGTTTGACATGTATAAACATCTGTTATGTTTGGTTTTAGGATAAAAACTTAACAGTGTGCATATATACTTGATTATCTGTCTTAGGTTGTGGAGCTGCCAATGCTTCACCCCGAGAAGTTTGTGAAGCTCGGAATTGATCCTCCAAAGGGTGTCCTCTGTTATGGTCCTCCGGGAACCGGTAAAACACTTCTAGCTAGGGCTGTCGCTAATAGAACTGATGCTTGCTTCATTCGTGTTATTGGGAGTGAGCTTGTTCAGAAATATGTTGGTGAGGGCGCTAGGATGGTTCGTGAGCTCTTTCAGGTGAGAAGTAGTTGAATGTTTAGCCATATTGAATTAACTTGGAATTATTTTGAGTACTGTATTTATGTTACTTTATTTTCTGACTAATTATCTTATATTTGGCAGATGGCACGCTCAAAAAAGGCCTGTATTGTATTTTTCGATGAAGTTGATGCCATAGGAGGAGCTCGCTTTGATGATGGTGTGGGTGGAGACAATGAGGTTCAGCGTACAATGCTTGAAATTGTGAATCAACTTGATGGGTTTGATGCTCGTGGAAACATCAAAGTTTTAATGGCAACAAACAGGTCTGTTTATGTATTTCATTTTGTACTTTTAAGTGATTTTCATTTGGGTTCTTTTTGACTTTTAATTAACACCTGTCTGTTTATAATATGGTTTTTATTGGACCTGTTTTTCAGGCCCGACACACTAGACCCAGCACTGTTACGTCCGGGACGATTGGATCGTAAGGTTGAGTTTGGCCTCCCTGATTTGGAGAGTAGAACTCAAATATTTAAGATCCATACACGAACAATGAACTGTGAAAGAGATATTAGGTTCGAACTACTGGCTCGGCTCTGCCCAAATTCAACTGGTAAGGATGCTTGACAAACAGATTGTCATTATTACATAGTTCTATCTATTCTTATTGTTAATTTCATATGATGAGACATTTTGGTTACAATAAATCTAATATCGAGGGGATGTGGTCATTTGCATCTTATTCATTCCTTTTGTATGTTCCATGTGCAATATATATGGTTCTCCTGTTTGTGATCGGACCTGCTACATGCCTCCTATCTTGACTTGGCTTAATGTATTATTGGACTTCAATTTTGTTTTGTGACATGATCGTCTCTTTCTCAGGGGCTGATATAAGAAGCGTTTGCACTGAAGCTGGAATGTACGCCATCCGTGCACGAAGGAAGACGGTAACAGAGAAGGATTTCCTTGATGCTGTGAACAAAGTGATTAAGGGGTACCAGAAGTTCAGTGCAACACCGAAGTATATGGTTTACAACTGAGCCTAGATGTTCTATTCTGTTTCGAGAGGCCACCAACAACTTCATATCTATTGTTTGAATTGTATTCTTGTGTTTAAACTTAGTTGTTCAGTTTATAAATCACTTTATGATGGTGGTTCTGAACTTGGATCTGCTCCAACGAAAACCCAATCCAATTGCTTTATATACTCGTTTTTCTTGCCACTCCAATTTCTAGACAATTTCATCTTTTGCCCAAGTATTAGTGATGGGTGAAAGTTTACATTATTTTAGTTCAATGTGAAGCAGCTATCCTTTATTTTCACGAGTTGATTGGTACTAATATCAGCCATGAAAATCAATGACAGGAAACCTTACGGTTGAATCCTGAATGATCACCCTTGCGGCCTTGCTTGGGTTCAATCTCAGTATCTCATCTTATCTTGTGCTCATTCATCCGCCTTGGTTTTCTCATCTTATTTGTTCTTTTGTGCTGACGACCATAAATAAAATAAATGTTCTCATATAGACGGCTCTGGAGTTTAGGACAAGCTTATCATAAAATTCCAAAAATGCCAACAACAAATCATCTCAAGTCCATCCACGCTTATAAAATTCCGTCTTCTATGCTCGTTCTGATGCTCTAAACTTCGAAATGCCAACATAACGAAAAATCAAGCTTGGGCAAGAGGGTCTTCTCAGCATTTGCTAAGACCAGTTTTGGGCTGTCAAGTTGAGAGAGCAAGGGGCTTGTATCTCAAGTAGTTCTAAGTATTTATCCCTACATCTGAAGTCCTAGGTCTGATTCCCCCTCCAAAGTTGAAAGATGTGGGTGTCACTGAGTCCATTCCATGGTGTTTGCGAGGATTAAGAACCGAGTTTTGTCCTCAAAACTGCACCCTCTTATTCGTGAGAGTTTTGGGGACAACCATGAGTCTATAAGCTAGGAAGGAGCTGTAAAAGAGCGACCTCGACCTCGACCTTGACCTAGCTATTGTGGTTTATCTTTGGGTTCAGCACCTAATATGATTTTGTTGAGGAATATGATACGACTGAAAATTGGTTTCTTTTGAAGAAATGCAAATGGGTCATTGAGCAACCAACAATTCTACAACTTGGAAGCAGTAATTGCAATCTTTTACAACAATTGAAGCTTCCAGGCATAACTGCAATGTACCAAAACAATACAATGCTCTAGTTCTAAATCAAAATCACATTTTATATGTTCTCAAATTTAGGGAGGATGGATAGGAATGATTCCTTCCTTCAAACCATTTGATTGGAAAGAAAAAATGAATTAAAGTATAGTTTATTTACTTCAATATCGTACAGATACAAGAGAAATCAGGTGCATCAAGATTCAAGAGGCCTATATGCTTCTGTTCTGCAAACTGATATAGTGATGTTGCGTGGCGCATGATTTGATTTTATTGTATACATACTGTGTGAAATAAAAATGAAAAAAAAGACGTTATCATTTGAAACAAGCTCCAAACCGTTTTGGGCAGCACCAGTTCAAGTTTGAAAAATATTCAACAAGGAAAGAACTACCTCAACTAGGTAAAATATTAACAAACATATGCTACCAAGCGTGTAGGCTCGGTAACATATTGTGTAGCCAAGGTGAATATGAACTCAAAATGTATGCTTTTCTTGCGGCATGTCCTCATGTGTATCAGCATTGTCACCTCGTGCTTTCCTCAAGACATGTCATCCTGTCCATTGGCGTTGTCGCCTCTCTGGGATCCTCCTTGATCATTTCCAATTGTTCTCCTGCTCATGTTGGCTCGCTGCACCAACCGAACCAATGCTTCAACCACTTCCGACATAGGAGGTCGGAACTCAGGCTCGGGCTGCACCAAAATGTGGTAGTTAAGGATCAGATTTTCACTTCAGTGCAGAAAAAGCAAAACCCAAAGCCTATATCTTATATTTTAACCAGAAGCTAGCTGACAGTTGTCATTCATGCCTTAATGAGTTAGACATTATTCAACTTAGTATAAACTCCATAAAACATTACCTGGACACAAAGGGCAATCACATCAGCAAACCGTGACAGAGATTTAACTGGATAGAGCCCCTTGAGTGCTGGATCCACCATTTTCGAAAGAGCGTCAATATCATGGAGCTGGGGTGTTGCCCATCGAACCAGAGATTGTTCAGATCTAGGCTTCGAGCTGTTAAGGAATTTTCATACAACAATTAACTTCACCAATCGTTAAAAATGATTATAATATTAATACTATTTTTATATCAACACTTACCTATCAAATGGTTTCCGTCCACTAATAAGCTCCAGCATAACCACTCCAAAACCGTAGACATCACTCTTTAGAGTATATTGACCAGACATTGCAACCTCAGGTGCACTGTACCCAGATCCCGCATTGTGCTCCAAGGCCTGCTCATGTTATACTTAAAACATCAGAATTTTCCCACAAAATCGATGATCAATTCATTTGATTCAACAAGAATGCACATGGGTTCTGCTAATAAGTGGTCAACAATATCCATCTGCAGACAATCATCAATGGCCATCACTCCATTCAATGAAGTGAAGCTATGAAGTCCCAGCACATTTTAAGGCATAAAGTTGGTGTTTCACCAAGGAGTTCCACATGAATTTTTCCTTGCTAACAAATAAAACTCATGGAAGCCTACAGGAGATCTGACAAGTCTGCTACTACCTTATTTCACTAGGTCCATTTTATGTAAATGTTAGACATAGAATCTTACTACTCAGAATCTCTGACATCTGATTGGTGCATCTGAGTTTGCTTACAAGTGTTTGCAAATCCTAGTAATTATAATTTATAATCATCTACAATGTCCCAATACAGCTATTCTGTTGGGACACAATTTCACATAATGAAATCACCAGTTCAAGTTGTATAGATATATTATATTATATTATATTATTATTATAATTATATATATATATATATATATTAAACGAAGTATAATAGATCTCAAATTGAACCTGATCAGCATTGGGGATAAAGCTTGCGAGGCCAGTGTCTGAAAGATGAGGGTTGAGCTCCACATCCAGTAATATGTTGGCTGACTTTATATTTTTGTGAATAATTGATGGTGAGCAAACTTCATGCAAGTACCTTTATAAAAAAAAAGCTTTGTGAGTACCAGAAACACTTCATTCTCATTTGTCAAAAAAATATTTAAAGTACCGGTCATAGAGATTTGACACTCCCTGAAATCAAGGTTTCAAAAATGAGTTCAAGCTTATATTTATAAGAAATGCAACCATCAAATTATATCCAACTTTCATGTCTAACTTTCAATTTGACCATTTACCCACTAACAACTTACTCTAGTGCCCGTGCAGTCCCCAGAGCAATCTTGACCCTAGAGTTCCATGTCAATGGCTTGTTGTAGTCATCTGATAGATGCAGGAAGTCATGCAGCGAACCACTTTTATGGAACTCATAGACTAGCAGGTGCTGTCCATGCTCTGAACAGTAACCCACCAGCTCCGTTACATTCGGGTGATGCAACAGGGAGATGTTCGAAACAATCTCTGTGAAATCTTCTGACAACTCACTAGGAAGGACAGATGAATCTATTTTCTTCACAGCAAGAACCTATAATATTGTTAGAGAATTAACAAATTAATATCATTTATGTTTAGTCTTTTAGAAACAATTGGAATTGGAGTATTTGATAAATAAGAAAAAAGATATTCAACAAATGCTTAACCAACCATATAGGCATGCAGCATTTATACTCTCTGGAGCATTCACTGTGTGTGTGTGCATGAAAGCACAAACCATGTGCCCAAGCGGGCAAGGCAAAAGAGAGAGCCACAGACAGGATATTAAAGAAGGAAAAGCACTACTCTTTGAACTCGATATAAAGGAAACTTGACAATGAATCAAAAGAGATTATATTTTTCCAATCTCAATTGCATGGCAAATAGATTAATTAGGTAAAAAGTGTACCTTCCCATCATCAAATTGAGCACGATAAACACGTCCAAACGACCCCTCACCAAGAAGGTTTTCAACGTTAAAACTGCCAGTAGCAATCTGCAGGTCTGCTATTGAATATGAGGTCACATTTAAAGGAGCTGTGCTGGTTTTCTTGACCACAATGGGCTTCTTTGAGAAATCTTCTTCATCAAATGATTTATGACGATCCACTGGTGGGGGTCTAAGATTTATTGTGGCAGGAGTATCAAAGGTCTTCATGTCCAACGTGGCAGGGGTTTGTACAGATTTCATTTCTGCATTGGAGTGCCACAGACATGGCAGTAAACATTCAAAAACAACCATGGAAAGTTAAAAATGGTTCAACAAAGAACTTGTAGATCTGAACAAACATAATTGAAATGTTTCTATAGCTCATATGCATCACTAATTTCAAAAGTTTAAGGCTTGGTCCTTTTTCTGTAATTTCAATTAAAAAAAGGTTTGTGAATAAACTGAATCTACAGACATCGAGACATTGGCACAGGCTTTGGCAACAAACATGTTCAGTAAACTGCATGTTTGAAAATCGACCAAAAAAAAAACTGCATGTTTGAAAAATTCCTTGGCATTAATAGTAGTTTTATTTACAACACCATAGATCTCGATCATTTACTTTCACTTGAATGATTTGCAACATGAACTAATAAACTCGGCAGGTATTTTGCAGAAAATAATGAAATTCAAATCCAGTTACAACAGCATAAATAGCAAACCAAAACAGAAATGATAGGTAAGACACAGAAAATTTTCTGATAATGCTCAACTGAATGTAAGATGTAGAAAAATTGTAGGTACTAGCTAGGTACCTTTTACTTCACTTGCAAGTGGAGCAAAGGGCTGACTATCAAACTTCTCCACGTCCGAGGACGACCTCCTCAATCTTCTCTTTATGATAAAGAATGCGACAACCCCCGTAACTACCAAAAGAGATATCACTATTCCTGCTATGCCACCACCTCCTATTCCTGATTTCTTTCCACCTTCACCTGCACCACCTTTTGATGGTGAGCCATTGCTGCCAGATTTGTGATTTCCGTTGTTCTTGCTGGCTGGAGGTGTACCAGGTGGAGGTGGGGGTGCAGGGCCTGAGTTCCATGTGTTTCCATCCTTCCTGTCGTGAGATTTCTTAGAATCATATAATGAACAGATTCATTCCAGATTTAAAATAACAGTAGCTAATAATAGAATGCTTACTCCAGATTAATGTTTTCCAACTGCTCTGGAATCCAGCCGGTAAATCGGTTATTTTGAATATTCCTAAGAAACATAAACAAAAGCGCTTTAATGGGCTGAAGGCCAGGACACTGAGGAAAGAGAGGGAGAAGGAGCAATGAATATCCGTCTAAGTTGTATGGCTATCTCACAGATTTTCAAGGGGGAGATTGGCAAGGACATTAATGTTCCCTGTAAGCTGGTTATTCTGCAAATTCCTGAAAGAAGACAAATTCCAGGGAAGAGTCAAGACAAAAACTAGATAATTATACCATAATGAATTAATAATAAAACTTTCAATACTTACATTGTGGTCATACTTGAGAGGGAGCTTAAACTCTCAGGGAGGTTACCTGACAGAGAATTGAAAGAGAGGTCCCTGAAGCAAATAATAGAAACTATCGTCATTTGATCCTTTAGCAAAACCAACTTGAAAATATTATAACGACTTGTTTAATTTCTGAGCATTATACCACACACATTGACGAAGGTGATTGACAATTGAAGAATTTCATAGAAAAACATAACTAGATACAGAGATATCCCAGGCGTACATTATAAAGATATTCAAAGATTGTTATTCACAGATTATAAAATATCGTATACTGCGAATAACATTACAGTTTCTTTTAGAAGAAGGGAATGACCGATTTGCAAATTATGCACTTGCGCCAATGTAGACAGCAATGCAAGCTACTCCTTATGTAAAACAAAGATAGAAGGAGAACTCACAATGTGGATAGGGAAGAGAGCTTTCCAAAAATGTCATCCACCTGGTTCTGAAGCTGATTATGACTGATGTTCCTACAGTTCCCAAAAGAAAATGAAATTGGTTTACTTTAAACATTTTGTATAAGTTGTGACAAGAAGTTGCAAAGAAACATTTACTTACAGATATTCAAGAGAAGTTATCAGAGAGATGGAATAAGGGATGCCTTGATTGAAGTTATTAGCAGCAAGGTTTCTGCATGCCAAAAAATAGTCTATATTATCAAAAAAAATCAGAAGTGGAATAATAAACAAGAAAACAGTAGATTAATGTGTTTATGAAGCATACAATCGAGTCATGTTTGGAGGAAGTGAATAAGTTATACTGCCTGCGAGATTATTATGGCTCATGTCTCTGCAAAAAATTTCAAATACTCAAATCACGAGATCAAACTAATGCAGTAAAAAAAAATATTGATCAACTTGACATATATGACCATTGATCTTACAGGTTGGTTAATGATGTCAAACTCTGAAGCGAAGACCACAATGATCCCGAAAGTTGAAGATTTGATACATCACTGATTAAAAATAAAATAAAAACACCAAATGACAGAATAGGTATCAGAAATCAGCACAAAGGTGGAAATATCCAGGGAAACAAATGAGGAAGTAGGGAATCACATTTCTGTTACTCGTGAGCCCGAGCACTTAACACCTTTCCAAGACTGGCCACATGGATCATCACCATTTGCACTCCACTGGGTTAGCTGAGATGGGGAGTTTAAGCTACTATACAAGGCCTTTAGAGCAGAAACTGTGCACATAACATGCCACAGGAAAAGTCAATACATGCAAAGCTAGATATGGACTATGAATGAGCAAGCATGCTAACTAACTGATAGAATCTAAAAGATGCTTTCAATTAGGGGTGCCATGATCATGTCAGGTTAAGATACCAATGTTCAACTAATTGGGTGAACACTAACAAGATATAAATTAATAATCGTGTCAGAAGAAACAAAGAAGTTCATATTAAGTACCTGTAAACACATTACCAAAATATTCAAAATGAAACTGAAACTTAAAAAATCATATAAAAAATTACGAATAAATATTATTTTTATTTCATACACCTATAATAATGTTCAATAGCTGATGGATTGTAAACTTTGAGTCACTGACTGAAGTTCCAAATCTAAATGAAGATAATCTTATAGAATGGTTCACAGACAATGAAAACAAATTCTAGCATTAAAGAAACTACCTCTTGAAAAGACTAACACTTTTATCATGAAGTTCATACCACAAGGTTAGAAATTTATCCTGAAATTTTTTGTTGGTGAATTAGGTTTGCTGGGATCTTTTTGTTGCTGCCTATATCTTCTTTCAGAAACTTTGTTTCTGTACAGGGCTTGTTAAGCTTGAAGTTCTCTTGGTTTCTTTTGGTTGAGTACTAAGAATTATCATCTTGGTTTGTTTTAAGCCTTCTAGTCTTCTAAGCAACATTGATATTATTTTGATTTCAATTGCACGTAAGTGAATCTACATTGTCTTTAGGCATGTCAACCTTTGATATGGTTGTTTCCGTGGTATGGTATGATAGTGAAAACATTGGTAAAATGATTGTGCTCATTACAAAGACTTCAACATTTTTAAAAACAACATCGTTTTTGTGAATTTCTGATACTCCAGTTAAAAGAAAGCACAAATCTTACAAACGGTAGGCTCCCTTGTGTTTTAGTTGATTAACTTATTAAAATACCAATGGTATACTTAAATCCCTTTCTTACAAATTGATGCATCTAAACAGGGAAATTAGAAAATCCAGAATTAAATCTCAGCCATGCTGAATAGGTTAGCCAAACTAACACTTCAAATCCTGGAACTTAGAATCATGTTTTTCAAATCCCATTCTTTTGAAATCCCTTGGTACTTTCAATTACCTGATCTAAACGCAAAGTGCAAATTGTAAAAGTTAGAAAAGTAGCAATTGCAATTGCTTTTCATCATATCTCAAAGTGGGAATTAAACGCTTTTAAAACGCAAAATGGCAATGATAGTCATAAAGCGACAGCTAATTCTCACTTTGATAAAGAGAGAGAGAATAATTTCATTCTCTTTTCTGAAGCTCGAATTACATGAATGCGAAACAGCAATCACATAAAATCCCAGAATTTATTTATTTTAAATAAAATTAAGTGAGGCAAAGTAAAGCAACACCACTAATATCAGACCAGACCCTGCATATAAACAGTTCCTCTGATGTTGCCCTTCCATTTACAGAAAGAACTCCACACCAAAAATAAATAACTCAAAATCAACAATATAAGCAAAAATCTGAACCCAATAAGCAGTTGAAGGACCATTTCTAAAATACTAAAGGAAGTCAAATCTACAATGCATGTACTGGGTCTAGTATTCAACAAAAATGGAGAAAAATAAAGCAGCAAAAATAATGCGGATGTGCCCAAGATTAGCTCATGAGAGTACAAACAAACTGGTATTAATTCAAAGAAACAGCAAAAAGGAAAAAGAGAGAAGAAGAGTTGGGTGAGACACTGACCATCTGCTGGATCTGTGGCAGCATTGATGGAACTGGGACTCCATCCCAAAATGCAGATGCTGAACACCAGCAAAACCCACCTCCAAGTCTCCAACATCTCTCTCTCTCTCTCTCTCTCTTCTCTCTCAGCACTCACTCTCTGCCTATTCTAAACTTACCCACAGAACACAAAAGCTAATGAAAGCTTGCCCCTTTTTGGGTGAATTGATTTTGTTTTCCCAAACAGATTTGTAATATATTTTATTCTTAAGTAGCCATGCCCAAGCAAAGCTGGCAGGCACGATTTGCCAGAAGAATCCAAAGCCACAGAAAATAAAAGCTTTTGTTTTTTTATCTCTCTACTTCTTGGTCTTATTGCAATTTTCTGTCTTTTCTTTTCTTTTCTTTTAGGTATGAGGAGGAAAATACACAATACTCTTGGTTGGTGTGTATGCACTAGCTGTGTGTAGCTAGGCCAACCCAACTCTATGTATAATTCATTGCTATATCATATTCACATTATTCTCTCTCTATCTTTCTCTCTCTCCCTAATTATTTTCCAAATTAGATTTAACTATAATACAGAAAGTCACAGCTTTCATCAGCTTCACACGCTTTCATCAGTACTGGCCTTCATTTCATGACTGGGTGGGTGGCAACCCAATACTTGAAATGCATGACCCATAAAAGAAAAAAAGATTAAAATCACCATGATGGATTTACTTTCACCAAAAATGTCACCTTTTCAATGGAGAGAGATGAAAGTCACGAGATTCTCGCACATAAAAATCAAATCTTTTCTTTTTTTTCTCCTTTTTACTGTTTTTCTCTCTCGCATTCTGTGACAGTGGCATCAATTTTAGTTAACAGTTAGATTTGGTCTTGGATTAGATTTGGTAGATAATCAGTGACCCAATCAGCAGCGAAAGCAGGGCAGTAAACAGTGGCGATGGTGCCATATTGGATTCGACTGTATTGAGTTGGACTGTACGAAGTAGTCAACGTCAGAGCTCCTCCTGCTTCTGTTTTTACAGTCACCTCTCTTTTACTTCACTTTTCTTTTCTTGTCCTTTGAATCTACGTACATGGTTGTTGTTTTGAGTTTGAGTACATTACTAAAATAAGGAAAGTATTTAAGACACTCTGCTAATATTTTAATACAGTTCCTCCTTTTTTGGGTATACCTCTTTTTTCTTTTTTTATCTTATCAAACCATTGTATAAAAATTCAATAATTAAGCATGGAAGTACATATAATTGTTCGAATATTTAGTTTGTCAATTTTTTTTTTGACAATTTGATATTTCAAACTTCTGCAATTTAAAGAGAAAAGAATTCGAATTTAAATTTAAAAACGTCAGATACACTGTCTTAATCAACTAACACGATTCACATTTGCTTATAGTATTTATTTATAATAGGTAATAGAGCATCTATCGTCTATCTCCCTTTTTTTTTATAAGGAAAGAGCATCATGCCGTCTACCATGTTCTTTAGTATTTAAAATTCAGATTTGTTTTTTAACTTATATATTGGATTTCGGTGGTAGGTGAAAGTGAAATAAACACACAAAGTCAAATCTCAACGAATCTTTTCTTAATTCTTCAATGAGGCAAATGATTATGGATAAAACTTTTTTATTTATTTATCATTATGGATGATGCAAAGCAGACGCTCTTATTCCCCCTATAATCTATTGCCTAACGGACCGTGACAGCTTTGGACAATTTATTTTTTTTTTTTTTTTTTTTTTTTTTTTTTTTTTGGGACCAAATTGATTTTCGATAGCTATGTTTTTGGTGAGGCAGGCAACCATAGACAAGGAAGTATGAAATTTATTATAAGCATATAAAGAAGACGTGTGAACGAGATCCAGCCTAACATAGACGGATGATAGTTAATGTAAGAAACATGTGTTTCCCTTCAAACAAATTCAATTCCATATATTTGTTGCGATATGACTTTCTTTCTTCTATTAAAGGCACTTGTAAGGTCCATATATCTTACATCGTAAGTTAAATCACCAATAATCGTATTTATCATATTAGTTTTTCATGTATTTTTTATACAAATGATATTATATTTTAATTTAATCTAATCTACAAAAAGGGGATTCGAACTCATGTACAAATTAGGGGGGGTACATTTGTTCTAGCTAACTTAACTAAGTCCATATTTGCTTCTAATTATCATGTATTTATACTTTGGGAATTTGGTTCTAATGAGCATTTGTCGCATTTCCAATCAGAAGTAAGGAAGCGTTCATTCCATATACATGACCTGATTCATAAAAGATCATTAAAAAATTTATACATGGAATTTGAACTGAAAAACCCTATTTAAAAACTGAAAACTAAACACCGCTACACCAAATTATATTATTAGGCTCCTACAATTTCAAAGCTGAACATATTTGAAGTTTTCTTTAGGATGCTTGCAAATTGCAATATCTTAATCATAATCTACCAGCCTCTAATGTTGAATCAATCTCACAATTATGATCGTGGCAAACATTTTGGAGACATGATTTTATTACAAATATGGACAAGGATAAAGAATGAAATAGGCTGACAAGTGTTTACAGGTGGGACACGTGTAAATTCTTTTCTTCTGTTGAATGACAGAGCAATACCATACAAATTTAATTCTACTGATACAACTGCAAACAAATTCAATTCAAAATGCTTTACGAAAAAGATAAACAATTTTAAAAAAATAAATAAATAAATAAAAGAAGGGGGGAAAATAGTATTTTTGTATTGAAAGTTGAAAGTGCCGGGTCATCTGCTAACTAAATATTTAATCACCATCAGCTATCAATTAGCTAGCTAATAGTTGGAGACCACGCTTTTGTCTCTGTGCCGTGTAATATCAGAAACCTCCACGTCTGCATGGAGAGATGGAGACCCATGAGGACGTGGCCTCCTCTGCTTGTTCTTAGTCTTGTCGGTGGTCGGTGGCGTTTTTGTTGACTCAGCACCTCCCTTTGGAAGCATCCTACAAGCTCTGCAACTAAACTCACTGCTTCATTGGGCTGTAGTTTTCTTTTCTTTTTTGGTTGGTGTTTATTGGGCTTGAGTATGTTCCAAGCCCGTTGATAGTAAGGTTGCTTCATGTTCGTACTCGTTTTATCGAGTAGGTACGTTGAGATAGACCTAACTAGTCCGTAACATGTTTGATTCCGACTCAAATCCAAAAGGGTCACCTCTTAGAGCATCCACAGTGGGGGGTGTATTTTCAATGGTGTAAAACTACTTTTACATTCCCATTACATCTCCGAGGGTTGTAAATGTTGTTTTTATTCCAACGAGAAAAATATAAATCTAAAGATGTATAATTGATTTTACTCACTTTTGTCCACATTTTCTCATGCACACCCCACCTGCAAGGGATGTAAAAAAGGATGCACATGTGCATCTAAACCTCCCCATTGTAGGTGATTCCTATCACAAATTGTGTATATTTAACATACACCTCATTATACAATTGCCCCACTGGAGATGCTCTTAAAACGTTAGTGGAGTTAATTAGTAGGACGACTGTGGGATGAATTGTAAATTCATATATCAGGTGATTGATTATGTCCGCCTATGTGAGTCTTTGATTTAACCTTATATCAAAAAGAAAAAGAAAAAGAAAATCACCACAATTTTCTATCAAATTTGTTCACTAAATAATGGCAATTATGCATATTAGTATCTTAACTATTAGAACTAGTGAAGTTTAGACTCCCCACATCATATTTACTTGAAATACTACTACATCATATTCACAAATTTGAGTGAGCGTGGTATGATTGGCTAAACCTAGATTCATGTAAAATGTGATAATATTGAAACATGTATTATCAATCATTACGAGTAACTTTTTAATGTGATTGTCATACCGTCACATAGAGTCACTAACTTATCTACATTACAACACATGTATTTTTATCATTTCATCTATGTTACGGTATGTTATATATTACATGAATCAAAAACATCACGTGAACTGGTGATTACAGTTAGATCAATAATTTTCATATCTTTTTTTCTTCAACAAAAGTGGAGCTTTGGATTCAACTTTATAAGAAGTTTGGTAAGAAAACAGCAAAAGATAGATGTTGCAGGCCACACCACCAGACACAACACATGGGGCGTGTGAAAGAGAGAAATTATAACCCAATGATTGTGGTCTTATCCTTCGGAGGCAAAAGGACTCTGGAACAATATCATCTGCATAGGATTTATATCCCAAACACCAACAAACCAAGAACTTGTTTTTTTTTTCTATCTCTATGTTCTCTCAATACTTGCACGCATTCTGTACACAGTACATGGCAAGGCAATCCCATCTGATTCAAAACCCAAGTTCTTGTTTTGATGCTAATGGGATTCAAATGGATCCAGAATTGAGTAAAAGAAAACATTTTAAGTCACAATCCAAATGCCTGCACATCATGTTTTTTTGAAAAAATAATATTCTTTTTTGGGATAAGAATGTTACGTAGAAGAGACAACAATTAACAAAAGGATGAAGCCCATACAACTATTAACAAGAAAGAAGAAGAAAACAAGTTGCACTTACACACCATCTTCATATAGATAGCTTTTCTATGTAAAGCTTTTTTCTTTTTAAAAGCCACAATGGAAGGGTATGGCCATATAATGGCTATATATCTCCTTAGAGAAGATGAGAGAGATAGAGAGAGACTATAAATTCATAACTGATGTAGAACAAATGGCTGAATGACTTGGAGCGAAGAAAAGAAAAAGGATGCAACATGAATATACATATTTGGTGTTCGAGCTCCGATTAGGTCGCATAATACCTTTTTGAAAAGGAAACGACACCACAAGTCCAACTCATTGTTTTTTTTTGTGACATAAGGTGGATTTTGGGCTTCTGAGGTTGTTTGGGCTTCCAAAAGGGCATTTAAAGATTGTAATCAATTTACAGACTTTTCGTTTATTTTTTGTTAAACTTTCAATAACTCCCCATTGTAATCCAATGAGTGAGAATGATGTATTTAGATAGCCGTCATGTACAGGAGAAAGATTTCTCACACACACACTATCACAAAGTCATGATGATTCGAATTTAAGACCACTAGATTACAAATCTTAGATACTTATTGGCAAATTATTATAAAAATAGAAAAAAATAAATTTATTTATTAATTTTTTAAATTTAAAAAATTAAGTTAATAGAATGATCAAAATATGTCATTTGATAAAATCCCGAGAGAAAAGAAAGGGTGCGTGCGTGTGTATATCTGCTGCTTTGTATTATTGGGCATGTAGCTCTTCTTTATATGTACAACATTTGAGACATAATGATGATTACAAATGCGACCTTATTTCGAGTTTAACGACAAATTTGTTTATATGTAACCCTCCAAACCCAAAAAACAAATCCACAAACAGAGACACTTGCAGAAACAAATTAAAAGCTGCCAAACCAAAAACACTTGCACTCTGGCGCAGCTACCTATGCACACGTAACATCCTACCCTTTACCCATTTTTGCTTTCCTCCCCTTTCCAGAACAAAATCTTTTGTTTTTGTTTTTCTTTTATTTATGAAATTATAAATACCCCATTCATTATTTCTCTCTTCCAACTTCAAAATCATTTAAAGTTTCAGACTTTTCCATAAAAACCAATTCAACTGCAATGGATAACCACCGCCATTTTGGAGTTGATCATGATGGTGATGATATTGACGGTGATGATGAGTTTAGGTACCTGATCGTACGGCCAGAGAAGGGAGGACTCAGGGACTTGTTTAGGTACTCGGTGTTGCAAAAGGTAGACAGTGGGGTTCGGTTTCTTGAGGGCTCAGACGAAGAAGTGGTGGGTAGAGTGGCAGGGGATCACAGATGGGTCATAGTGGTGTCCATAATTGCCCGGAAAATCATAGGCCTTTTTGGGAAGCCTCTGGAGTGGACTGGCTACCTTGTTGACTTCATCCTCAACCTCTTGTCTCTCAATGGAGGCCTCTTTGGCTTGCTCATAACTCTGCTTCATGGTAAACTCAGACACTGATCACATTTATTATTATTATTATTGCTACCCATTTGCTAATTTCTTCATTTTGTATTATGTTTGTGAGTTTTAATTCTCTATTTGTATATATCATTATGTTGTTGCCAGTGCACCCCACGTCCTAGGTTCGATTCCCCCTCCCCAATAGCGCTTGTATAAGAAAATCATTATGTTGCCCCCGTAAATTTGTTTGTGTTTAGGCCTCTTTTGGGTTGTTATTTAACTTTTACTTGGGAGATTAACTCATAGATGCATAATTACAAGAAATAAAATTACAGAACGAAAACATTGGAAACCATTTTCACTAACTAATGTGTTTGCTTAACTTGCTTGCTTTCTCTTCGTAGTGAATGGAATTTCTTGTTTACTAAGGGACAAAAACATATATAGGCAAACACAAAACGTAAGGCTTTTTGGAAATTCTTTGCACATATCTTTTGTTTAGAATTTGTGCCTACCTGTATTGTATATGCCTTCATTCTATGGACAAAGGGTCTTGTGTACAAAATTTACAAATTTATGACCTTTTTGGGTTTTTCTTAATAAAAGGAATGTACTGCAAACTGTTAATTCTCAATTAATCCTAGTAGTATAATTGCTTACTGTAATGGTGATTGGGGAAGCAGGAAAAGTCGTGGTGCCGCAGAGGGGCACAGAGACTTTCATAAGTACAATTGGGCATTTTGATGGGCGGATAGACCTCTACAAGGGTGAAAACTTAGCAGAAACAAGCCTAAAAGCTGAACTGGGTAACAACAGGGCTCTCATGGATCTCTGTATGATGGCTGCCAAGTTAGCATATGAGAATGCACAAGTCGTTAGATATATCGTGGTTGACCATTGGAAGGCAAGATATTCTTGTTCTCTTCTCTCTTTGTTTTTTGGCTATGTTTTAACCATATAAGGGGTTCAATATACTTTCATTTGATCATTATAAATACTAATTAGTTTAATTTTGACAATGAAAGCAGATGCATTTTGTGAAATTCTACAATTGCTGGAATGGTAAGAAGTGCATTTTAAACATGACTTTTGGTCATCAAAAATTTCGAACTTACTTTTTGAGTCCAATTGATGTTTGTTCTCCTTTATTGTATGGTGCTTGATAGATTTCCAAAAGCAGATGTCCACCCAAGTGTTCATGCTTTGTGACAAGCCTAAAGATGCAAATTTGATACTGATCAGCTTCAGGGGAACAGAACCTTTTGATGCCGATGATTGGAGTGCCGATTTTGACTACTCTTGGTATGAAGTTCCCAAATTGGGGAAAGTACACATGGGATTCTTAGAAGCCTTAGGCTTGGGGAATAGAACTAATGCTGTAACCTTCTACAATCAACTCATAGAGATGCAGAAAGAATTCACCTCTGCAAATTGTGTTGATGTTAGCCAAAGATCTTCAGAAGGTTCCAAAGCATCATCCTCAAACATTGATTCTCACATGAAACAAAGTGGAGGTGATCGGTTTAGCAAGAAGATAGTTCCACCAGACATGGGGGAGAAGTCTGCATACTATGCTGTGAGAAGAAAGCTCAAGAGCTTACTTGAGGAGCACAAAAATGCAAAATTCGTAGTTACCGGGCATAGCCTAGGTGGGGCACTTGCTGTACTGTTCCCATCAGTGCTGGTGTTGCATGAGGAGATGGAGCTGATGCAAAGGTTGCTGGGTGTGTACACATTTGGGCAGCCCCGGGTAGGTAATAGGAAACTGGGGAGGTACATGGAAGCCCATTTGAATTCTCTGGTCCCAAAGTACTTCAGGGTTGTCTACTGCAATGATCTTGTGCCCAGGTTGCCTTACGACGACAAAACCTTCTTGTATAAGCATTTTGGGGTGTGCCTTTACTATGACAGCCAATTCAATGAACAAGTATGTATTCAAGCCTTTGCTTATACAGTTTGTTTAATTTTAGTACTATTGATTGTCCTCATATTCAATCCTGTCCACCGAATGCTCTGTAAACTAGTTGCCTGAATAATAAGAAATTTGCAGCATTCTATCCTGCATTTCCTTCTTGATATGAAATGTCACTACGGACACATGCAACATGGTTATTAAGATTAATGGCGCAATAGAAAGTTGCTGTTTGGTTTAAATTGGTTCATTGGGGACATATTGGTATGAGGGAATGTACGTTCATTGTGGGGTTGATGTCTTTCAAGGCCTGAAATGAACCCTTTAGCTAACTTTCTTTAAGTTTCATCTTCTTCTTTTACTGAATTATTGTTTTCTTGTTTTCTTGTTTGACATATGCATCTTTCAAGAGAATGGAGGAGGAACCAAACAGAAATTACTTTGGAATAAGATATCTGATACCAGAATATCTGAATGCTGTTTGGGAGCTGATAAGAGGTTTAACAATGGGCTACACATATGGGCCAGAGTATAGAGAGGGTTGGTTCTCCATTTTGCTAAGGATTATAGGACTGGTGGCTCCTGGTGTCTCTGCGCATTGCCCTACAAATTACGTCGATTCAGTGAGGCTGGGAAAGGAGCGCATTGTTCAGATGTCTTCTTTTTAAGAAGCTTTTCTTGCAGATGATGATGATAATATGGCTTTTAGTCATATGATAAATATAGCTCTGGCTTTAGTGTACAAGTAATGTACATTGTGAAGTTCTTTTTTACGGTCAAATTCCTTGTCACTAATAAAAAAAATGAACCTAATAATTCCTTACCCACAATTTAGGTGTATTCTCATTCCTAAACTGTAGGGATTATTGATGAATATATTTTAGGTGCCTTGAAGAACAAGTACCCTAAGTTTATCTTCCTCTCTTAATCATGCATGAAAAAGAGGTTGAAACACTAAAAGTACAAAAACTTCTATTTATGTTATATGCAAAGATTTCTGCCAGTTATTCTTTTGAGCTTTTGAGCTGCACGTAAGAGTAAATATATCTATATATATAAAGCAAAAGGCAGAGTAAATATATCTATATATATAAAGTAAAAGGCAGAGTATACTATATATATATATATATATATAGATATAGGTATTGGCAAAATATGGACTATGTTCGAAAATCACTAGGCGGTAGGTGGGCGGCATGTAGGGGCCTAGCCCTAGAGGAGTAAGTGGGCGGCATGCAGGGCCTAGCCCTAGAGGAGTAATCGGGGCCTAAGCGTTTCTTTGTTTATTAATTATTTTATATTATAAATTTATACCAAAATTAATAAAAGGGTTGAAATAAAAACACAATTCGGTTATGTTTTAGTATATGAGCCCAAGCCCATAAGAGAACCTTGTTGAAATACCAGCCCATAAGTGAAACACAGCGTTTCACTAACCCTATCTTCATCTTTTTTTGGACGAACCCTATCCTCACTTATCTCTCATCTCTCTGCCTTCATCACCTCCCATCATCTCTCCTCTTTCTCTGCCTCCATCATCACCTCTTGCGCGCGTTTGAAATAAGATGAGCCCAATAGCAGCTACAAAGAAAAGAAGAAAACCTCTGACGAGTAGAGAAGAAGCCGTCGTTGCCACTGGTTGGGTTGAGAACAGTATAGAAGCAGCCACCCAACCTGCCTAACTCCCTGCCGCCTACCCCTAACGATTAGGGTGAAATCACGGCAGTGTCCTCCCGCCTCGGCCGATTTTTCGAAAACTGAATAGGAACCCCATGTGATGTGCTGGGAATATAAGCAGAGGATTGTGAGGAAAATAACAAAGTTCTTTCATCAAACCAAACATAATTATTCAAATAAAACTTTCTTTCTGGATCATGCTAATTAATCCCTTTAAATAAATTACAAGTGTTTTAGAAATAATTCCAGTCAAAATCACAATGTATGCAACTGTCATTAACTTGAAAACAAACATAATTATCCTTTTTTTTTCTTTTTTCTTTCTTTTTTTCTGGTTGGTTAAGAATGTATAATGTTATGTAGACAGTAGATATCATACAACAATCTCCAAGAAGCAAAACACTTGACACTTGCACCTACTAACTAGCTCTTGATCTCTCTCTTCTTAGCCTTAAAAGAGGTTAGAGGTCTTAAGTTCGAAAGAGGTTAGAGGTCTTAAGTTCGAATTCGCAATTTTCATTGAAGCCAAGCTATAAAAAGGGGTATTTGGGGCATGAAGGTAATTTCAAGCTCTAATATCTAGACTAAATGTGACACTATGATCAAAACCCACCTGAAAAACACACACATACATAGAAGCAGAGCACTTGCATCCTGCAGCATGCTGCTAAATGCAAACTGCAGCTTTGCCATGCTAGTGGTGGATGCACATGTAACAGCCTTCGCCATCTTTGCTTTTCTCTTCTCTCTCTTTTTTCCCTTTTCCTTACAAATGTATAAAAACCCCATTCATTTCTCTCTTTGTGAATCTAACATCAAAATTCTCACAAAACAATCCAATGGCCACTAACTCCCAAGAGAACCAAAGCCATGGACTTTCTGATGATGATGATGATGAGTTCAGCTACCTTATGTTTAGGCCAGAGAAGGGAGGGCTTGGGACTTGTCCCATAATCTTTCTTTAAAATTTCATCTTCTTCAAGTACTGAATTTTCTTCTTCTTTTCTTTGACATATGCATACTTGAAGAGATTGGAGGATGAGCCAAACAACAATTACTTTGGATTGAAACACTTGATGCCAAAATATCTGACTGCTGTTTGGGAGCTGATAAGAAGTTTAACAATAGGCTACACATATGAACCAGAGTTTAAAGAGGGATGGCTCTCCATTTTGGTAAGGATGACAGGACTTGTGTTTCCGTGAAGCTTGGAAAGGGGCACACGCTAATCATTCAGATGTCCTCTTCCTAAATTATGTTTCCTTCAAATAATGCTAGATTTCTGTTCAAATAATACAAAATTCAATGTGTATTTCTCTTATGCAAGAGCAAACCATACATGTTATACCAAAAAAACACCAAAAGGGAGAAAAATTCCCCTGTTTGAGGTGGTTTATTAGTTTGAAGTTTCCTAATTATTACACAAAAACAGTTGGTCCTCTTGTACATATGAAAAATTGCAAGAAATAAATACTAGGAAAATGCATTCCTTACTTTTAGCTCCCAAAGAATTGACAAGCATTACATAGATCACCTATTTCCATCCCCAGAAACTCTTGTAAGTTGTAACCAAAGGTCAACTTCTTTTGCAGATGCCCAACATCAATCATGTGAGCAACTGCTGATGAGTTTCTTTTCACCGGAAAATTGAATGATACTATTTCCATGTATTGGCTTCAGACAGTATGGGCTGATTGAATAACACTTAAGTCCAGATTCTTGAGCCTCACTACAGATTCTACATGTCCTCTCAGAGTGTGTATCTCTCCCAGCCTGTGAAATTAATGTGGCATTTAACCAAGTACATATTAGCAAGATGGGATGAAATCCAACCTGTAAAAATGCAACAGAAAATGGCAGTTTGTATTACCTGGCTATTTCAGCACGCCGCCTGGCCTGTTCTGCGATCAAAGAAGATCGCTTGCCGGTCTTATTGATCTCCATGTCTGCCAACCCTTGTAAACTTCTCTGAGAAAGTACCCACTTGGCTGCCCTATCTTCCTTCCCATAATCTTTCTTAGAAGTGAAAGCCGTCTGTTAAAGATAAAAAGTACATAAAAATCAGAAGTTGCCATTTCAAGCTAAGGCTTGTTCCTCATAGAACCAAGTGATAGCAGCAAATTTTAATGAAACTTAGAACATTGCACAAACCTTCCTGTCAAACAATAGATTCCAGGCATCTCCACTCAAGCCGTAGCGAATTGCAAATTTGATGATATCCAGGGGAATGTAGAAAATCAAACTGTACAACCATATGACACCAGCCCATCCCCATCCAATGCCACTGATATAAGCAAAGCTGATCTTTGCATATACAGCAATCAAAGTAGCCACCTAAACAAGAGAGAATTATTTATTTATTTTTTAAATAAATGAAAATATAATTCAGCTTTGGTTTTGTTACCTTGAAAATCGAGTTTAATGCACATATTTAAGAGTTGGTTTGCGTAAGTCATACCAGTTGAGCCAGCACAAATGCGCACATCAAGAGAGTTCCAGGCCTCTCAAGAAATGACCATCCCTGACTTCTTGTAACAAATATGAGAGCCTGGCTAATGATGCTAACTTGCAGATATATAGCAGATGAAATTTCCTCGCTGCTGGATAAATCTCTTACATGGAAGGTGGTCTGCAGCCATATAAAATCAATAAGCACTGTAGAAGTAAACCAAGCTAATGTATCTTCTGCTGTTCATGTTGCAGAGGGTCTCAGAAAACAAAGTCAAGAAGCAACATTTCTGTGTTTCATACCTCAAAGAAGTCGGTGCCGACTACAACCCAGTAAAATAATACAGTTACCAAAGCAAGATATGTGCCAATAACAATGCCAGTTGCAAATATCTCATTAAGCTTCCAACTGTCAGGCTTTGGAGAGGGCTTTACACGATCCTGGGAAATCGTCATGATGGTTCCTGCATTTAAAATAATGCACAGTCATGTATTCCTTTTCGATAATCAAGAAGAAGAAATAGTAAAGCTAGAGCTAGTTGAAATATTACCATCATTGAGTATTGCTATAATCAGAACCATGAAAGGTGGGAAGTCATATTCCCATATCAACGCAAGAAGCACGAAACCAAGCTGCAACACGATTGAGTTTAACATTATGAAAAGTTGAAACCTAGTAATATTACTTGAATATTGAGATGATAAGAATATAAGCTTACCACTATCCTTATGGTTATAGAGACAGCATATATCTGTGTATGCAAGTAGGCTAGTCAGTTTTACCATCAAACCAATGTAGAAACGTAGAATAAAATTACAAATACAAACAAAAAATGCAAGTAAAAATCCTATCTAGTAGAAATTGCAGAATTTCTGGTTAAAAGGCAAAGTAAGCACTGCTTTATGATTTTACTGCTCTCTACCTGGTATTCTACTGATACAAATGTACCATTATTTGAATGCAGGGAAAAGATTACTACTCACTGTATAATTCTTCATTCTTTGGAATATAGCTCTACTGGTCAGAACAGCACTGACAATCACACTTAAGCCAGGCTCAGTTAAGACTATGTCAGAAGCACTTCTTGCAGCATCTGTGGCATCTGCCACTGCTATACCAATGTCTGCTTTCTTTAAAGCAGGAGCATCGTTAACACCATCTCCGGTCATTCCAACCACATGCTTCTTTTCTTGTAAAATTTTTACGATTTCGTACTTGTGTTCTGAAAGTTAAAGCAGTGATAAGGCAGGTGAGTGATCCAGAGATGGAAATATGTATGAAACAAATATGTGCTACAAATGTTTCATGCACACGCACACCCCACCAAACAGTAACCTTTCATATTTTCAAGCCTCTCAAGAATTAGGGAGCCTTAGGGAGAGAATTTACGTATTTCGTGAAACAGGTGTTCGATTATTTACCAGGGAAGACTCCAGCAAAGCCATCAGCCTTCTCAATCAACTCATCCACTGGAAGAGCTTCGTGTTCTTCTTTGTCACGGTCACGGCCCAACAATGAAGAGGAAGGGTACATGTTTGTTCCCATCCCAAGTCGTCGCCCTGTCTCCTTTGCAATTGCCAACTGATCACCTAATGTGAGAACAAGCATTCAAGAATAAGTGTCTATCTTTGACATTTATGCTAAACGATTTACAGTTTTAATCAAGAAACAAAGATGATATTCACATTTTTTTTATGTAAGGCCAAGATGATACATGTATGTACCTGTAATCATCTTCACACAGACTCCAAGGTTAAGTGCTCTTCGAATGGTCTCAGCACTATCATGCCTTGGAGGATCAAACAAGGGCAACAACCCACAAAATGTCCAAGGACCTCCAGGGCTTTCTTTAGTTTTTTCTGGAACTTCCTGGCAGTACCATAACATGGGAGTTGAAGTATGTCAGAAATTTCATCTGGTGCTGAAAAACTGTTGTGACCTAAATTTTAGATTTCCATCTTCTAACTGATAATTTAAACTCTTCCTTTTTTTTAAGTTCATTACAACTCTCACACCAGCACTAAAAGGATTAGAGCATAGCTATGGCATACCTGATAAGCAACTCCAAGAGACCTCAATCCCCTTTCAGCAAATTTGTCAATAATGTTATGCACTCTTCCAGCAATCTCATCTTTCTCGGGGCATAGATCTAGAATCTGATTTCAGGATGAGAATGGAAAAGAAAAAACAAAAGAAAAATAATTCAGGTTTTGGCATTGCAACAACAAAAGAATTTCTCATACACCATTAGTTCTCATAAGTGATCAGCTATTGCTTCTAAAGTGTAAACTTAATTGTGTTGTTTACTACGTTTCTGTTTGCAGGGGATCAAAGAATTTTAAGGTACTTGTCCTCTGAATATATCAGTACCTGTTCTGGAGCTCCTTTGCTGGCCCGATACCACTTACCATCAGCATCAATGTATGTAATTGCAGTACGCTTGTCCACTGGATTGAAAGGTAGAAAATGCACTTCTGTGATATTTGCTCTTGCCTATAGATGAAAGAATATTTTTATGCACAAGTAACCAGCACAGAATAGAAAAAAAACAAAACAGCAGGATTGTATCCCTACCTCCTTCGGATCAGCAAGCATATTGACAATGGCTGCATCAATAGCATCCTGATTCTCTAGTCTTGCTGCTCTGGCTGCAAACAAGATAACCGCATCCTTGTCTATGTCTTTGTTGAAAACCTGCACAGATGCATATGTTTTATATTATTCAGCCAAACCATATGGCCAAAACATGATATATCAATGACACTTAATATTAAATTTTGCTTCCATGGTTTGAAATTAAGAAATTCTCATGGAGTCAGCTTTCATACCTCGACTAGATTTCGATCAACAGTGAGGCGATTAAGGGTGAGAGTTCCAGTTTTGTCACTGCAGAGGACATCCATTCCCGCCATTTCTTCAATTGCTGTCATCCTTTTTGTAATGGCACCCTGAATTAAAGAAAAAACAAAGGTATGCAAACATTGTCAGTCTGAATATGTGGGATTGATGCTATATTGTTTGCAGAACAAAGCACAAAATTGGAGGCTTTTTCTTCCACTGAATATCCAAAGTACCCCTTTTAATATGCGGAAGCATAAATATTTTTTTACTTCCAAAATGTTATGTGACTTAAACTATAAAGAGATGCACCTGTTGAGAGAGTCTATGAGAACCAATTGCAAGTGTCACAGATAACACTGTTGGCATAGCAATCGGTATTCCTCCAATTAAGAGAACAAGAAGATTGTTGATCCCATCCCTGTAAGAGCGGTGCTGTATGGGGAACATGACAATGATTTCAAGAATCATTCCCACAGCTATAGAGCAAATGCAGAAGTTCCCAATCGCAGTAAGGACCTGCAGAAAACCGCGTCACTGATGTCACCTCATGATTTCAAACTTATGAACTATGTCACTGTGAGAATTTAACATCAGGAGGAGCATGTTAGGCACTCAATTACCTGCTGGAAATGTCCAACAACCTCTGTGGAGTCAACTAAATGTGCTGCTTTTCCGAAAAAGGAGTGAACCCCAGTTGCTATCACTACAGCTTCAATCTCTCCCTGCTTACATGTTGAACCAGAAAATACTTCATCTCCTGTCCTCTTGGTGACAGGTAGAGACTCTCCTGTAAGAGCTGACTGCAGGAACAAATTCCACAAAACATTACTTCATTCTGTGGATCATATCACTAAGCCAACAAACAGGTCACCCGGAGAAAGTGACAGCTATATAACTGCTGATAGTTAGACAACAAAGTTGGCTTTTCAAACACTTGCCTGGTCAATTTTTAAAGGGTCTCCTTCAAGTAGGCGAGCATCAGCTGGAATGATATCCCCAAGCTTTATGCTGATTATATCTCCTGGTACCAAAATAGCTGCATCTTGCTCTTGCCAGCGCCCATCTCTGAGAACCTGCATGAAAGAAATGTGAGCTAATCTGCTATTATGGGCATAAAGGTGACATCCTCTGTGCCAAATGCATCAACCAAAGGGGCATACCCTTGTCTTCGGAGCCAAACGAGCCATAAGAGCCGATGCAGCATTCCCTGCATTGTTCTCCTCTATGAAACTAATTGTTGAATTGATTATTAACAGGATAATAATCCCCACAAAGTCCTGCCAGTCAGGACCCTCGCCCTGAAATATCATTTCATCACAGAATAAAGTTATAAACCAGAATTTACATTGCCCTGAAATGTAAATGAATACTTAGTGTAAGACTCTACTTACTCCACCATTAGCAAGGACAAGTGCCATCACTGCTGCAGCTTCCATAACCCATGACAAGGGGTTCCACATGAAACTAAGAAACTTCAAAAATTTGTTCTCCTGCATTGAAATTAATGAGGGGGCTTTTAATAGCAATTACTCTGTCAATCTAGCCTTAAGCTGATATTGACTATTCTACTTGCCTTAAACACTAAAACTGAACTTATAAACATATTTAGGAACCATGGTGCTTACCGTCTTCTCTTCAAGCTTGTTAAAGCCAAAAATCTTCAATCTGGCTTCAGCATCTTCGGATGTAAGTCCTTGCGGTGATGTTCTCAGTTGTTCGAAAACTTCTTCCAATGGTAAGCGTTCCTGTAATATTCGAAGTGTCTTAAAATGCTATTGTAGGGAATGAATTCCAAAATGTGGTTGTCGTAATGCAACTAAACCTACCAAATCGACACCTTCTCTATTGAAATTCTCAGGATCCAACAGTGGTTTATCTAGATCTTCAGCCATGATTCAAGCTTCAAATCCTGTGATTAAGAGAATCAAATGTGCATTGCAACATTAGGCAGGCATCAGTGCCACAAGTAAGTAGGCAGAACTGACAGCATGATTTGGAAAGAGAAAATCGGCAAACATAGTGTCCTTGATTTTTTGAATTATGGTGAAGGATAGGCCTTAGGGTCAAATCTCACCAAGAACAAAAAGGAAAAGCAATCACTGCATTCCCTAAAGGTATGCATCAGAATCAGAACCAATTCAAACTAGTCTTATTCTTAACATTAGTAACAGAATAAAAGAAAGCTCAATGTCTTTGTTATGTCTAAAATTCCCTGAGATCAATGCCATTTGAGTAGATCATTATATCAACAGTTTGAGCACAGAACTGAATCTATATTCAACTTCTGCATCACCTCCACAAACTTAAAAGAATTCCACATTAACTTCATTGCATAACAATTGGCTCTAATTAAGACCAAACATTACCGATAAGAACTAATCCCATCTGCCCAAATCATCAATTAGCATCATGCACACAACCAACATAAAGAATAAAAAATATAAATGCAACCCAGAATAGAATTTGAACTTGAGAATTGCACTTACTGAAGATTGAATCAAACTTGGAAGTTTGGGAAGTGCCCAAGAACTTGGGAGAGTTGGGATGGGAAGCAGAAGAAGGATGAGGTTTAGCTCTCCTCCTCTGGCTTTGGTGAAGACTGCAGAGGAGTGAACAAGTAGTAGGATGTATAAAGAGTGATTAGTGTTCCCACATGTATCTAATTGATTTGGTAGCTGACCGTTGGTTGCGCGAAAAGCAGATGATGATCTGCTATTAGCATCTTGTCTTAATTTGGGTCTTGCCATTTTATACATGTTCTTGTCCTTCTCGATTGAATATTGATTGCGATTTGGTTGACGAAACAAGGAGAGTGTGTGTGTGAGAGAGAGAGAGAGAGAGAGAGAGAGAGAGAGAGAGTGAGGAAACTCAAGAACTGGGTAGGAAGAGCCGTTGGCTTTAACTACCTTTCAAAACTTACCCTTCCAACCTAACGGTCTCTCCCTCCAAATTCTGAAGCCCATAAAAAGAAATATGTAAAAAAAAACACAAATACTTTGTTGGGTCTTTAGCAGCCACCGGTACCGTGCTTACGAGTTACAGCTTGCAACATATGTGGCCTGCACGAATTGGTCTTGCGCGAGATAGCGACATGACATAGCAAATACTAGATCCGCCAGAAAAATGTGTTCTTGTGAAACAGCAAGGATTGAGCAACGTGTGGTTTGAAATTTGGGCCATCGAGTAGATGATGTAGAATAAATGTTTTTAATTACTCGAGTCAAAGTCATAAATTCTCGCAAATAAGTTTGATATTAATTTTTTTTTATTTTAATATAAAAATACCATTTTGCCCCTACATTTAGCAAAAAGAGTTAACAAAATTGACGGCAGGACCATTTGTCCTAATGAAAGTGAAGTTAAAGGACTACGGTAACCATTTTGGAAATTGAGGGACTCAAATACGAATTAGATCTAAGGAGGGTGTATTGAATTGAGATTTTAATGGATTATTTTGAACCTCAAAAGTACAGTGGTATTCAATTATGATTTTTAAGTAATCAATAAAAATCCGGTGGTATTTAATTATGATTTTAAATAATCAATGCAAGTCCAGTGGTATTCAATTAGGACTTTTAAAAGATAAGAAAAAGTACTGTGGTAGTAAAAACTTACTGATTTTGATGTATTTTATTAAATTGTGTATTGTGTGAGATTTTTGAGTGTGTAATACAAACAACAAAACTTACTGTTTTTATTGTACTAAACCCTGTTAGCTTTTTACTGCAATTTTGAAACAACTGTTCACCATAATATTATTGGATGGGGCAAAAATGGACAGTTCGACACCAGCCTCCATTCTGCAAAAGGAAATATACTTTTGAAGGCCCTGCATAGATTCCCAACCATGCTTAGCTATTATTAATTCCTAAAATAAGGCACCCACCTTCATACCGAAAAAGAGGACAGTTGGGAGGACTTTTTCCTCACCTACCATCTCTCATCTTCATGACACCTGGTATTGATTGTTAGTCTAAACTCTAAAGTAATAAATTATTGCATTAGGGTTATGCATGACCATTGACCACCTGTATTATTAGGTGTTTTCCAACTTCCAATTTGTATTTGGACTCTGTTTTATCATGCCATTGAAGGAGGCTTTCATGTTTTGTTAGGTTCAGACATTACCCAATCTATCATCAACAAGCAAACACACTATTTGTCATTCTCTTCTGTGTGGCACTGGCATGCACTGGCGGATCCAGGAATTTTTTAGCGAAGATGCAATTTTGAAAGGTTAAAAACTCTTTGTGGATTGAACATCTAAGGCTTTTTACCTAGATTGACATTAGGTCCCTTCATACATTCATATCGTACATGAAAAATTGTTCTATGTAAAAATATTGACTAAGTATGGAAAATGGTTTTTTGGAATAATCATTTTCTGAAGATAATTTTTTGCGGTTTTTATTCCTCACACATCAAATAAGAAAATTTTATTTTATGAGATTTTATTATGAAGTATATATTAACTTAATGAGCTAGCATTTTTAGCCTAAATTGTATTTTGCACTAAAACCGATTTTTCAAATTTTGATTTGAGGGGAATTTGATTTTCTAGTATTTTTATTTGAATCCAAATGAGGGGTACTTCCTTATTTACATTGTAAACTTAAGTAAATGGAGTAATATAAAAATAAATGAAAGTAAAAAGACAAAGACATTTACTTAAATATTAAATATGGAAATAAGGTAATCTGTACACCACCACCAACTGAGCAAATGAGCAATTTCAAACGCCTACAATAGTTTTTCTAGCGAGGGGAGGTGCAGCTGCACCTCCTTGCTCTTTAACAGATCCCAATGCTGGCATGCACAAAAGAAAAAAACCCAATTGAATGCCTTCCCCCGACCACCTGATGTATTTGTTGTTGATCATTTCCAATTATGTTACTTAATTTAGCCAGCAACAAATCTCACCACATATTGTTTTTAGCCAATAATTAATGTATTCTATACCTATGCTGCATATGCATAATAATATTGTTTTGTTCCACCTGAAAAGAGCATTTAAAACTTGCATGTGACCATTCATCTTCACCTAAAAAAATAAATGAAAACCAGAGTGTTACAAACACACGTGACCAGATTCACTTTCTCTATCATACACAAAAACTTCTCCTCTTCTCTTATTCTCCTCTTTACTAACTTCAAAAAAATGACATAACATGTGGTTATTCAGGATTTTATCTAATAATGTAGGTTCAGATTAAATATGCACATGCCCTCTTTTCGGATGAAGATGACACGAATTGTCCATAAAACTACTGTAAATTTGCAAGATGATTTTTACGTATATCTAATCACGATCGTTTAATGCATCAAGTGAAATATGAAAAAATCTATGATAAAAACTCCGTATGATTTTCGGACACATTTTTAACCCTTGCATCTTAACAGGTTTGTTTTTCCTTATTAGGGTATGGATTGTGTGATATAATCAACAATGACCATGATAGATTCCACCCAAAAAAAACACAAACAAAAAACAGGTGAGAATTCAACATAAAACCAAACCCATTGGTCATTAGCAATTAGCGGGAAGAAGTCTTACTTTGGGCTAATGGGCTTTAGCTCAGAGGACTACGGGATCTACACTTTTGCTATTTTTTGGGCTTAGCATATTGGGCACATTGATCCTACGAACCAGGTTTGCTATCAAATCTTTCGTCGAAATTGAGCTCAATTAAGGCGAATTCTGTCACTCTGTTGATTTTCGCATTTTCAACAATGGTGCTTATCTTACTTTTGTTTTACAAATGACAGTAGAGATTTGCAAATTAAGAGAGAGTCATCCGCATCCAAACTATTAGTTAGTGTGAGACTCTATTTAACCAATGAGATTCACATTTAAAAACAATTGATAATCACTCACGTGCACATAAACGATGAACAGTAGCATTTAGAGTATCAGAATACATGCATTTTAGATTGTCCATAGTATTTCTTACGATAAAATTTCCTTACATTTTAGATTGTCCAACCATCTACTCTAGCAGGAACAAATCTAGCCTATTAAGACATCCACCTTGTAGCAAATACAAGGTGCTACAAATCAGGTCAATGATTATTTTGTTTGAAGAGTACACAACTTTGTACTAGTAGAATACGAAAAACCAATCTCATTAACAACGGTGCTTAAGTAACAAATCTACTTAGTTAATCATACTATTTTTGTCCTGGTACAAGATTAAGTTAACAGGCTGGGGATGATGGCTACTTGTAATGTACTCTACTACTTAAAGATATACATTGAATGAGGATATAATATTTTCCATGGCCCTTCACAAGTTAAGAAGGCATGTTCCTCGAAGGAACAATCAAACCCTCTTTGGATCTTCTTCATGTTCCATCGAATTTGGTACTCAAGCTATCGGTAAAAGAGCAAGCACTATTCAGTTCCCCCTCCATATTTGCCAGAACTCTATAAAATCGAAGTTCGATTTTCCACAAATTACGAACCAACTTGAAGCCCTTTAGATTTGATTCAAATGAAGTTAGATTATGAAACCAGTCACATGGTTCCTTCTCTAGTTTTGAAACTAACCCTTCGAGCCAAATATAAAGGGCCGGCTTTTGGTTTGGTCTCGCTAAAAGTATGATATGTTATGTTGATGGTTAGTTGTGGTTTAGTTTAGTTAAAAGTATGACATGTGATGTTGATCAGATAATATGAATATTGCAAATTCAAACATTGCATACTTAACTAACAGTCTATATGACAATAAAGAATTACTCTATATACACTTCGTTTTGAACCATTAAAAAGAAATTTAGACTTAAATCATGCTAATTAGCATCATATATTTACTAGATCGTTGAACAGCCTTACATATCTATTGAGATTGGGGTTGTCTGCGTTGGCCAGCTAACCCCAATGTGATATTTGGAGAGAATATGGATCCGGACACCAAATCTGAAATTCACCTAAGGTAAGATTTGCCACTTCAAGTGAATTAAATGATTGTAAAATATTCGATTCAAAAATTAGTTGACCCTTTATTTAATTGAATAGTCCATGAAGCCTCCATATATATTTACTAGCCAGCAGCCCACATATCACATCCTGCAAGATTTGTTATGTAGACAGTAGATGGCAGCACTGTAGACATTTGACTGAATAGGATCATGTACAGCTAGCTTCAACCTATACAGCTAGCTATTAATTAAGCTTGTTTCACCCAATATTATATAATTAGCTCCTAATATCATTTCAATTGAGCTAAATTAATTAACCAATCAGGCTTTGCTAGTAGTTGTCTCCACTTGGTTCGTTAATGTCTCATGTTTGATTGACATGAATGCGAAGACGATATATATTTCTAATGAGTTCGATACCTAATTGTAATAAGTCATGTTGCAGATATATTGTTATCTTTTAAAAATATATGTGTAAATATCGTATCGTTAGTCATATATGTTCGTAGTTTATTGGGATATTGGGATGTGTGACGACTAATACGGTAGATGAGAATGCTAGAATCCAACCAAACCAACGTACCTCAGAATTGAGGTCAGATTGCCGGTCTCTGGTTCCCAATACCACATCCCCTTGCCTTGTCTTGATTAAGCAGCCCTCCTGTTTTCAAGTTTTCATGCCACACCTTTGCCACTTTTCTTATCAACCTCTCACTTCAACTCCACACTCCAACCAACCTACGTTACTCTGCTGAAATTTATAAACAAGTCCCTTCCCTAATTTTATATTACTTTGAACCCTTCACTCCCCCTTCTTGCATAGAAAACTATGCTGCTGAGGCTGCATATCCCTCAGTTTCCGAGCCTGACCATGTTCACTCCCTTCCTTCAAACTTCAGCCAACCCCATGCATTTTCAAATTGTATATATACTTCAACCCTCCTTAACCTACACAACTCCCTCTTAGCTCTCCTGAGCTGTGTCTTCTTTTTTTGATCTTTTTTTTCTTTTCTTTTTCTTTTTCTTTTTCAACATCATCAGCTACCAGCCATCAGCCATGGATATGGTTCAAGTGCAATGCAACAAGGGTGGATCATCATCAGTCACAACCAAGGCTCATGCAAAGCGAAGCCGGCATGGGTTTAGCCGGAAATGTGCTGCCTTGGTGAAGGAGCAACGTGCTCGTATTTACATCTTGCGCCGCTGTGCCACCATGCTTCTTTGCTGGTACATTCAAGGAGATGACTAGCTAGCAACCTTCTCTACTTACCTTCATATTCCACAAAACTAATTGTCTGAGTCTGTCATATGCGACTTTCTTCTTAGAACAATGTGTACGAGATGACACTCGCATACATATATTGTGAGAGGAATATCATACATATGACGGGTTCATACAAGAATTACTCACTCAACCTCACCACCTGGTCTCTTGCTTTTAACTTTTTTCCTTATACCTACACTACCCTACTCCATGAAAGGATGCCTGTTTCTGCTGGTCTGGTTGGTTTTAACTGTTGTGTGGGTTATCTTCTACTTGCTCTAGAGTGCCAACTCTATTTTTATACCTGATTTGGGACCAACCCAATTAGGTTTTTGGAGCGCAGAAGAGGTTTATGCCCACACTCTTGCTTTTTAACTAGCTGGATCTTTCAAGCATGGACACTGATGTAAGCTGACATGGAGGAGTCTCTGTATCTGAAAGGCTGTTTGATTGGCTCATGTTGCTTCAAGAGTCAATATTATTACAACTACTACCACTGGTGTATGCTTTTTTCTTCTTTTTTTTTTTTTTTTTTTTTTTCTTTTTTCCTTTTTCTTTCCTTCTTTTCCCTCTTTTGATTTGTGTGAGAGAAAATGTTTTCACCCTTCTTGTCAATGTTGGGGGATATATATAGCTTGTAATATCATGGGTTTGCAGGGGATGCTGTTGATAGACCACTTGCTATGTAGTATGCAATAATTTCTAGTTGCCAAGCTTGAAATGATGCATTGGCCAGAAAAGATAAGAATTTGTAATTGTGGGTTGTGCAATGATTGTGTTTAAAATTAAAATGTGACCTTAATTAGATAAGTTGACTCAACACTCTCAATTACAACTTTATAATTGCCTGCATTAGGAGAGAATCTGTGACTCTAAACACAAGGTATGAAATCCACTACTATAAGCAGTAAGTTCTACATCCATTCTTGCACCCCACTCTTAACACACAAGGTAAGAAAATCCACTAGAAACAGCAAGTTCCACATTCATTCCATGCTTGTGACCCCACTCACCATAAGATACAATTAGATATGCTGTCAAGTTGAGGAAAGTATGTAGAGTCAATCAATACATGAGTATGTCCTTCCACTTCCACTCTAGAAGCCAAAATATGGTGGCGCAGGTGTAAGAGGACGGGCACATTGCCTTGGCCAATTGGCCCAACCCACATTTGCAATGAGCGTGCTCTTTGTAATGCCTAACAATATATGTAGCGAGTCTAAACAATGATTTTCCTGTTCTGCCATACTATCTGAATCTTCAACTACCAATCATGTTTTCAAGATAATGCAGGCTTCCTCGATTATGTAATTGGACTTGATCATTAATCCTATTTAAACTAACCCCCAGTGTAATTAATCTTGCCCTTATTTGTACCGATTCCATCATCACGGTTTAAAAATTCCTCGGACGCCATCAATTGGATTTAGAGGAAAAATAACAATAATCATATTATTAGCATCTAGTAATTTACTTATTTTCCTTTCGACCAGTACGATTGAGGTTCTGTTGTTATTACATTTCTGTTTGAACTTTGTCTAAGCCAAAATTGCTAAAGCTGTTGTTCAAATTTCAAAAGGATATGCTGATAAAAGTGAATGAGGTTTCTTTATATAACATAAAGTAAACTAAGATCCTGATCCAGTTTACATCCCTTTCACTCAATAAATGAAACACTTCCATTTACCACTCAAAAGTACAAAAGCATGATGGGATCAGATCATGGACATCAGATCAAAGCGATAAAGATTCACCTGATTAACTTCCAGATGGGAGCTATACTTTGACATGCATGGTATTCCTTTTTTGTATTATGCAGAGCCAACTGAATGTGCAAATTGGATGTCATTTGTCAATCCAGTCCTTGAAAAGTAACATCACATAGAGAGGTACATTTACTGCAGCGATGATTATGACCATTCTAAATGTCCGCACCAATCTTTTGATCACTCTCTTTGTCCATGATCTGCTTGCTCTAGGCAGTAATTTTGCCATAGCATCGGTGTCGGTGTCTGCATTCACAGTGACCTCTATCTCCTGGGAACTATTCTTTCTAGCTGTGGGCCGCATCACAGCAGTGCCTCTGCTACAAAAAAAAGGAAAGAATGTAAAGCAAATGTAATAATAAATCAATGGACAGAACAGTAATATAAATAACTACCAAAGTCTAATTGAGGGTAAAATAGATCCCTTGTAAAATGAATTGAAGTGCACTTTGTAAAGCAACTAATGGAGCTTCCCATAATCACTTATATAGTCTATATCAACCCACCACACAACCATTGTGTCCTTTTCAAGACCCACTAATACCCATTGTCACCATCCTAAGAACGCACTTGTTACATGGACACAATACTCCAAAAAGACTACTGTGGGGCTAGTCATAATAGCTTATATAGCTCGCACTGAATCAACACCCAACTGATGTGGGACTCAATATATATAATTACACAGCCGCATACAAATAGAAACAGGGCATGCAAATGTAGCACAGAAACAAACCTTTCTGCTAAATTTTTCTCGCTTGTACGTGCAATAGGAGTGCTCAAGGCTTTCTTGACAAGATGCATTGATCCTTCTGCATCCCAAATCATCTCATACTCACAATTTAGATCTTCATTTTTCTCTTTTGTTCTACTTTTGATGCTACTTATTAGTTGTTTTCCAAGCCCCATTAAATCACTAAAATGATGCCCAACACTAACACCACTGGATGGCCAAAGCAGGAGGGCAAGGAGGGTCAAAGCAAATAGAGAGAGGTACCTGGAAATTTGAGAAAAGACAAATAAGAAGTAGGAACAAAAACGAACTGAAAAGCTTAGCATACAAATCTACACACAACAATATGGAGAGTTACCATATGTAAATGTGTGTTTGCATAGGAAGAAAGCACGGCTGAGTTAAGATTGCCTCTTCAGCATCGGATGCAGTTGAAGGTACAAAATTACTAGTGGACACTAACATGAAAGACGGATACAAGTTTCCCTGCTGCCAACTTACTGTCCCTACAGTGTACTGAAAGTATTATCAATAATATATCAAGCCCTGGTAAGAGTTATATATGCAAACACATTGGGAGCTTACCTCCCCTACAGGCCCATATTTTGACTCATGGATCACATGGCACTGATCGTGATCATGACCAGATAAAACAAGTACCTGTAAACAATGAACAACCAAGGTGCAACCTGAATCCAAGGTGCAATGGACAATGGACAAACAAGGACCATCTCATGGACAAGATGCATCACAGAGAGAAAAGAGAAATTACTGGCTGAATTGAATCCAATAAGTATTTTGATGATTCCTCTGTAATGTAATTCTGATACCTGCACAATGGTAATAATTGTCAAACACCAACCAAACTTGCAAGTTAATTTAGTTTTATGATATCAATTTAAAAAAACACAAGAGAAGAAGAAGCTTACACTACTTCTTGACCATCAGCAGAGCGCACAATCCGCTAAACATTTCAAATAAGGAATTAAAAAAATCAAATTAAAAGAACCTCAAGAGTTTATATACTGAGAGAAAATTCAACATCCACAAACCCATTACAATATGGTGAAATGCACTAGAAAGTACAATGCCAATAATACACGTACAAAGATATACTTTGCTTAAGTCTTGCCCCAATAAAATGCAATAAATCCGTACCTGGTTGACGATTTCTGAATTACGATTGGGGCCACAGTCTGTCCAATCTTGTCGGTACAATGGAATATGGGTCAACAAAACCCTTGGATATGCTTGAACATCTACAACGATGTAAATAATTAGATGAATTAGTTCAATAAATGATGCGCAAAGTTAACAACATACAATGAGCATATATCATATACCCATGGAGACATTCTTGATAAAATCATGAGTAGAGGAAGTCAGAATTCCTTGAGGATTTCCTGCAGATGATACATACACGAGATTAATTGTTTTAAATGGACATTAGTAAAATTCAATATGCACAAATCTAAATGCGCAATTGCAATTACAGTGGCCACCATGCAGAAAAGAAGCTGCAGTTGTTCAGTCCAATTCCCTATTAGAGATTTAAATTTCAACTAAATCAAGCATGATTTGACTTGTCGTTTCTAAGAGCATAATGACAGACACAGATGTATGCACAAACTACATTTTTACACAGATAAGAGGACCAAAATTATTGTGCCTGTATAACAATAAAACTTCTTCAAGAGTACCTCCTGATATACCCTATGCACATAGGAAATTTAAAATATGCCCCTACTATTGCAAGTGATTTTAATAATAACTTAAAAACCAAAGATCGTATGTGTGTTCTTCTAATTCGTTCCCTATTTTACTCTCATTTTCTTCTTCCAAGTTCCAACCAATCCACTCTCATCTCACATAAGCTACCTTCTCAGCTTCTCTTACTATATCAAGCAATCTTGCTTCACTATATTACACTTTATGCAGTAAATCGTGACAATTTGATGGAGGAAAGAGGAAAGGTAATGCAAATATATATACACACACAGAGATTTACAGGAACAAAACAGAAAAACGATAAAAACATTCAGAAAGTTGTTTGCATGCATACCATCAATAGTTTGAGCGTCAATGGCAATAAACTCCACTTTTCCAACTGCAAATCGATAGTTTCTGCTACCAAATTCCTTTTCATATCGTTTGATTGCCTGGTACAACCATATAAGAAACTATTTAATTAAAAAGCAGTAAATATGATTAAAAGATGATAAAATTTCTGAAGGGGCGTCAATAAAAATTTAGTCCATGACAAGATTTTATTACACCATAATAAGCACAACTCAAAAAGTCATCAACCAGACTTTGTAAAACATGCAGCTAGCCAAAATACAGCTTAAATTCCATACATACTTGACAAATGAGACCTTCCTCAGAGTCAGAAACAGAAAACCATGCATAAAAACAAATATGGAACATTCAGGATATACTTGCAGGATACGATTTGATAGAAATGAAGTTATTATTGCACACAGTTTCATTTTCATAACATGCTAAGACCACCTCTTACTAAATGCGACTCAGTCACAAGCATACTCATCCAGTTCTAATACTTCCAAAGGTCCTCTTTTCATTTTGTCAAATTTCAACATACCTGTTTCCTCATTTCATATGGAATTTCCTTTAACATACTCACACACACATACATGGAAATATACATGCATTTCTATACATGTGTCATGACTGTAGATTGTAAAAACCTTATCTTACTTTTAGGAATTCACTCAGACACATGGTCTTGATCATACTGAGGCCTTTTCTCCTGTGGCCAGATCTCGCTGATCCAAGTGAAAATGTTTACATGGCTCAATGCCACGTGAAAATCAGTTAGCTAATATCTTTACTAAGACCTTCCAAAGCATGGTTAAAATCTCTTTGCTGATACCTTCTCTCCAGCTTGAGGGGAGTGTCACTAGTATAAACTGCAAACATCCTTCTTAGCTTATCTTTCGGGGTGATCTCTAGGACTGATTGAGCTGATTTGTAGGGGTACTGATTGAGCCAATACGAAACTTGAGGGCTAATTTCTAGGAATAGTCGTTGATCTTTTCATGTATGGTTTCTATATAAAACTATGCACATTACTCAGTTCAATCAGGGATATATGATATTCTTCTCCTTTTCTAAATCTTCTTTTCAACAGTATGTGTGCAATACTTATTTGCTCATGCACACAGAAACACACACACACACACACACGGAGATGTTTTTATCCATGCACACAAGTGCACAAGACAACAAAATAACTAGAATAGCTCTAGACCAAAAACTTAGGGTATCTTTTAATGGCAACATAACAAAAGTACCTCTGCCCTACGAGAGTGGAGAATTCCATAGCCAATGTCATGGTTTCCAGAAAGGTAGTAAACTGGGATATTTGAATATCTTTCAGGAGCACTCAGGGAAAAAATATGTTTGAGACGGCTTAAAGATTCCTTCCACCTAATCAAGCAACAAACGTCAATGCCATTCTACAGCAGATAGCAAATACATTGCATTAGTTTACTACCAATCTAAGATTAGAAGAAGAAGAGGCTAACTAAAGCAAACCCAGTAACAATTTTTATAGGGCACCCAACAATTCTGAGCTCATTTCCATGTTAAATCACATGATGAAGCTAGAAAATACACTAAAACACTGAAAAAAAACCAAGTGCATTGCATAGAAGCAGCAAAAACCCAACTTGTATTTGAAATTGAAAAAAGAAAACAAAAGAAGACAAATTTGCAGTGCCTTACTTACTCTTCATCCGAAAGATAAGGACCGCCATCGAAATAATCACCTAAAAAGAAAATAACATCGGGCTGCAGAGGAAGCACAGATTGATGAAAGGCTCTGCGCATGAACAAGTCGGCGAAGAACTGAGCCAACTCGAGAGCAAGTGATTTTGGGGGAAGAGGAAGCGAGGTTCTGTCCATGAGCTGTGGGTCTGTGAGGACCGCCACTTTGACATAATCGCGGTCAGCCATGGAAGAAGAAGCGTTGTTGCTCTGATGAGGCCATGAACAAGACCCGAGAGAGGGCCTCCAAAAGGCCACCATCTCACCATAGAGGAGAGTCACCGCCCATATCACGCAGAGCAGCCCTGTGAGCTCCGCCTGCTTCATCTCTCTCTCTGTCCACTGTTTATGGTGGACTCATTTTCTGTCCTGTTTCTTCTTTCCTTTTTCAGATTTCGGTCCTTCAGTTTCGTATTTTTAGATTCCGATCTATGTTTTTTTTGTTGTCTGAGATTCCGATCTATGTTCAACCCCAAAAAATAAAAATAAATTGTTATTTTTAGTTTTTTCTTTTTTCGAATTTACCCTACCCTGACGGTAAAGCAAGACAGTTTGACTAACTGTTTTTATGTTTTTAAATGGCATCTCGCTAATTGAGTTGGGTGGGGACTAAGGGGGGTGTAGTCTAATGAAAAATGACATTAACTTGATACGAGAAAAATCCTCCTACCTTTTCTAATGACATCGACTTGATACGAGAAAACCCTCCTACCTTTTCTAACTTTGGCAAAAAATAAAAATAAATTGTTTTTTTTCTTTTTTCTTTTTTCGAATTTACCCTACCCTGACGGTAAAGCAAGATAGTTTGACTAACCGTTTTTATGTTTTTAAATGGCATCTCGCTAATTGAGTTGGGTGGGGACTAAGGGGGGTGTAGTCTAATGAAAAATGACATTGACTTGATACGAGAAAAATCCTCCTACCTTTTCTAATGACATCGACGTGATACGAGAAAACCCTCCTACCTTTTCTAACTTTGGCAAAAAATAAAGTGAGTTGGGTGGGGATGAATTTAACTTACCGTGTTGTTCAAGAAAAAAATTGTATCTAAATAATGTAAAGCATTAACTGGTTTATCACATTATGCTTTCAAAATCAGAATTTTATTTTTATTTTTTTGTCCAAAATTAATGACTCACCAAGCATTTGCCACAGGTTATGCCGGAGTGGTGTTTTCACACCTCCAGAGGTCAGTGTTTAAACAGATTGATATTTTGCCTCCCCCACACTCTTCATGATGTCTGCCTCATGAGGTTGACAATTGTGCCATAAATAAATCAGTCTTAAGCACTAAGCAGCTTGCTGTTCCTTGTGTATGTGATCTTCATGCAACGCATGTGTGATATTTGACCTAGAGTTTTTCCCCCAAACTGAGGCTCTAATTTAATCCATATATATATTATGAAAGAGGGATAAAAAACAGCTCAGCAAACATTGCAGTTCACTGGATTATCTAGACAAGGAAAAGAACAGAGTAACTTGCCAGACCAATTAAAGATTCATGTCGAAAATTTCGGTTTGAACTTTGAATCATAAATGACAGACATAATCAGCATATGCATCGCCGAAAAATCATATAATTTGTAGTTTGTAGTCCAGATTCAGACAATTGGTGTTATGCATAGATGAACCCCCTCTAGATTTTTCCTTTATTTGAGAAGGAGAACTGAATTGTTTCAATTCACAGGTCTCACAAAAGCCCTTTTGAAACTACGCAGCAGCTGCAGGTGTCATTAGAGATTTTCACAGAATCTGAAGTAAGATAATTACCAAAAATATTGAGCATTAGAAATTATAAAATTGCTGATTTACAAATGCATGTATGACCACTTTCTCATTACACCACCTTGATTTGCAACATCATCAGAGCTGTAATCTTAGATATATATATATATATATATATATATATATATACTTATGTACTGGGAGGCTCAAAATTAACAAGCAAACCGCTTGACTATAGCTGCCTCATAGATCTGTAGAGCAAAATATCATTTACACAAGTGATTTTGTGAAAGTCTGCAATAATAAACCCAAATATTTATGTGCAAGTATACATATAAATACTTTCTTAGGAAGTGTCAAAGAAATTTGTTTTCCCTCACTAGTCTTTATTTTGGTGTTGGTGGGATGTCCCTACATTTTTCAGCCAATCGACAACTTCCTTGATGGTTGGTCTCTTAAGAGGGTTCTGGTTGACACACATGCAAGCCACATCAAGCACCTGCAGCATCTCTTCGTCAAAGCCCTTCCCTCTCAGGAGAGGATCAAAAACTTCCTCTGGTTTGCCCTCTCTCCTCATTTGCTGCACCCAGCCAACCAACTCTCTCGATGCCCTTGGCTTGCATACCTCGAAAGGCCTTTTTCCGGTTAGCAGCTCAAGCATGACAACCCCAAAACTGTACATATCTCCTCTCAATGTGGCCACCCATGCTTGTCCATACTCTGGAGGAATGTAACCAAGGGTACCAACGAGCTCAGTTGTAACATGAGTCTGGTACGGAAGAATCAACCGGGACAACCCAAAATCAGCAACATGTGCTTGAAATTTATCATCCAGGAGGATGTTGCTGGACTTGATATCACGATGCACAATGTGTGGCTCACATATTTGGTGCATGTAAGCCAACCCGCAGCCTGCTCCCTGTGCTATCTTCAGTCGAGTTGGCCAATCTAACCGGGATGCACCATCAGCTTTCTCATGCAACCAGTAATCCAGACTTCCATTCTCCATATAGGAATATATTAACAGGCGAACACCATCATGCACACAATAGCCTTGCAGGGAAACCAGATTCTCATGTTGGGCAGTGGACAAAGCCTCAACTTCTGCTTTGAATTCCCTTTCCATCAGACCCAAGTCTCCTGAGAGTTTCTTAACAGCTAGCCTGGTCCCATTTGCGAATATTGCTCTGTAAACCAGACCAAAACCTCCACAGCCAATGATGTTTGCTTGATTGAAATTGTCAGTTGCCTTTAAGATTTCAGTTATAGTAAGATCCTTGATTTCATTGGTATTGGTTGGGAACACTATGACTAGGCTGGTATCCTTGTCAAGCTCAGGAGTAACAGCAGTGGCTGAATGGCTAGACATTGTGTCAAAATCCATCTTGTCAGTATCTCCTCCTGGAATGATCCTTCTCTTAGACAACATCCACACTACTAGCATAATAATAATAAATACAATGCCAAAACAGATCCCAGAGGTGAGTCCAATAAGAAGATTTTTGTTAGACCTTCGAGAAGCAGCCGGTGATAATGGTTGAGGACATGTGCGATGCACAGTTGGAGGACCACATAAGCCCGGATTCCCTTCAAAGCTGGAGATGGTAAAAGTATCAAACTGACCTCCAGATGGTACAAGTCCCTGAAGATCATTGTATGCCACACTGAAGGAAGACAAGAAATGCAGACCTTTGAGAGAAACAGGGATTTCACCAGATAGATTGTTATAGGAAAGATCCAATTTCTCTAAGTTAGTGAGGTTAGATATCTGATCTGGGATGCTGCCAGAGAATTTGTTATGACTAAGGTCCAACACATGAATAAACTTCAATCGGCCAATCTCAATGGGGATACTGCCATTAAGGCTGTTGTTACTCAAATATATGGCTGGGGGGAGGTTGGACAGTTGGTTGTACTGCTGATCAGTAGCATTATTGGGCTTCACAAATACTGGCAACTCTAAATAACTTCTGTCCACCTTATCACTGGCCTCTTTCGATGTCAAAACTGGCATCCCACAGAGTTCATTAGGAAATCCGCCTTGAAGGAGGTTATTGGACAAATCAATGTAGAAAAGGTTGGGCAGACTAGCCAACCAACCGGGAAGAGACCCAGTTATAAGATTAAATGACAGGTCCAAGGCTTGAAGGTTTTTAAGCTTGGCTAGCCAGGTGGGTACTTGACCTGTGAATTGGCAACCCCCCAGAGAAAAAACCCGAAGGCTTTGGAATCCATCTAGGTCTCCTAGGCTTTTATCATCTGGCACAGGCTCAAACAGAAAATTGTTGGACAATATCAGAGTGGTCAGGTTCTTGCAACCCTTTAGAATCCTAAGAGCCCCAGTGGCATTTGTCATGTTGTTGGTAGAGATGGAGAGGAAAGCCAAGGATTCTAATGCAACTATTTCAGGTGATATCTGTCCTGTGAGCTGATTCCCGGTCAATCTAATAGCTGTTAGTGACTTGCAAGAGTAGAGGCTTTTGGGGAACTCACCAGTGAAGTTGTTGTTGCCAAGGTCCAGAGTGGTGAGGCGTTGGAGAGGGGAGAAGTTGAAGGAAGAGAGGTCTCCAGTCAAGTTGTTGACCCTCAAATTCAAAGCAGACAGCTTTGTACTGTTGGCGAGAGATAGAGGTAAGGGGCCTGTGAGGTTGTTGACGTGGAGCAGCAGATTTTCCAACCTGGAAAGGTTACCAATTTGGCTTGGGATTGGCCCAGAGAACTGGTTTGAAAAGAGCTCCAGGGTCTGGAGATTGGTGAGGTTCATGATACCATCGTTGATGGGTCCTGTAAGACTGTTGACAGGCAGAGAGAGCTGTCGGAGATCAGCAAGGTTGAAAATTTCATCAGGGAGAGAACCCGAGAGGCTATTGAAGCCTGCACGGAAAACTTGGAGCTTGGAACATAATCCGATTCCGGGGGGAATTGTGTCATTGAGTTTATTGTCGGACAAGTCCAAGAAGGTAAGGGATGTGTGGTTGCTACCATTGTCGATGGGTATCGACCCGGAAAAGCTGTTGTTGCTGACATTGAAAATGGACACCGATGGGACAAGGATCGAAGATGGGATTGTTCCATTGAAGAAATTGCTAGACAAGTTCAGAACCTGAAGCTGACTGATTTTATTTGAAGGTGGTAGACGGCCAATGAGACGATTGAAGCTCAAGTCAATGACTTGGAGACTAGAGAGAGATGAAAACAAATCTTCAGGGAGAGAACCCAGGAAATAATTGTGGGAAAGATTGAGGTGGGTGAGATGGGTGAGGTTTGTGATTGATGGATTGATGACACCAGTTAAGCCTCTCCTAGGCAGCCATAGCCGGACGACACGTCCTTGATCATCTGGGCCGCAGGTTATTCCTTCCCAAAGGCAACAGTCAGTGGAAGAAGACCAATTCAAATTCAATGGTGCCTGGAGAGCCAAGGACAACAGAGCGTCCTGATCGAGCTGGTTACAAGCAGCAGAAACAGAGCAAGGAAGAAGAAGAAGAATGAAAACCCACCGACCCAAAAAGAGATGAGGAAGGAAGGTTGGTATTATTGTTGGGACCTTCTGCTTCTTCTTGTCGTGTTTCATCGGAACAAGAGAAGAAGACATGAAAACTCTCTCTTTCTCTTTCTCTAACTCTCTCACTCAATCATACACAACAACATACTGTAACACATATCACCATCAGCATCATCACAATCTATTGGAACCATATAAATTGGTAGAAGCAGCACCAATCTACCAAAATCCTACAGGTGTTTGAATAAATGCGCGAGAGAGCTAGCTAGCCAGCCAAGCTAACCTGGTACAGAAAGATTGGGTTTTTGGGGATTGCAGCAAAAACCCAATTGAGCAATTGACCCAGAGAAACAAAGACACAGAGAGGTTTGGTTGGGGGAGCTGCTGTGCCTATGTGAAGACAACTGACGTTGACATGGAAGAGACGATAATAATAATAAATCACAGGATGAAGCGTTTACTTTGTGGGCGGCTGGTAGTGGCTGTTGGTGTTGTTGGTGCTGTTGGACATTTTCTAATCTTGTAATCATGATGATGGTGATGATGATGATGATCCTTCACCACAAGAGCTTAGCGTGTATAGTAGGATTAGGATATTCACATATCAAAGGCAAAAGCTTTCTTTTTTCTTTTTTTTTCTTTTTCAAATATTCGTTTCAGCACTTGCCCATTATTTATCTTCTTCTTCTTTTTCTTTTTCTTTTTTCTCTTCTCTTTTTCTCGACGTCTTCGGTTGCTTTGCTTTGCTTGGCTTGCCGCTTAAGCCCGACAGAGAGACTGAGGAGGACACCGATAAGCTAACGCAGCAAATGGGTTTTCAGTCCGGCAAGTGACAGATAAGAGATTTGGGGTTGGTTGGTTGGTCAATTTGGAAAATGATGGGGTTTGGAATCTTTCAGATTGTTGGAGCGAGAGAGGCAGTCAAGGTTGCAAGTGGCAGGTTAAGAAACTAGGGATTTGGAAAAAGAATTGGGGCAAAATGCACACTGCATGATTTTTTTCTTTTTTCGAACCCACGCAAGTGGGAGTTATTTCAGGATATTTACACTTTAGCAGATTAATTAGCACACTCATCAACTAACCAATATTTTGAGAGGAGTTTCTAAAAATATATATATATATATATTTTTTGAGAGGAGAAAATATAGAATACTAACTTTTTCATGTGCCCACATGTTATCTAACTTTTTGACACATGTCCTTCAACTTAATCTCAAGTTAATAATGTTAACTATTAATTAAAAACACTAATAATTGAAGGAAGAAAACCCTAAACCCAACCGGAACGTCCTGAGCCTTGAGACGGAGGCATCAACCATGTTGATGCCTCAGTGAGCGCGTTAGGGTTTAGAAATCGGATTTGCGCGTTTTTGAGATTGAAGATGCCTTTGAGATCTTGAAATCACAATAAACGATAAAAAGTATAGGTGTCTTAGGTTTGCAAATGCAAAGAAATAAGAGAAGCTAACTACTGGTTTGATCATGCTTGATTTTCTACTTGGCTATTTTGCAAATTTCATTCTTTGTATGACTCCAATTATGTATATCCAGGCATCTTATTGCCACAAAAAAAACCCAACTAGAAGAGCAAGGGAATAAGATAGATCTAGATCCAAAATATTTGGCATCGATCCATCTCATTGCCGTTCCTATTATCAAGCTAATATTGCATGACAATGGTTGTCGAAAAAATAAGAGAGGTTGGTTTTATTAAGGGTATTTTTGGTATTTACTTTGAGCAAAGCAAATGATTTTTTTTTGTTTTTTTAACAAGCGATAATCTACTTTAAACTTATCTAAATTATAGGGAGGAGAATTCGAACTCGGGTACAGAGTGAAGAGCACATCCACTATAACCAAATTAACTAAGCCCATGTCTGCAAAGCAAATGATTCTACATATGAATGGATGGTGTGAAAATAAAAAATTGTACCCATGAAATAGATTTATTTATTTATTTTTAATAATAAAATTTTGTGGCCATGGAACATTGATAAGATAAGTGGGTCCATTTTAGATTCACCTTGATAATTTCCCATTAGCCTGACTTTAGAGTAGGGAGGACACTTGGTGGCCATGAAATATTAAGGGAGTTACCATTGTCCAATTCTGATTTGTTCATCCATTTTTCACATTTATCATGATGATTTGTGCGCACTACTTCATTGTTTTTACGTGCAAAGTCCACTTGTTATGACCAGCAGAGTTGTCCTAATATATTTAATTAAAAAAAAATGTTGGGAGACAAACTTTTTCTAGAAAGGAAATTACCAGGTAGGAGGGCATAAAGTCAATTTAATAGATAAAAAAAGAAAAAGAAAAACAATAAGAATCTAGTTCCTAGTGGAACATAAAAGAATGCATTTGTCAAACTTAACTACATACGTATGAATGTGATCCAACTATTGAATATTATTATTACATAGATGATAATGTGAAACTACCCTTGTTCTTGAATAAAATATTGAGATATGAATCTCTGATGGATTGGGTTTGGTTTTTTCTTTATGCCCACCACCATATATCCTGACTTGGACAGCAAAAACGGCTTGAATGAGAAAGTGGGAAGATTTGAAACTTGAAAGGGAGGCTTAGAGAGAGGACTGGTAAACTGCAGGGCAAGTCAATGTTTGTTTCACCATTAAATTAATTAAAACACCCTCCATATTCAACTGCTCACTTTGTTTGTGCCTTGCCATTGATATTGAAGACCATCTCGGGGCTTTAAATTTGTACCACATGTATAACACAAGTTGAGAGAGCCTCTCATATTTTAAAGTTGTTTGACATTATGAGATTTTGTCATCCTCCCTTGTGAATTGTGATATCTCATAACAAAATGATCTGTTTCGGTTTAAATTTTAACATGGGAGGCCATAAGGAAAGGGTTCTCGAATTCCAGCCTTATGTGTAGGGTAATGCTCGCCACTACTTGAATTACAAACCTCTATTATATGAACTTTGTCCTCCCTTCTCTTTACAACATAAATAAATAAATACATGTTTAGATTTGATTTTCTCACTTGCTACTTGCCACAAAAACTTAAAAACTTTATTTCTAGTAGTTTTAAAACGTTCTATTCAAATATATAGTTGTGAAAAATTGCCCATAAGATTGTTTTTTTTACTACAAATGTGTGTTCAGTTGACGAGGATAGTGCATCCAAGTTCAAGTATCATTTCCTGTAGATTGAATTAAATCATAGTAATTTAGATTATCACTTATCTATAAAAAAAATTAATTTTGACTGCTCATTTAGTTTTTGAGACTAGACATGTAAACCACAATATAATGGCATGTTGTCAGTTCCAACATTTACTATTCATCACTAGACTAAACATTTTTTTTTTTTTTTTTTTTTTTTTTTTTTTTTTTTAAAAAAACTAAACTTGTATAATGAAAAGGGGATCGAACTTGAGTGCAAAGTTGACAGTGCACTTGCCTTGACTCTAATTTCACTTAACATTAGATCAAGATATCAGAATCAAAAACACTTCCTAAATAAGCAAATTTAACTGAACATTCATCAAGAACTTAGTCAAGAGAAAAAAAAAAGCTTCCCAAAGAAGCAAATCCAAACCCAACCAAATCCTTCGACTTTGGGCCAAGCTACTTGAACAAACAAGGTATCCAAGATGATATGGTAAATGGGCTGACAGGAGGATAGTTGTCCCCAAACTCAATTTTAAGCCCATATTTGCAAAGGCACTCAACAACAACAAAAAAACTATAAGGAGGACACTGAAAAAATAAAAAGTATAAGGGCGAAAGTGAAAATCCGAATAAACTATAGGGAACCATTGGGCCTTCCAAAAAAATAAAGTTTTGGGCCAGTGACACAAAACTCGAATGTAAAACCCTACAGTTATCCAATCAGAATATTTCCTCTTCTCGTTGTAAGCCAAAAAGTGAACCCAAAAAAAAGGAAAAAAGATGATGATATAAATATTGACGCTAATTAATTTTTTTCGTCGAGAATTTGATGAAGATATTTTTTTGGTAAAACCCAAAACCCTACTTGGTTAGTTTCCCATTTCATTATCTGCTGCTTTTCGTCCCCTTTGGCATCACAATTAGACGGTGTCTAAGGACAAGCATGCAGATTACAGAGCTCACTCTCCCACCTCCATTTCCCTGCGGGTTCGACGCTGCCACTCTCACTCTGATATCGCCACCCACAGTCTCGCTCTGCTAATTTGTATAGCTTGCTTCTGCGTTCTCAACCGCCCCAACCATTTCTGCTTTGGGTTCTGTTCTTCAACTCCTTCTGGAAATGGTTTTGAAATTTCTGTGATTTTGGGTACTTGTGGAAGAAGAAGATGATGGAAAAGATAAAGAGGAAAACTCAATCACAGCTTGAAGCCCTTGAGAGCTTCTACTCAGGTACGCTTCTTCGCTAATTGTAACCTCTCTCTCTCTCTCTGCGTGTGTGTGTTTGATATACGTAGCTTTTGTTATTATTGCTCTGTTTCTCTATTGGGTTCAGAATTAAGCTACCCAATTTACAGTTTAATTGAAATCAGCATTTTATACGTGCAATTATTGGCTCAAACTTGGAACAGACAGCTGCAATCGTTCCGTTGTTTGTTTTGATTTTAGAAAGCAATAAGGAAATAGTTGCAGAATACAATTATACAAGCACTTAGGATTGGTCGTGCATCTGTTGCTCTAGATTTTATAAAATGGTAGCGGACTTTTCATGTTAATCACAAGAGAGCGAAACCCAATATTTACTTTTTTTTTTTTTTTTTTTTTTTTTTTTCTTTCACAGAGGTATCCTTCACGAACGGCAATGGAATGCCATGCTGCTGCCTTCAGATTGACTTACAATCAGGTTCGGGGTTGGTTTGTTGAGAAGAGGAGGAGAGAGAAGCGAGAAAATAAAACCACCGAGGAGTTGGGTGGAAGAAATGGATCGGGAGCTGGTGCTCCAAGGGTAGTTAAACACTGCCCCTCAAAAGCTCCTTTGTTGTTGAGATACAAGCAAACAAAAATGAATGGGAATCATATTCAGGAATTGTTAACTCCAGACTACATTCTCAAGAAGGTGTTCCGCAAAGATGGTCCCCCCCTTGGTGTGGAATTTGACTCTCTCCCCTCTCGGGCACTTTTCCATTCTACAGGTAAGAACTGAGAAACTTTCAGGTCTGAGAAATCATAGGCAAAATGAATCATTTCTATTCTAAATTTTTGTCTATCTGAGATCAATTCTCCTTTTCCGTTTGTTTAAAAAGTAAACTACACATCAGTTGTAGAATTTTCACTCAGAGTGGTTTGGTGTGTTGATGAGAACATTCTCTTTGTTGATTTTTATATGAGTTGTGAAGGGAGAGGACTTGATTCTTTGAGATTTTGTTGTTTCGTAATGTTTAATGCCATTCAGAATTAGATGTTTTTGGTAGTTTGCGTCTAAACTTCTTGACAGAGTTAATTTGTATTGGTGTTGCAGTAGCTGTTCGGAAAATTTTATCTCTTTGTTCTTTTCGATGCTATTTTGTAGATTTTTTTTTGTTGCACTACATATTTTAAGAAGGTTTCACTCACATTGTTATTTCCATTTAGATCCCGAAGATTTACATCCCCCTTGCAAAGAGAACCAAAGAGAAACTAAAAGGAGGAAGGTAATGGATAAATTCTTTTGTTGGCACCAGCTTTCATGATTCTCTTGTTTCTACCTTAAGTGTCCTTAACTGGTACCACAAATATTCTTACCCTTTTAACTTTTATTAGGTTACCGAGCATGCTGTCATTGGTCATCAGAATTGCAACGAGAGTGCTCCAGTGAAAAAACATGGTGTTGGAAAAGGTTTGATGACGGTCTGGCGGGCAACCAATCCTGATGCCAGAGATTTTCCTGTTGACATGGGTTTTGCTAACGGTGGAGTCACTAGTGTATCATTAATTCCAACTTCTGTATTGCGAAAACCAGTAACTCGAAACAGAAGATTGCAACCAAAAAAAAGTGTTCCTGTAAGTGATTTAGTCTGTATTGCTTGCAGATATGTGAGAAAGTTTTTTGGGATGATCATCTTAAAGGTCGATCTGGGTGGTTACCTTTAGAAAGTTGTCTGACATTTGTTGCCTTTACAGAAACAGGGACGGGTACGAAATAAGGTACAAGAAAAGAGGAAACATTTCGTCAAAAGAAGAGAAGTAAGTGAAAAAATTGTTCTTGCAAATATATGGTTTAAGTTAGCAGATTTAGCAACATTCATTTTGCTTTTGGATGCAAGGTGGAATCTAACAATGAGAATCAGACTCTGCCAAGCAAAGAAAAATGTGAACTTGCTTTGGAAGGAGCAAGTTCCCAAGAACACTCGGATAAGATTGCTATGCTTGTGGATGATGAAGAGCTGGAGCTGAGAGAATTACAAGGAAGGCCAAATGCACTGGGGTGCTCTGATCATTTTACTACTAATGGAGATCATGCCTGTTCACTTTGCAAAGGTTGGTTTGAAGGAAGAATGGAACAAATTTTCCAATCTAAAATGAAATGCTGTAATATGTATGTGTCTACATGTATAGTATTTTGAGCTGTGGATAAGGAATTTTTGGGATTTCAGATTTGCTGGCCAAGTTTCCTCCAAATTCTGTGAAGATGAAGCAGCCATTCTGTATGCAACCTTGGGATTCTTCTCCAGAGATTGTCAAGAAACTGTTCAAGGTATGTGAATTGCAAACTGTTTGTGGCCTGATTTTGTTAAGTTCTTTTGCAAATATAGGACATTGTTCGTGAAAGATGTCATACACTCCATCTATGCTTGCATTTGCTTTTTCTTATTTATGAGGTCTGTTTTCTTATTCATGATTATACGACCTATAAAAGCTTGGAATAATTATTTTGTGCTCGCTAATACTGCCTAATGGTCTCTCATTACTCTTACCAATCTTTTTCGTTGACACTCTCATTGCATAGATTGAAGTCATAGGTTGTTCTTGCAGAGATGTTATGCAAACTAAGATATACTCAAGAAAAACATATATCAAGTACTAGAGATATATGGAATGTGGTCTAAATTTGATATTGGAATCTACTTGTAATTCTCTTTTGTGTAGTTCGTACCTAGTGTAGGAATTTATTATTATCTTGTCAACTTTTTGATTCCTTATGGAAATTGGTGAGTGAAGATGTGCTGTGTTAAAGCACCACTCTAGATTGCTGCAGTTTTTTTTTTTGGGGGTTTATTAACAAATGTGTCTGGGGGTCATCAATTCAGATTGCTACATTTTGTTTAGTTATCGTACTCAAATATATTCTGGGTTGACTTTCTTGGGCAGGTTTTCCATTTCCTTTGTACTTATGCCGTTATGGTAGATATAAGCTCCTTCACTATTGATGAGTTTGCCCAAGCATTTCAGGACAAGGTTATATCTTATCTTTGATCCAACATTGGATTTATTGTGTCTTCTACTTGCCTCAACATCTTTGTTTTGTAAAATGCCTTTTAGGATTCCTTGCTGCTTGGAAAAATTCATGTGGCACTTCTGAAGCTTCTTCTATCTAATGTTGAAGCCGAGCTTGGCTGTGGATCTATACCTCATTTGAGCAAATCATGCAATTTTCTTGCATTTATTCACTCGGTGAGTTATGAACAAACAGCATATAATCATGTAGATCACAGACATTTACAGTTCATTTAACTTATGATAATGTTAGTCATATTGACCATTTCATTTGGGTACATATATGTCACAGCAGTTTTCTAAAGGCTCATATGTTTGGAACTTTGTTGGTAACAAAAAGAGAGTGCAATCTATAAGACTGTTGACATGTTTCTTTACAGGGAAGTTAAATACCGCTGAAAGTAGCAATATGATATCAGAAAAATTTAAAGAATATAGGAAAGAGGATATCATCTAATAATCAAAAGTTTGGTGTGACTACAGAAAAGGTCTACATTCCAGAATGTCTGATAGATATGCTTAGGCGACAAGAAATTTTCTGAACAAAATCATAATCAGACTATTAGTAGTCCATCCATATGCACTTTTAGAAGATCCACTTGCTTTTTGGTATGGTTGATCAGAGATACTTTTTTTTGTCAAACTCTTAAGACTTTTTTGCTCATCTCTTAAATAATTGTTATTTCATATTATTATGACAAAATTGAATGGAAGTACTCAATAACTAAGCATCTTTGTCAAATGATTTGGCAGGTTGAAAATCAAGAATCCACTCTGGAATTCTGGAAGAGATCGCTAAACCCTTTAACATGGACAGAAATACTGCGTCAAGTACTGGTTGCCGCTGGTTTTGGTTCAAAGCAAGGTGCAATGCGAAGGGATGCCCTTAGCAAGGTCTTCTAATTTAACTACCGTAGTTGCAATTGGTTTTTCCAAGCTCCATTTCCTCTCTAGTAAATGTATTTAATTATCAATACATCTGTATTCTGCAAGTTAAGTGCTATAGATGCCTAATAATATGTGTTCATCACTCAAAACCTCGAGCATTCAAAGCCTTATTGGCAATTGTCATTTAAGATCTGTCATTACCCTGAATAATCTGTTTCTACCTTAAGGCAGAGCCCCAATTGGATAGATTCATTTTCCATACCCTCTGTTGAGCATATGTTTAGCATTATCGTGAATTCCTAAATAACATCTGTTGAGCATATGTTTATTTGTCTCCGCTTGTCTCTGGAATTATTTGCTTTAATGACCAGACATGCGCAGGAGCCTTTATTTACTTTCTTATGGTGGTTTTATTTATGATCTACAATTAATAAGCTTTATCTGTTGTTGCATAAACCTATCTATAAATGTAAAATTTCGTTTTTCAAATTGAATCTTCTGTTATCTAGGAAATGAGCCTTATGGTGAAGTATGGTTTACGCCCTGGTACTTTGAAGGGTGAATTGTTTAGAGTTCTGCTAGAGCAAGGAATTCATGGGTTGAAAGTTTCTGAGTTGGCGAAGTCATTGCAGGTAATTTTCTTGAAAATGTTGTTATCATAATCTCTCATGTTTTAATCGTTAAGTTGATACCAGCCAAGCACAGCATTTAGTGATGGACTTTGTTTTTGTTTTGCAGATTTCTGAATTGAACCTTTCCAGTGGAATAGAGGACCTAGAGTCTTTAATTGGTTCAACTCTTTCAAGTGATATTACATTATTTGAAAAGATTTCATCATCCACATATCGTGTGCGTATTAATTCTTCTGAAAAAGAAGTGGAGGAATCCCAATCAGATACCGAAGACTCTGGAGCAGTTGATGATGACCTCGGTGACAGTGGTACATGTAGCAGTGATGATGATTCTGGATGCAATTCAGGAAATTCCCAAATTAAAAAGCTGACTTATATGAACCATGGGAAAAGCAAAGATAACATGGTGACAGTATACACCGAAATTGATGAGAGCCATCCAGGAGAAGTATGGTTGTTAGGACTAATGGAAGGCGAATATTCAGATTTAAGCATTGAAGAAAAGTTGAGCGCAATAGTGGCTCTAATTGATCTTCTTCATGCAGGTTCTGGTTTCAGAATGGAGGTAACATTAGAATCTTTGCATGGACTTTGAAACCTTCTCTTTGTTTTTATTTTTCCCCCTACTGTGAGGTTGCCCTATTAAATGGAATGTGTTCAGTCCCTTGTAAGATAATATCATCTGAATGGTGAAAACTGCATTATATATAAAATACTTTGACGGTAAATATTATTTGAATATTCAATGAGATTCAAGTATCCGTAATTATTATGGTGGTTTATAAGTTTAAAATTGGTTTGTATTATTGTTTTCCTTAAAATTGGATCTACCGTTTGGGTTCCACATATGTGACCTGACTGAAGTCCTGACGGGTTCATTATGGCTACCTTCTTTGGCTTCTCCAAACAAAAACAAAAAAACAGAAACTGATAGCTTCTTGTTGTCTTTGTCTATTGTCATGTATCATGTATTTCCCCACTGAGTTCTTAAATGTTCTTCAATTGTAACTATAGTTTTCAACAGAATTTAAACATGCATGGTATTTAAGTAATTTTCAGCAGATTAAACATGTCTCTCTTTTTCTTCTTATTCCTTTATAGGATCCTATAAATGCTATTGCTGAATGCGTTCCTAGCAGTCTTCATTCTGGTTCAGGGGCGAAAATTAAGAGGTTATCAACTAAACAACATGGCATGCCCAGGCCAACCTGGGTCCATGCAGGACATACGAGTGGTGCAAAAGAAGATTATACATTAAAGTTTCACCCTATAGATTCTTCGGGGTCAATCTCAAAGTTCTCTGACGAGAGATTCTCTACAAAAGAGAAAAATGGAAAAGAAAGAGAAGTGCAGTTTGACATACACCCAATGCAATCTGTGTTTTTGGGGTCTGATCGTAGATACAATAGATACTGGCTTTTCTTGGGCCCTTGTAATGCATATGACCCAGGACATAGAAGGGTTTATTTCGAATCTTCAGAAGATGGTCACTGGGAGGTGATTGATACAGAAGAGGTATTCTGCTGAATTTTTGTTATACGATCAATGTGATTGTAGTACATATTGCTTGACCTTGTATAAGTTATAATATTTACTTGCTTTTTCTTAAACCAAATGCAGGCTCTGTGTGCTTTGTTGTCAGTTTTGGATGACAGGGGTAAACGAGAGGCTCTTCTTATTGAATCCCTGGAGAAACGAATAGCGTTTCTGTGCCAAGCGATGTCAAGTAGAATGGTAAATAGTGATAGAATTGACAACTTGGCGCAATCTGATCAATCTGAGCTGGATAGTGTTAGAGAAGACACTTATTCACCAGTATCTGATGTAGACAACAACTTATCTGGAATTGCAAATGATTCTCTGCCTTCATCTGGAGTTGGGGTTCTTGAAGTTAGAAAGAAAGGAGAACAACAGAAGCAGAAATGGAGCCGAATCCAAGCATTTGATTCATGGTTATGGAATTCCTTTTACCTAGATCTTAATGCTGTCAAACATGGTAAACGATCATATTTTGATACACTTACTAGATGTGAAAGTTGTCATGATTTGTATTGGAGAGATGAGAAGCACTGCAGGATTTGCCATACAACATTTGAGCTTCATTTTGATCTGGAAGAAAGGTATGCCATCCATGTAGCCACATGTAAGGAGAAAGAAGCGAGTGATACTTTTCCTAAGCATAAGGTCCTCTCATCACAGATCCAATCACTAAAAGCTGCGATGCATGCAATTGAGGTAACCCATCATTTGGATTTTAGCTTTGCATTTTCTGATATTTGTTTGTTATAGTAATGAAGATGTCCTCCAGTTAAAAAGATTTCAAGCTACACATATCTTTGATAGACTGGAGGAGAATAGGACTTCAGTTGAGGATCAACCTAGGAATGAATTAAGTGTTCATGGTTTGGATAATTTGAATGTGACTTTTGAGATTTATGCGCAATCAAATCCGATAGCTTTTATATAATAAAAAAAGAAGAGAAAATCTCTGAAGTGCAATAAGATTTTAGATGAAGGGGTGCGGGATGGCGGGGAAGGGATTGATGAAAAGGCATACTGCTGTGAATGTAGCAGAATGGTTGATTAGTATCCACCTGCCCTATCTGATTAGTTCGGGCCTCTGGTAGCTGGCCATAAATAGTGGGATTATTTTAGTTGGATTTTGGGGCCTGAACCTTTTGATTGTCTGATGGTTAAAACAGGTTTTCTAGGTTATATATCGAAGACATTTCTATTCGCCCCAAAGTTTTTAATGTTTTTCCGTGCTATATTGATCTCCACCTCCCTCTGCTTTGTGCAGTCAGCCATGCCAGAAGATGCTTTGTTGGGTGCTTGGAAAAAATCTGCTCATAAGCTATGGGTGAAACGACTAAGACGTACCTCATCTTTGGCTGAGCTTTTGCAGGTTTTCTATTTTCCTTTTTTCACACTATCTATTTTTTGTTTATTTTCTAGTCGGAACCATCAGTTTCTTTATTGTTTACTCGTGCAGGTTCTTGGTGATTTTGTTGGTGCCATCAACGAGGACCGATTATATGAATGCAATATAGAGCAAGGTTCTTGTAATTTTAGTGAAGAACTGATTGCGTCCTTTGCATGTATGCCCCAAACAACATCTGCAGTTGCACTCTGGTTGGTGAGATTGGATGCCTTAATTGCTCCATACTTGGAAAGAGCCCATTCTCAGAAAAGGCTGGAAATTAGTGTCAGAGGTAATGATTGAATATAATGCAGATTGGTGCTTGACAATTGAGTGACTTCTTAATTGTTTTCATAGCTTTTCAAATTTTCGCCATCTTAAAAGCTTCTTTTACTTCAGGGAAGCATGCTCCAAAGCAATAGCACCGCCTTTTTTCGGTAGATTAGCCAAATTCAATCCCACATTTTTTTGACAGATTGAGGAGCATTTATATGTCCATTGTACTGCCAGATCAGTGGAACTGTTGCAGGCTTTGAAACCGTGGTACTTTGTATGAAGCTATGCTTCAAGTTTTCTATTTAGTTGCCATATATGGCCATTGAGTCGTTAGATGTACAGCATGAAGGAAAGTTGGACGTTTAATAGATACCAGAGTTTCATATCACTGAAACCTGCTCCAGAGAAATATCCTCACGTTTATCCTATATTCGCTTGTGAAGAATATGGCAGCCTCTTTACTGTCTCAGTCAATGGAGGAACTCAGATTTTGTTAATGCATGCTTGTTCTAGTTTTTTAAAGCAGGAATAAAATGTTGTCAAATGTACATTGTTGTAAAGAAAAACAAAATACTGTTTTTTTTTATTTTTGAAAATAGAAGATTTGAAAGTCATCTTTGTGATAATCTTTTGTAGCTAGAACAATGTTTATTGTAGTTGAATATCCTCGACCTCACAGTTTGTTGCCAAAGACTTGTTGGTTTATTGAAATTTGCATTTCTTCATTGGGGTTCTCGTAGCTATTGATTGGTAAAAAAAATAGACATTCACCAAGAATGCTCGAATTATATTACACAAGAATAGCACTAGATAAATAAAACATTTAGGGTTTGGCTGTACTTTTTCTATGGCGTTTTTTAAGATAATAGTTGCTGCATAATTTCACGAAAAACTCCATGCATTCCTCGAAGCCTTCTTCCGGGTTTCAGTAGCAATTCTCAGTGCCTTGAGCAACAAACTTTATATATATGCCTCAGTTTTTGTGGCCATTTTAAACTTAAAATTATCAGTTGAAGAGGAAGGAAGAAACTAAGGAAGAAACTGAGAGGGAGAGCTATAATACTGAAGTTATTTTTGTTGTACAAAGTTGTTCTGCTTTGTGACTAAGCAAGGGAAATAGTGTGATTTTATATAAGTGGAGTGGAAGGTGGAAGCCATATATACAAGCAATTACTAATTTCCCTGATCCCTTCAAGTCCACTATCCGATCAGCTAGGAAATTTCAGACATTTACGCCTCCTTGCTCTTTCGAGTAATTCAATATCAGGTCCAATTCCAGTGTCCTTGGGGAAATCTGTCATTCCTAGAAGACGCAAGCATTTCTGAAAATCATTTTAATCGAACTCTTCCAAAAACTACTGGTCAACTCAAAATTATGTAAAGAGTATAGCTGGTCGGCTATAATATTTATAAAAAAAGACCGCAGTAATGCTGGACGGCTATAATCTTTTAAAAATATATACATCGTATAGCCGTGCGTCTATACTATAAAAACTGTCGTATAGCTGCGTGGTTAGACTCTATTATATTATAAAAAGAGACCCGCCTGTCGGCCTAGCGCCCATTTCGCCACGTGTCAAAAATAGTATAGTTGTACACTATACTAATTTTTTAAATAATAAATACCGTAGTATAGCCGGTCGGCTATACTCCGTTTATTATTAAAATAAACCCCGAGTTGGAAAAGGTTTGATGACGGTCTGGCGGGCAACCAATCCTGGTGCTAGAGGTTTTCTTGTTGACATGGGTTTTGCTAAATTGTGTATCGCGAAAACCAGTAACTCGGAACAGAAGATTGCAACACCAAAAATGTGATTTAGTCTGTATTGCTTGCAGATATGTGAGAAAGACTCTGCCAAGCAAAGAAAAAATGTGAACTTGCTTTGGAAGGAGCAGATTCCCAAGAACACTCGGATAAGATCGCAATGCTTGTGGATGATGAAGAGTTGGAGCTGAGAGAATTACAAGGAAGCCCAAATGCACTGGGGTTCTCTGATCATTTTACTACTAATGGAGATCATGCCTGTTCACTTTGCAAAGGTTGGTTTGAGGGAAGAACAGAACAAATTTTCCACTCTAAAATGAAATGCTGTAATATGTATGTGTCTGCATATATAATATTTTGAGTTGTGGAAGTAGAGTTGGTGTCATTTTTTAAAAAGAATGATTGTATTTTGGGAATTTAAAAAATTCATGAAAGGTTCATCTCCGCTTCTTTTGGAAGTAGTTTTGAAAAGAAACCCAGAGTCTGCTTTTAAAAGCTGTTGTCAAAAGGCCACTTCTTTTAAAATAAGTGGGATATTTTATTTTTACCAAACACCTTAAACTGTTAACTTTAAAGTGAATCAGGTTTTTGGCCAAAAAAAGCAATCCCAAGCAATTTTATACTATGAAATTCAACCTTCTTTGATCCACAAAATGTTGGCGGATCCCTATTTTTTGTTGTTGTATTTATGGGTTTAACCTGTATTATTTGTTATAAATAAAATTCATTTTTTTATTCTTTCCCAATGGGCTAATAGTTAGATTGTTAGAAATCATTAGAATGAGAGGTATCAGAAAGAATTTAAATTTTCATTCCCCAATATCGCTTGTATAAATAAAATAATTGCAGAAATAACTCTAGCCCCAAAAACCTAAAACGATATGACAAAAATGTATATTTCAAGGGTATAGCCGCACGGCTATACTGTCTAAATTCGTTTGAATATTTTAAAGGTGTAGCCGAACGGCTAGACTCTTTAAATTTTAATATATTTGAATATTTTAAGAGTATAGCCGAACGGCGATACTCTTTAAATATTAACACGAAGCTTGCACTCGCAATGACAGCCATTTCGCTTCTCTATCAAACTAAAGCTCCGATTGGTTTTCTTCGGTTTCGGTTGCTTCGTCCTCCAGGTTCGGCATCGTAAAAAGACCCAACCCGCCTAGGAGGCCTCCCAGCCGCCTAGCCCCCGCCTAGCCGCCTAGCGCCAGCCTAGCCCCCGCCTAGCCGCCTAGCGCCCGCCTAGCACCCGCCTAGCCCCTGCCTAGCCGCCTAGCGCCCGCCTAGCCCCACATCGCTGGCTTGTTGCAGATTTTGACCGAGAAAATTCTGATATCGGAGACAGGGTCGAGTTCCAGAGCCGTAGAATTGGACCATATTCAGGAGGAGATTGAGGAGGTGTCTGCCGTTCCGGAAGTGAAGGAGAAGAAGAAGAGCAGAAATGCTTTGAGGAAGGGGTCGGAAGGTGAAGAGGTCCGAGCTATGCAGGTCTGCTTGCTTTTGAAATGCGAGTTTTGATTTTTCGGAGTCTATCATTCATTTCTTGTGTTTTGTTTATGATTTAGTGTTGTCTTTGAATTATAAAATGGTACTTTTGAATTTGGCAAATTGAAAACTGAGCAGCATACAGTTTTTTAGGACTTACAAGGGGGTATTAACTTTGTCTTTAGTATAGAAAGTTGTTAACTTTTGTTTCTTTTCTTTTCCTGTAACTGGGTTTGTGTGGTTATTTCCTTTTCTAGTGTTTGCTTCGTTTTTGGATGTAATATTTGTGATTTCGACTTGTTCTAATATAATGTTCCTGTTATTTGACAGGAAGCATCGCAAAAACTAGGATTTTACTTGGGTGAGGAAGACATGGAGTTTTCCAGCTTCTCAAGCGGGACCGAACGTGCTGTCAAGACTTGGCAAGTAAGTTTCAATTATCATTAGATGTTACTATGTATAATGCATCATGAAGTGAACAAAAAATTCAGAATCATCAAGTTGAACAAAAATTTCACAACGCAAAATATATATGTTAGTCAACTTGTAATATCTTGTCTGACAGGCCTCCTTAGACGTTGATGTTTTTAAGTTTCAGTACCAATATATCATTCCTCACTTAGAGCTGAACATAATGGTTTGGTAAGTCATTACTTGCATTCCTCAAGAGGAGCCAAAAACTCATTTGATGGTTCAATTTGAAGTGAACTAAGCCTTCATTTTCTTCACTTAATTGAGAAACGGACCTGAAGCTCCGACTCTATTTTCAGTAACTCAGACATCAGGTTTCTTGGTTCCAGTTCATGAGACAATCACTTAACATGCAAATAAATACGATATGATATGACAGTGACGTAATGTGTTGTGGTAATTGGTAACACACCGTAACTTATTTTGGATACTAATAAATGAAGCTGATTATATTGGTAAACTGATTTTCTTCTCCTGGTTGGCCTTGAGCTAGCAACCTGATCATGTTCGTATAAGCTATAGCGAACTACTACATAGGCTGAAACATCGTAATTCTTCAAATGGTTGTGTGGGTTATGTTGTTTGGGAAGATACAAATGGAGCTGCAGTTACTTCTGGAACAGAAATTTCAGAGGTCCAGCAAACACTTGTGAATGCTGCACACATGAAGTAACAGGGAGATGGTTATATAGAGAGAGGGGAAGGAGATGGTGGTTGAAGGTATGGAAAACTTTATGCTACGAACATGTGATTGGCTAAATTAATGGTTCTATACATTGCAGACTAAACTACTTTAAAAAAAGATTATCATGATCTAATTTAGAGTTGACTTATTCTCTTTCCTATGCAAGTATGAGTTTATGACCTTGGTATATCATTACCATTCCATTCAACAATAGCATATGGTTAATACACAACATGCAGGACAATGATTTGCGTGATGTGTTCAATGATTTGGGCAACGGGAATGAAGAACTATTTGATTGTACAAAGCGATATCTCATCTTTTTTATATTTACAACACCATTGAGCAATTATGTGTGCTGAGTTTGGTGCGGTGTTCATCTTGTGTTTTTGGACATTGTTACTCCAATGAGGGCTTGTTATAAGTTCCAGTCGTGATTTCATTATAAGATGTTTGCTTAATTTGGAAAATGGTCGTTCAAAATTCCTTTGCTACATTTTCTGTAATATCACAAGTGCTCGCGATTGTTCTTTAGCCTTGCCTCTGCCTCAATTTCTATCCTAACCTTCCTTTCCCACCAAAGGTTTTCTTAGCTAAATTTCTTTGAGGTTTAGGAAAAATTTCTTGGTGAAAAAAGAATGTTGGTTGCACAAGTTTAACAACAAGCACAACCAGTAGACAAATGAAATAATGTGTTATATGTAAGGCCCAGTTCGGAATTGCTGTGACTTTTAAAAAAAGTTGCTTTTTGCTGTGATTTGAAAATATTTAGTTGTAAAGTAAAGCAGCTCCATGTTTGGTAAACAATATTTTTAAAGTGTTGTTAGTACAAAAGGCAGTGTTAAAACCGTTTGGTAAATTTTAAAATAAAATTGTTGTAACTGTGAATAATGACTGAAATAGACATGATGTTGAAAGTGTTATATACTAATCATGTGGCGGTTGTGGTGTTGATGGAGTGAAGGTGGTGGTGGTGATGAAGGTGGTTGTTGTAGTGGTGGTGGTGGTGGGGGGGGATGGCGGTTGTGGAGGTGGTGGTGGTGGCAGCGGCAGCAGTGACAACATGGTGGTGGTGGTGGTGTTGGTTGTGGAGATGGTGGAGGACGTGGAGGTTTTGGAGGAGGAGGTGGTTGTGGTGGTGGTGGTGGTGGTGGAGGTGGTGGTGGAGGAGTTGGTGGTTGTGGTAGTGGTGGTGGTGGGGATGGCGGTTATGGAGGTGGTGGTGGTGGGGGCAGTGGCAGCATGGTGGTGGTGGTGGCGTTGGTTGTAGAGATGGTGGATGTGGAGGTTTTGGAGGAGGTGGTGGTGTGGTGGAGGTGGTGGTGGGGTGGTGGTGGTGGAGGTGGTAGTGGTGGTAATGGCAGCATGGTGGTGGTGGTGGTGGTTGGTTGTGGAGATGGTGGTGGATGTGGAGGTTTTGGAGGAGGTGGTGGTAGTGGTGACGATGGTGGAGGTGGAGGTGGAGGAGGTGGTGGCGGAGGTGGTGGAGGAGATGGTGGTTGTTGTGGTGGTAGTGGTGGTGGCGGCGGTGGTTGTGGAGGCAGTGAATGTGGTGGTGCAAGTGGTGGAGTTGGATGTGGAAGTGGAGGTGGTGTCATTGTTTAAAATGAATTATGGTATTTTGGGAATTTAAAGAATTCATTAAAGGTTCATCTCTGCTTCTTTTAAAAGCAACTTTGAAAAGCAACCCAGAGTCTGCTTTTAAAAGCTGTTGTCAAAAGGACACTGCTTTTAAAATAATTGAGATATTTTATTTTTACCAAACACCTTAAACTGCTTAACTTTAAAGTGAAGCAAGTCTTTGGCGGAAAAAAACAAATTCCTATACGAGGCCTAAGAATGAGATACTAATTCTCATGTAAAGCATGTTGTTTGAATTCTCATTGAGAATAGTTCGTAAATCAATGCCATATGATTTATGTTACCTTCAATTTATTTCAAAACAGAGCTGCAAACTTCTCTTCATTGTCTCGTTAGACTGTTTTGTATCCAATTTTTCATATGCATAGAATACATCGCGGACTGATATATCTCATAGCAGAAGATAAGGGTTGTCAAGTGCAATGAGAAAAAAGGTTGTAATTGGGTTTAGTTCATAATTACGATGGATACATTTTAAAAAGTAAATTCCTATACAAGCAATTTTATACTATGAAATTCAACATTCTTTGATCCACAAAATGTTGGCGAATCTCTATTTTTTGTTGTTGTATTTATGGGTTTAACCCATATTATTTGTTATAAATAAAATCCTTTTTTTTTAAAAAATTCTTGCACAATGGGCTAATAGTTGGAAATTATTAGAATGACAGGTATTGGAAATAATTTAAATTTTAATTCCCCAATATCGCTTGTATAAATAAAATAATTGAAGAAATAAATCTAGCCCAATGGGCTAAAGTGCTATTTTAGCCCTAGACCTTAAAACGATAGGACAAAAATGTATATTTAAAGGGTAAATACATTAGAATATTTTAAAAGTACAGCCGAACGGCTAGAGTCTTTAAATATTAACATATTCGAATATTTTAAGAGTATAGCCGTACGGCTATACGCTGGAAATATTATCACGAAGCTTGAACTTGCAGTCACAGCCATTTCGCTTTTCTATCAAACTCAAAGCTTCGATTGGTTTTCTTCGGTTTCGACTGCTTCGTCCTCCAGATTCGGCATCGTAAAAAGACCCAACTCGCCTAGGAGGCCCGCCCAGCCGCCTAGCCCCCGCCTAGCCGCCTAGCACCCGCCTAGCCCCTGCCTTGCCGCCTAGCGCCAGCCTAGCCCCACATCGCCGGCTTGTTGCAGATTTTGACCGAGAAAATTCTGATAGCGGAGACAGGGTCGAGTTCCAGAGCCAGAGAATTGGACCATATATATTCAGGAGGTGTTTGCCATTCCGGAAGTGAAGGAGCAGAAGAAGAGCAGAAATGCTTTGAGGAAGGGGTCGGAAGGTGAAGAGGTCCGAGCAATGCAGGTCTGCTTGCTTTTGCTTTTGAAAGGCGAGTTTTGATTTTTCGGAGTCTATCATTCATTTCTTGTGTTTTGTTTGATGGTGTATATCATGCTCATCTACCAGATCATTTATATATTAAATTGACTCATTTGAATTGTTAATTCCCAGACAATTCTGCAGAAAGCATCTGGAGCACGGAAAATTTTTGTACAAGAAATGCAGAAAGTGGGAAAGTTGGATACCCAAGTGAACGGACAAAGCATCCAGCCTGTCTCCAGCAGTGCTCAAATAACAGAAATGACTGCAGTTCAAGATCACACTAAGGTGTCAAGAAAAGTGTTTTGTTGTCATTATTAAGAAAAGTGTCTTCTTAGTAACAGGTGAATAAGTAAGATAGACTTGTTTATGAACCTTATTAATTGCTTTTGTCTTTATAGCTTCGTATCAGACTTATATGTTGTGTACTCTTACCATGTTATCTGGATTCAATGGCTTTATCTTCTTATTTGCTTTAAACTTTTATTTATTTCTTTTGCATCTGTGTCTTTTAGTCTCTTGAACTAGTCTTTATTATGATAATTTTGTAGAGAAATAACACAACTAGGAAGCAAGAGGTGAAGGCGTCGGTACAAGAGCTTGCCTCTCGAGCTACTTCCCGAGTCAAGGCTGTAGCCGCGGAAAAGATCACACCACCAAATTCAGCATATCAATTTGAGGTTTCTTGGCGAGGATAATGCTCGACAGACTAGCCTGTTGAAGGTCTGCAAAAGTATTCATGTGGTTTACTGTAAAAAATATAGTCTGCCAAAATGCAAGATTCATATGTTCGTTGTTATCCCAAAGTAAGTGACCATGAATGTGTTCTTTTTGCATGGTGGTCATCCGTGCGGTTGACCACTGCAAAGATTCTACTAGTCTCGTCTATTGTCCTCTTTGGATGGTTGCCAGAAGTATTACCAGTAATTGCATTGTCCATCTGCCTATCTGGCTTCTGCATGCTAGGGGCCATCCAAGAAGTTCCCCATTTGTTGTGTCCCTTTTGAACAATTTCAAATGTCCATAAAGGATTGTGAATGCAGTTGGTATTTGTTTAAGAAATCATCACTCATTCTGACTTTCCATTTATGCTGTTACTTTGTTTCATGTTATTTTTTGTGTTATTTCTATACAAGCTATATCTCCAAGTGCATTGCCGCAGATATTCAAAAATGCTTTGACTGTTCCCATACTTCTTGACATTATCAAGTGTGTGGCAACCTTTTTCGTGAAAGTAATGTTTATGTCTGATATGTATGTTTTCTTGTTGAGCTTGATAAAATGCTTATGGCCCCACCTTTGATTTATTTCTTTGTCAGTGAAGAAATGGATTTGGCTGTCAATTATTTGGACAACTTAACCAGGGTTCCAAGATTTGACACACTCATCATGTTTCTTCCATCCTCAGACAACGCTGGTATGCATGCTTCTGTTTTAAATTCCTTGAGATTTTCAAAAGCTTACGGTTGAATTCCTGGATTTCAAATGTTTTTTTTAAGTAGAGTATACCTATATCAATGTGGTACATCAGTCTCAGCGACTGGTAATGCTTGCACTGTGTCTTGATTGAATCGTTCCATATTTTCTGATTTGTTAGTCATCCTGCCCATTTTTATAGGGTTTATGATTCATATTTTCCATTAGTTTCATATCCTATACTAACCCAATAACCTTGCAAACAGATGTTGTTAAGATATGGGATGAAGTGTTGGACAATGAGGCAACTCCGATTGAGTATGCCGAGAAGCTTGATAACCTGCATACAAAGTATTGCCCCAAGCGATGACAAAGCTCAACAAGTTTCTACTTTACCCTCTTCCGCCTCTTGTACTGTAAATTCAAGTTGTAAAATTTTGAAATGCTCCAATGACCCCTTTGAATATCAAATTATATCGTGGACAACTATTCTATCCAATTATTGAGATGTTAAAAGTACATTGCAACTTTTACTTCACTCCTGTTGGACTTGAATACTTTGAACTTGGAACTGTTGGTAAGAATGTGCTTGTGAGCGTCCAGGTTTTGGTCGGGTGGACATAGCCTACTCTTGTTTAGTCATATTCATTGAGGTCCAGAGGTTATGGTGGCGATAACTTGTTTCTTCATGCCCTACCTTTCATTTACTACCTTATTTTTCAGACAACATATGTATATCTTTGCATACTGAGTTGTTTCAAGTCGCAATCAATCAATGTTATGTGGGGGTCTTCCACATTTTGCGCTATGCTTTTCACATGGAGATCATGTGTCATTTACAATCACCCGACTCTTTCATGTTAACCCTACTATATTATGCATAAAAAATAAAAACCTTACTTTATAATACAGAAAATAACCCTACATGCAAGTAGATGCATTGTAATCTTAGAGATCAGAGATAATTTTTTGTGAACTCACCTAAATAATGCAAAAACAGAACCAGAATACTGATTGGCTAGGCATGTATTATGTGCTGCACGCGAAAGATTTCTCTTCGAAGCAAAAACGGTTGGAGATAGGAGGTTGAACAGAGTTTGTATGGCCAAGTAACTAGCAAAAAGTAAAGACTTCTCTTCTGGGATTGATGAGCAACTAGCTAAGGAGGCAATAAAAGCCGGTAGACCATTGATCTTGCGTTAATAGTCATGTATATGTTTTGCGATGTACATTTTACAGTGCAGAATGGTCTTCAGATAATTTTCTGTTTCTTTTAGGTTGCGTTAACACCAAGAATTTCCTCACACTTAAGTGATTGTTCTTAATGCATAGCTTGTTGCTGCATTTTCAAAAGGCCGATAGAGTGAATACTTCTACGCTTCTTTATATGCTGGGCTTTATTATGAAAGTCAGGTTTCTTAACGCCTAGCTTGTTGCTGCATTTTCCAAACGCCTAGGCGGTTTAAAACACTTGAATGGCGTTTGCCATGAGTCAAAACACTTGAAAAGTACCCCCGATTTCGGAGTTGGCCAAAGTGAGTTGGGGCTCCAAGTTTCAACATATCCAAAGCATATATTGAAAAGAGAGAAATTTCACAGTAAATCAATATGAGAGTTCAATTTTATCTTCTTCTTTTTTTCGTGAGAATGTTTGCCTTTGATATACATCGGTCTCTAGAGTGCTACTAAATTATGTTACTGCACACATTATTTTTCGTAGAGAATTGCATGCTGGGTTGGAGTGGTCTTGGTAATTGCTTCACTTTTCAAACAACACTTTACATGAAGAAAACTACCACCTCTCTTACTACTATACCCATAAAACCTTGTTTGAAATTGTTGTTCTCGTTGGCAAAGGGATTGCAAAATCACCATCTTGCATTTTTCTCACAAGAAGTAAGAAATAATATCAGCCTCTCAGTTTCTTTCACAGTTAGTAAAATACGGAACAGGAAAAATAAGAAGAAAATCTGTACGTATTTTATTTGGCATAATTTTGGCAAGTTACAACTGAAAAGTTCGGCCACTATATAATATGTTAATATCTATTATTTTGATTATATAATATGTGAAATTTATGTGTATAATACGTGAATTTTGTGTATATTATTGAAAATTTTGTAAAAACCACGTGTATTAAAAATGAAAAATACGTACGTATGTGTACAATAAGTGTATTGTATGTTTGCTTTTGACAAAACGTGTATTGTACCGAGTCTTTAAAATGTGTATGGAAAATGGAAGTATTATTGAAAATATATACGTACGTGTATAATACAAGTATTAAACGGGAAAATGCTAAATTCCTTATATGGGTAAAACTGTGGAAAAGTAAAAAATCAGAATGGGACAATGGGGACTGGGGTAATGAAGTAATAGTAATGGATAATGCTCTAAACTACTTTTATCGATAAAAGAAATCAGAGATTTTTTTTTAAAAATAAAAAAAAGTAGGGGTGGCATTTTAGACCGAAAAACCGCAAAAACCAACCGACAATTTACCGCAATGGAACCGCAATCGCGGGAAACCGAACTGCATTTGCGGTATGAAGAACCGAACCGCATTTGTGGTTGCGGTTACGGTATTTGATTTTCAAAACTTGCGATTACCGCAAACCGCGATTATATTTAATAAATAAAAAAATTGCATTTTGTAGATTGCATTGGTCCTCAAACAACACAACGGGGTCCTTCAAATCCACTCACCACCACCAACACTTGAGTTTGTAATTTTAATTTGTAACATTAGTGCATTACATTTTCCTTTTAGTTTGTAACTTTAATTAACTTTGAATTGGATTTTTCCTTTGGGTTGTAACTTTAATTAATTTTGCATTGCATTTTCCTTTTGGTTTGTAACTTTAAAGGATTTGGAATTGGAATGCTTGAGAAGTTGAGGTTGTGAATGCTTGAAAAGTTTAACTTTAATTGGAATGCTTGAAGTTGTAACTTTAATTTTCTTTAGGTTGTGAATACTTGAGAAGTTGAAGAGGTTGTGAATTTATATATGCTTGAGAAGTTGAGGTTGTGAATTTATTTATTTAGGTTGTGAATTTATATTTTTGGGTTAAAGTATGCTTGAAATCAAAAGGCTTCAAAAGAAGCATCAAAATTAGGCATAAAGTGTGGAAGATTGGATTTTTATGACACAAAAAGAATTTGCGGTTTTAAACCGCTATTTCACGGTAATCGACCGCTTTTTGCGGTTTACCGCTTTGCAGTTTCAAAAATCACCATACTGCAAATAGTCGGTCGGTTTGCGGTTTGGGGCAAAAATTCGCGGTTACCGAACTGCAACCACCCCTAAAAAAAAGGACCCATTATAGCATTAATATATAAAAAAAAAATCCCGAAATATTGCCCCTCGGCTATACTATTTATCGAAAAAAAAATTATATCCTGGTATAGCAGGCTATATTCTTTGAACATTATTGTTGAAAAAAAGTGTGTTGGCTGAAGTTAAGGTTTTTATTTTATTTTTTTATCTGAGGAAGATTATGGATGAAGTTAAAGTAGGTTTTGAGCTAGTGACTTTTGGCCATATGTAGGAGCAAGCATAACCAAGTATATTTATGAGTGAATGTATAATTCTAGGTGACACTTTTTTAAGTGCTTTTTACTCCCATGTATTGAGTGAAAAGTTGAATATAATTCTTCTAACCACATACCAGATGAATGCAGATTGGCCAAGATCCGAAACCTGTCATGCGAGACACCTATAACATGTTTAAAGGTGGGGGTGATCCAGAAAAGGTGTTGACTAAGAAATTTTTTATATGACCAAAACCATTTCTTAGTTGAGCTAGCTACTTGTGCAGTTCATAAGGTTAGAATCTAGAAAGGCATGTGCGTCTCCCAATATATTCTCATGTTGGTTGTGGAGATGGCGGTGGAAGTGGAGGTTTTGGAGGAGGTGGTGGTGGTGGAGTGGTGGTGGTGGCAGTGGCGGTGGAGTTAGTGAATGTGGTGGTGCAAGTGGTGGAGTTGGATGTGGAAGTAGAGTTGGTGTCATTTTTTAAAATGAATGATGGTATTTTGGGAATTTAAAAAAATTCATGAACGGTTCATCTCCGCTTCTTTTGAAAGAAGCTTTGAAAAAAAACCCAGAGTCTGCTTTTAAAAGCTGCTATCAAAAGGCCACTTCTTTTAAAATAATTGGGATATTTTATTTTTACCAAACACCTTAAACTGCTTAACTTTAAAGTGAATCAGGTTTTTGGCCAAAAAAAGCAATCCCAAGGAATTTTATACTATGAAATTCAACCTTCTTTGATCCACAAAATGTTGGCCGATCCCTATTTTTTGTTGTTGTATTTATGGGTTTAACCCGTATTATTTGTTATAAATAAAATTCATTTTTTTATTCTTTCCCAATGGGCTAATAGTTAGATTGTTAGAAATCATTAGAATGAGAGGTATCAGAAAGAATTTAAATTTTCATTCCCCAATATCGCTTGTATAAAGAAAATAATTGCAGAAATAACTCTAGCCAAATGGGCTAAAGTGATATTCTAGCCCCAAAACCCTAAAACGACATGACAAAAATGTATACTTCAAGGGTATAGCCGCACGGCTATACTGTCTAAATACGTTCGAATATTTTAAAGGTGTAGCCGAACGGCTAGACTCTTTAAATTTTAATATATTTGAATATTTTAAGAATATAGCCGAACGGCCATACTCTTTAAATATTAACACGAAGCTTGCACTCGCAGTGACAGCCGTTTCGCTTCTCTATCAAACTAAAGCTCCGACTGGTTTTCTTCGGTTTCGGCTGCTTCGTCCTCCAGGTTCGGCATCGTAAAAAGACCCAACCCGCCTAGGAGGCCGCCCAGCCGCCTAGCCGCCTAGCGCCAGCCTAGCCCCCGCCTAGCCGCCTAGCGCCCGCCTAGCACCCGCCTAGCCCCTGCCTAGCCGCCTAGCGCCCGCCTAGCCCCACATCGTGCAGATTTTGACCGAGAAAATTCTGATATCGGAGACAGGGTCGAGTTCCAGAGCCGTAGAATTGGACCATATTCAGGAGGAGATTGAGGAGGTGTCTGCCGTTCCGGAAGTGAAGGAGAAGAAGAAGAGCAGAAATGCTTTGAGGAAGGGGTCGGAAGGTGAAGAGGTCCGAGCTATGCAGGTCCGCTTGATTTTTCGGAGTCTATCATTCATTTCTTGTGTTTTGTTTATGATTTAGTGTTGTCTTTGAATTGTAAAATGGTACTTTTAAATTTGGCAAATTGAAAACTGAGCAGCATACAGTTTTTTAGGACTTACAAGGGGGTATTAACTTTCTCTTTAGTATAGAAAGTTGTTAACTTTTGTTTCTTTTCTTTTCCTGTAACTGGGTTTGTGTGGTTATTTCCTTTTCTAGTGTTTGCTTCGTTTTTGGATGTAATATTTGTGATTTCGACTTGTTCTAATATAATGTTCCTGTTATTTGACAGGAAGCATCGCAAAAACTAGGATTTTACTTGGGTGAGGAAGACATGGAGTTTTCCAGCTTCTCAAGCGGGACCGAACGTGCTGTCAAGACTTGGCAAGTAAGTTTCAATTATCATTAGATGTTACTATGTGCTGTCAAGACTTTGGGATCTGATCGTAGATACAATAGATACTGGCTTTTCTTGGGCCCTTGTAATGCATATGACCCAGGACATAGAAGGGTTTATTTCGAATCTTCAGAAGATGGTCACTGGGAGGTGATTGATACAGAAGAGGTATTCTGCTGAATTTTTGTTATACGATCAATGTGATTGTAGTACATATTGCTTGACCTTGTATAAGTTATAATATTTACTTGCTTTTTCTTAAACCAAATGCAGGCTCTGTGTGCTTTGTTGTCAGTTTTGGATGACAGGGGTAAACGAGAGGCTCTTCTTATTGAATCCCTGGAGAAACAAATAGCGTTTCTGTGCCAAGCGATGTCAAGTAGAATGGTAAATAGTGATAGAATTGACAACTTGGCGCAATCTGATCAATCTGAGCTGGATAGTGTTAGAGAAGACACTTATTCACCAGTATCTGATGTAGACAACAACTTATCTGGAATTGCAAATGATTCTCTGCCTTCATCTGGAGTTGTGGTTCTTGAAGTTAGAAAGAAAGGAGAACAACAGAAACAGAAATGGAGCCGAATCCAAGCATTTGATTCATGGTTATGGAATTCCTTTTACCTAGATCTTAATGCTGTCAAACATGGTAAACGATCATATTTTGATACACTTACTAGATGTGAAAGTTGTCATGATTTGTATTGGAGAGATGAGAAGCACTGCAGGATTTGCCATACAACATTTGAGCTTCATTTTGATCTGGAAGAAAGGTATGCCATCCATGTAGCCACATGTAAGGAGAAAGAAGCGAGTGATACTTTTCCTAAGCATAAGTAAGGTCCTCTCATCACAGATCCAATCACTAAAAGCTGCGATGCATGCAATTGAGGTAACCCATCATTTGGATTTTAGCTTTGCATTTTCTGATATTTGTTTGTTATAGTAATGAAGATGTCCTCCAGTTAAAAAGATTTCAAGCTACACATATCTTTGATAGACTGGAGGAGAATAGGACTTCAGTTGAGGATCAACCTAGGAATGAATTTAGTGTTCATGGTTTGGATAATTTGAATGTGACTTTTGAGATTTATGCGCAATCAAATCCGATAGCTTTTATATAATAAAAAAAAGAAGAGAAAATCTCTGAAGTGCAATAAGATTTTAGATGAAGGGATGCGGGATGGCGGGGAAGGGATTGATGAAAAGGCATACTGCTGTGAATGTAGCAGAATGGTTGATTAGTATCCACCTGCCCTATCTGATTAGTTCGGGCCTCTGGTAGCTGGCCATAAATAGTGGGATTATTTTAGTTGGATTTTGGGGCCTGAACCTTTTGATTGTCTGATGGTTAAAACAGGTTTTCTAGGTTATATATCGAAGACATTTCTATTCGCCCCAAAGTTTTTAATGTTTTTCCGTGCTATATTGATCTCCACCTCCCTCTGCTTTGTGCAGTCAGCCATGCCAGAAGATGCTTTGTTGGGTGCTTGGAAAAAATCTGCTCATAAGCTATGGGTGAAACGACTAAGACGTACCTCATCTTTGGCTGAGCTTTTGCAGGTTTTCTATTTTCCTTTTTTCACACTATCTATTTTTGTTTATTTTCTAGTCGGAACCATCAGTTTCTTTATTGTTTACTCGTGCAGGTTCTTGGTGATTTTGTTGGTGCCATCAACGAGGACCGATTATATGAATGCAATATAGAGCAAGGTTCTTGTAATTTTAGTGAAGAACTGATTGCGTCCTTTGCATGTATGCCCCAAACAACATCTGCAGTTGCACTCTGGTTGGTGAGATTGGATGCCTTAATTGCTCCATACTTGGAAAGAGCCCATTCTCAGAAAAGGCTGGAAATTAGTGTCAGAGGTAATGATTGAATATAATGCAGATTGGTGCTTGACAATTGAATGACTTCTTAATTGTTTTCATAGCTTTTCAAATTTTCGCCATCTTAAAGCTTCTTTTACTTCAGGGAAGCATGCTCCAAAGCAATAGCACCGCCTTTTTTCGGTAGATTAGCCAAATTCAATCCCACATTTTTTTGACAGATTGAGGAGCATTTATGCCCATTGTACTGCCAGATCAGTGGAACTGTTGCAGGCTTTGAAACCGTGGTACTTTGTATGAAGCTATGCTTCAAGTTTTCTATTTAGTTGCCATATATGGCCATTGAGTCGTTAGATGTACAGCATGAAGGAAAGTTGGACGTTTAATAGATACCAGAGTTTCATATCACTGAAACCTGCTCCAGAGAAATATCCTCACGTTTATCCTATATTCGCTTGTGAAGAATATGGCAGCCTCTTTACTGTCTCAGTCAATGGAGGAACTCAGATTTTGTTAATGCATGCTTGTTCTAGTTTTTTAAAGCAGGAATAAAATGTTGTCAAATGTACATTGTTGTAAAGAAAAACAAAATACTGTTTTTTTTTAATTTTTGAAAATAGAAGATTTGAAAGTCATCTTTGTGATAATCTTTTGTAGCTAGAACAATGTTTATTGTAGTTGAATATCCTCGACCTCACAGTTTGTTGCCAAAGACTTGTTGGTTTATTGAAATTTGCATTTCTTCATTGGGGTTCTCGTAGCTATTGATTGGTAAAAAAAATAGACATTCACCAAGAATGCTCGAATTATATTACACAAGAATAGCACTAGATAAATAAAACATTTAGGGTTTGGCTGTACTTTTTCTATGGCGTTTTTTAAGATAATAGTTGCTGCATAATTTCACGAAAAACTCCATGCATTCCTCGAAGCCTTCTTCCGGGTTTCAGTAGCAATTCTCAGTGCCTTGAGCAACAAACTTCATATATATGCCTCAGTTTTTGTGGCCATTTTAAACTTAAAATTATCAGTTGAAGAGGAAGGAAGAAACTAAGGAAGAAACTGAGAGGGAGAGCTATAATACTGAAGTTATTTTTGTTGTACAAAGTTGTTCTGCTTTGTGACTAAGCAAGAAACTGAGCAGCATACAATTTTTTAGGACTTACAAGGGGGTATTAACTTTGTCTTTAGTATAGAAAGTTGTTAACTTTTGTTTCTTTTCTTTTCCTGTAACTGGGTTTGTGTGGTTATTTCCTTTTCTAGTGTTTGCTTTGTTTTTGGATGTAATATTTGTGATTTCGACTTGTTCTAATATAATGTTCCTGTTATTTGACAGGAAGCATCGCAAAAACTAGGATTTTACTTGGGTAGGTAAAATCCAGAGTCTGCTTTCAAAAGCTACTGTCAAAAGGACAGTGCTTTTAAAATAATTGGGATATTTTATTTTTACAAAACACCTTAAACTGCTTAACTTTAAGTGAAGCAAGTCTTTGGCGGAAAAAAATAAATTCCTATACGAGGCCTAAGAATGAGATACTAATTCTCATCTAACGCATGTTGTTTGAATTCGCATTGAGAATAGTTCGTAAATCAATGTCATATGATTTATGTTGCCTTCAATTTATTTCAAAATAGAGCTGCAAACTTCTCTTCATTGTCTCGTTAGACTGTTTTGTATCCAATTTTTCACCTGCATAGAATACATCGCGGACTGATATATCTCATAGCAGAAGAGAAGGGTTGTCAAGTGCAATGAGAAAAAAGGCTGTAATTGGGTTTAGTTCATAATTACGATGGATACATTTATATACTATGAAATTCAACATTCTTTGATCCACAAAATGTTGGCGAATCTCTATTTTTTGTTGTTGTATTTATGGGTTTAACCCATATTATTTGTTATAAATAAAATCCTAAATTCTTGCACAATGTTTTTTTTTTTTTTTTTTTTTTTTTTTTTTTTTTTTTTTTTTTTTTTTTTTTTTTTTTTTTTTTTTTTTTTTTTTTTTTTTTTTTTTTTTTTTTTTTTTTTTTTTTTTTTTTTTTTTTTTTTTTTTTTTTTTTTTTTTTTTTTTTTTTTTTTTTTTTTTTTTTTTTTTTTTTTTTTTTTTTTTTTTTTTTTTTTTTTTTTTTTTTTTTTTTTTTTTTTTTTTTTTTTTTTTTTTTTTTTTTTTTTTTTTTTTTTTTTTTTTTTTTTTTTTTTTTTTTTTTTTTTTTTTTTTTTTTTTTTTTTTTTTTTTTTTTTTTTTTTTTTTTTTTTTTTTTTTTTTTTTTTTTTTTTTTTTTTTTTTTTTTTTTTTTTTTTTTTTTTTTTTTTTTTTTCTTAAAAGAAGTGACTAATCTCCCAGTAGCACTCCTGGAATGAGACAATGAGGCAGACAACCAAGCGACTACCATATATAACTCTGACTTCGTCGTCTTCGTGCGGTCAGTCGTCACTAGTGGCGTTGCTCCTCCGCTTCCTTGAAGGTTTCGATTGAATAGATGTATAAACGGGCGACGCGGTCTACGGGAGAGCGAATAAGGAACAAGCACGATTGTCAGTGCCTTTTATCAGCGATAGCATAGGAAAGGGCCGAAACGTAATAAAGAGGGAGGAATTGCTTAGTATGTGGGCGATTTTCACGTATCTTGTTTGGACGGGACGTCCTTAAGCACAGGGGTACACTTAAACCTCCTGACGGAAGGCTAGAGAGAAGGAGAGGCCTCATACGGAGCGAACGATTCCTTCAGAAGGGCAAAATACGAATCAAGTACGACTTTAGGAGTTAGATCTACACCCGCGGCGGGGGGAAACGGGCCTTTCCTTGCTTTCTTCTTCTTCTTCCCTCCTCAGGAATGTAGATAACTCAGCAATAACAGCCTACGGTGCTTCTACCCTAAGGCACTCCACGCTTTAAACGAAAAGGGATAACATACAACTGAAGGAACCGTGCCTGCGGGAGTTATCGACCAAAGACCGTTAGCGGACAGCTTCGGCGGAAGCAGTCAACGGGAACAGGCACTCAAAATGTCTTTAGTAGCTTAACCGGGCAGTAAATGATAATTAAAAAAAGCTTTTACGACCGCCTCCATGGTTGTTCAAGTGCCATTACAAAGAGACACGGCCTCATCCGCACCTCCCTCTTACCAGCAGCCGAGCGGACAGAGGAGGGGCTTTAAGGAACTATCATTAGTAGCAGAACTATTAAGAATAAACTGCTCACGCGGCGATCGAAGTAGAAGCGGGCAAAGGACACTCACATTAAATGATGACGCACCTGTACGGCGATAAAGAAAAAGCTTCCCGAACTACCCAATGACCGGAGGGAGCGAACCTTGCAACTCACCCGACCCAACGGACTGAACGAGAAGAACCGAAAGAATTGCCAATTAGATATCGACATAAACCTTAAACCCCAAAGTGATTGAAACAGTCCGATCGGAAAGGGGTACCCCCCCTACTTTACCGAACTATGGAAATCACTGAAAAGGTTGAGGAACCATAAAATGGAGATTTCTGGGAGGAAAAGGCACTGCGTTGTGTTTTCCTGTAGTGAATCCGAGATAAGAATCTAGTTAGTTTCGAGGGTGATTCGCAGCGGAGCAGCTACGAGGAACAAAGTTCGATTAATCCGCGTATCCATTCTGTGTTCTGGAGTGACTGTTTATATGACATTAGAATTCCCCTCAATCCAACCTCGATGAAATCTTCTTATCCGCTCCCAGTGTAAAAAGTCATTCTTTTGTCATCTTCAATAATAAGAATCTGTCGGAAGGTGTCGTTGAGTTGATCCAACCTTGATTACTAAGAAGTCCTCAAAAACACTATGATAAAGGTGCAAAACCCGGGAGGATTCGCATAAAGTCTCATGTTCTGAGGCCGGGCGATGTAGATAACGACTCTGGGTTCCGTTTCGAGATGTTCTACAAAATGGCTTTTGGCCGAACCATCTTAGCTTCGATGGGACGGCCTTTACCTTCCTGGCTTTCTGCTCCCAATAAAATGCCTCTTTTTGATGTTCAAGAAAGTGGACTCTTCCCTGGGTTCCCACCACGGTCTGCCAAATGAATAAAAAGTAGCTCGCAAGAAAGAAGAAACGGCAAGATCCCAACGTTGACTAGATAAGAATAGTCGAGATCTCCTTCTTCTGTTCTGGTGAAAGAGGCTAAAACTATATCTTTTACCGGGAGGAACAGCCATCCCCTCCATTCTTGGTGGCATGGGCGGTCAGGTTGACTCAGAAACGTAGGGATTCTTGGCTCTCGGGAAAACCCTCAAAAGTTCTGCTTAGAGAAAGTAATTTTTGGGGTGCCTCAAGGTCATATTATATCTTCGAGGTGTCGTTAAACATAACATGCCGTTGGCATTGATATGAAACTTGAACCTTAGTAACCCTGTTGCATCGGGATCAGTCTACTTTACTTGAGATGCCAGAAGAAAGGGTCGTTTTCCCGTGTTTTTAGCCGCCCTTCCTAGCCGACAAACAGTAGGAGACTAAGTAGAGGAAACACCATTAAGGGCATGAATTGGCACATGAAGTTAGTGATTACAACTTCACTCCAAGTGTCAGTGAGAAAGAGTAATTCCGTAGAAGGGGTAAAGTGGGAGGCTCTCTATCAGATTAGGGTGTATCAGGCCAGACAGCTAGTGGTGTAACCAGTCGAAGTTAGTTCTTGTCCGATTAAAGTATGATCCCGTAGTTGAACGCGTTCAAAGTCTGTCCTCTTGATGTTGTTACGGAACAAGCAGCGGCCAAGGCCCAAGAAAGCCGTAAAGTAAGGCAAGTAAAGGCCGTCGTAACGTCAAGTTGTTAAGGCTCATGGCGCTGCAACCCCTTGATTTCGTCTCTTGTTAAAGATGACATAAATGTTTAAAGTAGAAGTGGGATTATGTTATGGTTAGGTTCCTAAAGAGCTCCAAAGATTTGGGCGTATCTCCTATCGAAGGCCATGTTGGTCGCGTCAAGGTTGGGGGCGATTCGCCTTGCCTTCTAGCGACAGCAGAGCGTAGAAACCTTGGCATGGGATTTACCTGATCGAACACAGGAGTAGGTGGTTTACGTGCGCGACTCTAAGAGAGAGGGCGACAAGCGTCTGATCCTGACACTAAGCTACTGGGTATGGCCTTCACGGTAGGAAATGCCCAACAAGATTTCGGGCAGCTGAATTGCAGCCGATCTATCATCACAGGTTAATCCAACTTTGGCTGAAGAGCAACATGCAGGGTCTTTTTCTTCACTCATAGACGCTGCCAAGTAAGAAATTTAGGTTGAGGGAACTTCGTAGTAGGCGAACGGAAAAAAAAAAAATGACTAGTATGTGTTAAAAAAAAAAAAGAAATTGTACGCGAAATCTCTCCCCTAGGAATCGATCTCTGGATCGGGATCCACACTCTTTGAATGGTGAAAGGGGGGTTACAGTCTGTCTCTTGAAGGCAGTACAGTAGTAACAAAAAGGTCCCATATTGCGATATTAACCCAAAAGATAATAAAGTAGAAAAGATGAGCGCCCTTGCTATATATGTCAAGTGTGGGGAAAATGGCAAACAAGGATTTATAACAATATAAAAGAGTCAAAATTCATTCATCGCACTTCCCTTCTTCAACGCCGGAAAGTCGGAATGGCGCTAGCACTAAATGGAAGAAACATTGTACCGAAAGCATCGGTTAATTAGTTTTGGAAAAAAACCAATCCCGTGATATATTGAGAGACTGGTGCGTTTTGCCTTCGGGACTCTCAACCTTCAAGGCTCCTTCCTTGGAGTGGGGAACCAATGAATATAGGCAGTTCGCCCACCTCTCTTGAATAGGGAGATCGGGCAGCCCACCCCTCTGGATAGGGGGAGCATATCTCGACCACTGCCCTTTTTGTTCTTTTGATTAGGTAGAGCGCTCTACCCGCTTTAACTTCTTTTGAGACAATCCCCCCTCGGGCTACCAGTCGGAATGGAATTTCCTGCTATATCTATTTAAGGGATTAAGTGAACCGGTAACCGATCCAATAGGAGGATCTCGAGCGGTAGATGCGGATAGTTGCGATCTGTCTTTGTTTCTGAGTCGATATGTGTGATGTATGAACCCGACGTTTTGTCTCCCCCCCCTTGTTACTAGACGTAGTACCTCACTTTCGCCGTACTATATAGGTTAGAGAATTAGACTGTTTTCCTTGGTTTTATTGATTTGTGAGTGGCCCGCCGGCTCTTTATATAGATAGATTGTCTACCGCGCTTTCCGATCCTCGTTGGGCGAATGCTGCGTCAGCAGTGAAAGGACACAGGTAGACTCTCATTACCTTTAATATAGAATAAGCTTTTATTTCATAGTAGTTTAGCTTCTCGCCCCTATAGTATAGGGTAGGAAATGGACCTGAAAGCAAACGCCTTGATGCACTGACAATACGCCTACTTCCCGCCCCGGAAGAACTACTTCCATTCAAATACCTGAAACAAAATTAGAATAAGAAACGGGGAGAAGCTGTCTTTCATACGATAAACCTCTTGATTCGTAAAAAATAAATATCAGTCGAGGGTTTCTCACTTTGTGGAGAAGGGAAATCTCCTTTCTCAGAAATTCTCAAGTTGTTAGGCTTATGGAACAATTCGCATTGGATAAATCAAATCCTCACGTTCGCCCTACTACGAAACTTACTAACCGCAATGCCTTTAATACCCAGTGATCTTTTTCCTCCGTTGACGTTTCCCCCGGTTTTTTTAGATGAAACAAACTTGTCCCGTAACGAGCAAGAGAAATGATCCATTTGACCAGGCTTTTGAAAGTTTCATTTTGTCAGTCGTCTAGGAAAGAAAAAGGGTTGATGACTTTTCGCCAGTGGTGGATGAAACTTTTTAAAAAAACATCATTGCGTGAAAATAGGTTTTATTCATTTGCAATAGAGGTGGACCGAACCTTTTTTCATTGTTCGGCCGATAAGAGTTTTATGTCGAATCTAGCCGCGGGGGTCTCCGCTTTCCGGCTCTAAGCAAGTGATAAAGGAGTAGCCGGATCCCTTGTCTGTCGCATGAACCGGGGGCCTTCTTTTAGCACCGGCGACTAGGAGTCAGTCGGGGTAGTCACTCCCAAGAGAAGGTAAAGAGGGCTCGTTTGTATGCGCCATACTATAAGAGGGGGAGAGCAGGTCGATACGCTATTCCTGACTGAAGGGCTGAGAATGACACAAGACTTGAAGGACCAGGACTCAGGAAAGCGGACGGGACAAACAAACGACGCGTCGTGACGTTGACTAAATACGAGATTTCGCGCTTATAAAGTACATAAGCGGGCCAACGGACGGCAATGAATAGTCAGACTAGCCAACCGGGGCTTCCTTCACAGGCCAACAAGCAATACCGGGCCAAAGAGAGAAGGAAGGAAAGCCGAAAGAATCTTTCGAAGAGGGGCTTGCTAAAGAGGCTCGAAGAGGGGCTTGCTAAAGAGGCTCGAAGAGGGGCTTGCTAAAGAGGCTCGAAGAGGGCTTGCTAAAGAGGCTCGAAGAGGGGCTTGCTAAAGAGGCTCGAAGAGGGGCTTGCTAAGAGGCTCGAAGAGGGCGGCGAAGGAATACACTAAGGCAGGTTTCAGAGCTCGATAAAGCAGACTAATACTTCTAGGTAACTAAGCGCTGCCTGTTATCCCGGAAAGTATAATCGCAAGCCAACGGGCGGCAACAGTAAGTATGGCAAGCTAACTGCTGGGAGAACTGTTAGTATACCAACAACTGAGGGAGGCAGTCCAGGTGGCATAAAAGATAGGTAATCTAATGAATGCTCGGATGCTATGCCGCTTGATTAAGGTTAGTAAGTTAAACGACTATTGTATGAGGATTCGATCACAGTCCCTGTGTAAACGCAATCTCATTCTCAACTTCCGGGGCTTAACCCTTCTCATAACTACAGTATTTACCCAATCTTTAAAGCGAAACCATCAAAGTTCCATCTGCTCACGATACATAGAGCCGACCGCCGGCTCGCTTCCAATCGGGTTAGGAGGTTAGAAGTCAGAAGTCAACAAAAAAAAAGAAAAAGAAAAAAAACTCGATCTCAGGGTCCACCCGAGTGTCAACACTTCTTAGTTTAAGGCGGGACTCCTCTTTTTGAAGCGGAGATTCCACATGCAATGTCGGTGACCTGGGAATAGGCTTAGGCACTGGGTAGACATGAGATCAGACTAGCCAGCAAAGATACCATCCGAAGGCCACGACGACAGACACGCTTTAGATAGAAGGTCGTCAGCTAGACCCCAGTATGGCTTCGGAGGTACACTAGAAGGCAAGTAGCAAGAGCCCCGAGAAAGCGAGAATTTCCGAGGACTAACGGTAACTAAGCGCAGTATAACACGGAACAACGTATGAGCGTAAGCTATAGGAGGGCAAGTCAGCGGCTGAAAAGGTCAACTAATAGACCAAGCGCCAGAGTGAGGGACAGCTAGCCAGATAACACGAAAGGAAGAAAAAAGCTCTGTTCCAAATGATCGGGAGTAATGATCGAATGCCGAGTAGTAGAGTTGATAAAGTTGAGTGATCATTGCTTGGAGACCCGATGGATGGGAGTCTCCCCCATAGGGGCGAACTCATTCCCACATTCGTTAGCCGCAAAGCTAGAAACGGCAGCGACTTCCCGGTTGGTCACTTTACTTTTGAAGGTATCTCTGGTGATCTTTTACCCCGCTGACCGCGTACATCAATGTCTCCCCACTAATTAGGCGGACGACAGGACTAGTGTCGCACAACGCCATACTCTACAGAATGCATAGCCCAATAGACTATATGTACCGATGAAAGTCACAAAGGTCATAAGCCTTACGAAAAAAAGGGGGCCAAGCAAGGGTTGTTGGCAATGCGACATCAGTTGGCATATAACAAAGGAAAGGCCCAGTGAAAGCCAATGACGGAGCTTACCAGTAAGATATATTTATATATACCTTTCTAATTTCGCTTCTTCTTGAAGCCTATTTCGAGACCATTCGACTCTAAGGAGTTAGATGAGGGAAGACAATCACAATCTCGCTCTCAACAGAATGCGAGTATCCAGAACCTGAAAAAGGCCACACTGGTAGTTGTAGAGCTCAGGATGTCAGCTGGGACTTTCCCTTCCTGTCCAAAAACAGCGAGAATCAAGCCACGAATGAGGTCAAGGCTGCTGAATGAATGAATGAGACAGCTTGATAAAACCAATGCATCAGGGCTAGGCTGACGATGTCTGTCTGGCGTACCTAATCTTTGTATAGGGCGCGTGCTACTTATGACAAATGCATAAAGTTATCCTCTCATAATAAGCCATACCTATCCAACTAATAACAAGAACCTTAACATAAGTAAGTACGCTTTGATGATCAGCCTATTAATTAAGCGAGGCCTTTCGAAGTGCTGTCAGCTCAGGATGCCTAGAGCCGCACAACGAGTGGTTTCCACCCGCGCAAGGAGTTTGTTGGCAGATAGGAAAGGCCAAGATCCGAACTTGACGTCCCAAGGAGTCTCTGTTCATCTTCGTTCAAGGCAGGACGCATTTGACCGAGTGGAGACAGCTGTGGAAGCAGCAATCCCTTGCCTCCTGGAGGAGATAAGCTTTACGTAAGTAGGGCCCGCGGGAGTAGCAAACTAGTCCCATCTTCTCTTTCTCTCAACTCAATAGTATAGATGCATCAGTCGACTCTGTGGATTCTGTTTATTTCCGAATATCGATCCTTTCGTCAAATCATGTCTACACGGGAATAAAGCTTTTCAAAGCACCCGCAGATTGAAACAACTGAATATCCGGAGCTTTTCAAGATCCAGATGTATATATCGGATTTTTCTCTGGGTTCCAAACCTCCAGTGTATACTTTTTTCGCTTCTAGCTCCTTCCTTCCGGCGGTCATCACCTCCGGATTGGACGCAAAACAAGCGCACCAGCTATATATAAGAAAAAACCCTAAATGAGGTCAGTTCAAAGCTCTAAGAGGGATAAAAACCTCCATATCTTACCACCGCTTTACTCTTTGAGTTTGGTAGCCAAAGAGATATTCTAAATAAGAAAGGGAGGGGGATCCACAACGAAGGAAGGGGTACTACAAATGCTTGCTTCAATCGGTTTCTTTTATCTTGTCAATTGAAAGATTCGTTCCCTGCGGCGGTGTCCGTCCACTAATGTAAAGATTGGGCGTGGGAGAGGTGAATTCGACGAAAGACACTTTCCGGGCGATCATCTTCTGAGCTCTGATCTACGACCCCCCTCACACTGCTATCGATCCGGCGGACAGATGCCCGTTTCTGCTGATCCAAGCTTCTTCCGGACCAGAACAACACGGAATGAATCTTTATCTGGGAAGGCATGATTGGGAGCTGGCTCGAAATCCGATAAATCTAATATCTCCGGGCCTCAGTTAGAAGGTTATCTGCCCCGCCTTGCTTTTCGGTCTTGCGCATTCAAGCGTTGAATAAGGCCTAAGAAGGGCTTTCCCGAGGCTGGGCGTAGATGTATCTATTCGGGGTCGAAACCCTCATTATTGATCATCTTGGGAAGGATCGAGTGGAATTTACGGAACCATGGACCATTACCATCGCTCCTGGGGGTCTTGTTACCATCACCGATCAGTTCGGACGGGCATGGCGCACGAAGCCCTCAGAGAAACCATTCCCTTATCCGTCGCGAAATCAATCTGTTGTGTTATCATCCCCGGTGGAATCTCGAATCGTTAAAAAGCTATGCCGGCGAATCAATAAAAGGCTTGCGCGCTTCTTTGCAGTGCTGTTCTCTACTGCATCTTATCTAGGACCGATGCTTCGTCTCGCTTCGGCGGTCTAGGAACCTATTTATCTTTTTAAGTATCAACCGATGGGAAGTAAGCAAGCTACCTGTGCTTCAGATAGGGACAGAGCTCGAAACTCCCTGAGGTAAAGACAGAATGAACAGTTGGTCGGGTAAGGATTCCGTTGAAGCGGCGCGCATTGAGCCTTTTTCTTCCTTTCCGTCTTTAAACCAACTGCGAAATGCCTTTCTAATTAAGTTGCAAAAGCACTAGAAACCATCTGGAGCTATGTATATTAATGTAGGTACGCTTAGCGCTTGGTAGGTCAGGAGCAGAGCTTGTAGTATAGTAGTTCCAAATCCAACTTCTAGGGCATAGGTTTTCCTAACCAAACTAACAACTCTAGTTTATACTGAGGCTAGCCAAACCCGACAATCTACGACTCTACGAGCCTTGGGCTACTTTCCAATTGATTTAGGAACTATTGACATACATATTAGATCGGCTTTCTCAAATGATTTAGCGCTTAGCTACTATATATAAATAAGTAGCTTCAACCTGCTCTTACAAGACGAATCGAATCTCTTTCTCTTTCTATACTATCTTTACTACGCTATTCAAAGCATCGAGAAAGATGATGCACGAGCCACTCTTTCTCTTATATACGCTATTTGAAGTTCGCTTGTGCTGCTTCCCGAGTTAAAGAAAAATCTTCTGATCTACGACCACCCTCGGCATCAAATCAAACAGACGATTTGATGTAAGCAGACGATTCTATGCTGTCCGCTTCGCCCCGCGGTATTGGCAATGTATTCAGTTCTTTTGTACCGATGTGAACCTCAACAGGAGACTCTCTTTTTTTTCCCCCTGACATCACAAGGCAAGGGTAGACTTCTTCTCCTCCTTCTACGATTCCGAACTCTGAAACCGAGTGAAAGAACCCGGTTTAAAAGGAGTCCTCTAGCCCCCTTAAGATCTATAACTCAATAGAATTCTCCAGCCGTCAATCACCCGTTTTGGTAAAGGAATGTTACCTGTTTGCCTAGCTTAACGAAAAGAAAAAAAAATACTAGATATACGAGTCACGCAAGTGTTCGGGGGCCCTCGCTCTCGGGAAATCGACTAAGAGATACAGTCTTGGCTCAGTCAATCAATCACTACTATAAAAAAAATCCATGATACCATAAAGAAAAGTTACACAACAGAAGGTGCTGCGGGATAAGGAGAATAAGTGCTGGATACAAGTACCAGTGCCATAAAGAAATGTCACGAAAGCCGAGAGCCATCACGCCCGAACCAGCAATCCCTTCTTATACTGCTTGCAACTCCGAGGTTTCTGATTGACTTAACTTTTTCCAGGAATAGCCAATCCCAGGGAACCGAGCCCTCCCGAACCGCATAAAAGGAAATGATTTGTGAACCAGTTCCAGATAAAGATAAAGAATCTTGAATAGAAGAAGTGCGTCAATCCCTCTGCATCGTAATCAACAAAATAGGCATACGAATCTGCGTAATCAAGGATCTGAATCCACTGAGGCATCCAAATCCGTATCCCTATTCCCTTCCTCAGAAACGGAATCTAGGGCCGAGGGGGATGTCTTCTAGTGAGGGGAGTCTTTTCAGCTTCAATCGACTGGAAGCACGACGGAATCTTGTCGACCAAGATGATAACAGGGGTATTGGACCTTTTCATGAAGCCCGAGTCGCCCTTAGTAGTAATCCAAGCCAGCAGGATGAAAGAAAACGAGCACTTGGGTTTGGAGTCAGATTCATAAGTAGATAAGTTGTTCCGCATCCGTCCTACTATTTGTAACATGTACCCTCTCCGTATTTGGCGTCAGGAAAAGTTAGTATTTTGAATCTGACGGCAGTACTAGGTAATTAGAAATAAACTTCAGGTAGGGTTTCTTATTGTAAGGCGGCCGGTAATGAGCAGTTTCCAGAACAAAAGGAAAACTAAACCGACCCGTACAACCTTTTGATCACGTTGAATCGAGCGGATCTCAAAAGAGCCCGCTGTCACTCGAGAAGTGGTGCAAGAAAGATTGAGAATGCTATTCGATTGTCAAGCCCTTCTTGTGGCCAGGGAAGGAGTGGCGGAAGGGTACAATTGGCATGTTGGGCTTTTTAACAAAAATGCATCAACATACACTGCGAAAGATCGGATTAAGCAAGCCTTCAGCGAATGGCAAGAAAGCGAAATCCAGGTTTCATTCCATAAGGCTTGGGCTTCGGTTTTGTAAACAGATTCTTCAACTCGACCTCCCTGGTTAAAAAAACCTGGACGAAGGGGAAAGGCATGATAGGCTTCAGCTAAACAAAGGAGAAAGACGATCCCTAGTATGAACGAAGGAGAATGGTAGTCCCTACTAAGACTGTGCCTCTTGTGCACCTATTATGCTATTCATACAGGTGATCATGAACGACAGGCTCAGGTCAACGAAACCGCTTCTGCGCCTCTAGTCCACCATCAAATAAGGTCTTCATTGGTTCTATCCTGCCGCTCCATCATCGGTCAATTTCGCCAACCACAGCCCGCCATACGCAACCAAAGCACGACAAGCTATAGACCAGAGCACACAAAACTGAGTGATGGAGTTGAGAGTCATGAGTGAGGGAGCACGGATTCTTCTCTTTTACTGGAATTTTCCAATGTCTAGGTCTAGCTCAGGAGGTAGTAGGGGCTTCTTCGAGAAAGGAGGAAGGCTCTATATAAATTCGATTAGTTTCAATAAACCTTTTCTATATCTATAGGTTGGCTGGGTCTCTAAACCTGGACGCTCTTCCGCAAGAAACTGGGTGGGGGCGTATTGAAGCTAGAGCTCAAATCTAAAGTCCGAAATTCCCTACTACACTACAGTGTTACAACTGCTGATTCAATTATAGGCTGAGCTATCGCACCGTCGATTCGAGATGAGACCAATGCACCTTGAGACAAGCCCCGCCTAGACCTACCTCAACCTACCAATCGGCGGATTCACCTGCCTTCGGCACCCTCCTATACCTCTGTTCACTCGGCAACCCCTCCGACTAAGTAAACTAGCGCGTGTACGAACATTGGAATTGCTTTCTCTGCCGGGCCGCTATCATCCTTGAATAGAAGAAGGGACTACCAGCTCATCTTGGATCAAATGCTGATTCTTTCGCATGATATGACCCGTAATTGTTAAGCAGCACTTATATTTGTACCTAGTGTTTCTGTTTTTAATAGCACGGAGTTAAATAACCAGGTCCGGTAGCACCCGCCAAGACAAAGACAAATAGTAGCAGTCAGGATTCAATCCATCCAAGGAGAAATGCCAACTAAAAGAAGGTAAATGGGTCGACTAAACGCGGTTAAGCCGATTGCATGAAGACCCACCGGATAGGTGTGGGAGAGCCTTTCATAGAAGGATTCAATACTGACATAGTTACTATAAATGATTTTTCCTGGAAATGAAATCGCTAGTCTTGTCTCCAGAATCCCAGCGGGAAAGAGTGAGTCTTCTCTATTCCTCCTGCTAAAACTTGATCATATGTATCGAACCTACAGTCAGAGCCCCATGAGCTGTCGAAGCGAGACGAAGACACTAAAGAAAGAAGATAAAGAGGGCTCGTTATTACTTATTTTATTCTCTCTACATAGAATAGAAGAGGGGACGTATCCAACAGATGCTTTTCTATGATGAATTGGGTACTATCCAAGCTCTCCAACAATAATTGAAGTGAAGTTGTTCTTTCTTTGTAGCTCGCCGTCTTCCCTATGATAGCTCAACAATTATGTCGAGTCAGTCACATGATTGGTTCAGCTTTCCTAAGAAAGCGAGCATAAAGTGATGATGAAAGGAAAAAGGCTTCCTTTTCGTTACGCTATGGCACAACAAAGAAGCACTCCTGCTAAGCTAAAGGGCGCATAGATAAGCCCAGTTCTTCCATGAATAAAAAAAATTTCTCTATAAACTATGGTACGATCACTCGAAAGTCTAATGGCAGGGTAGCTATTGCTAGAGAAAAGGCTTTCCCGAGCGATCTAGTCCCGTATGCCTGGGTGCCAGATAGGGGAAAGTCTAGCTAACGAAACAGAATAGATTAAGGCACTAACGAAGAGTGAAAAACCCCAGCCTGCAACCGAGGACGAGAGAACATATTACTTTCAATACACAAGCGGGAACCCCCCTTTCATTTCATCCAGATGATCCTACGAGTCAGACGAAATCCCATTTCGGAAGTGTGGCGTCGATTAAGCATAGAAAGCACTGCGCTCCACTGTTTTACATCTCAGTACAAACTGGAGCCTCTACCTAAGAAAGCATTCTCTTTTGATGAACAATCGCTAACTAAAAGAGGAACCGCATAATGAAAGCACCGCTCGCTCAAAGCTTGAATCTATGTCTCCTAATCAAGTTTTGGAATCCTCCATTTATTCCTCTGGGATCTACAAAGATGAGAAAGTGTTTTTATATTGAATATAGAGATTCTTTAGTTCGTGAGTTACCCATTTCTGGGAATAAGAACAGGATTTCGGTCTTTCCTCCACTTGGGTATCTAAAAAGCCGAGTTCGTTTTTGCTTTCTCAAAGCAGAGGGAGCGAAACCTCCAACGAAGCAAGCACTCAATTAGAAGTTGAGACACGCATTAGGTTCAAAGTCCATTCGATCATGCGCGGAAGACCTTCTCTTGTTACTAAAATAGGAAGAGGTCTTACTCAAATTGAGTAGATCCGGCGGAAAGATATGGTGGTTCCTCCCAGAGATTAGATATCCGGCCGTTCGCCACTCAGCTTTAGCTATTTTTGGTGTTCTGAACCTGTTGAATTGGATAACTGGACGATACGCCTAGGAATCTTGATTGTTAACCCGCGGGTGAACATCATCAGTCTACTTTCTTTCCTCGCTTACTTGCTTAAAAGCTTTTTACCCAATAGATTTGACCCAAGGGTCACTAAATTCTTTAAATTCCTCCAAAACTCTGAATCACCCCACGAAGCTACTTATTCTATTTTGCTTATTCACCGAGTCGTGAATCAACTCACGAGCCTCCTGGCCGATACCATAGGACATTGTCTTTTCTAAAGCTTCAAACTCAGGCTCATCCGCCGGGATCGCCCCTTCCTTCGATTTCGCATATTGAGAAAAGCCAGACCCAACTACCAGTTCCGATGAAAGAAAAGGGGCTCCTAGCTTTGATTACTCATCCGCCAGAGACTACTAGGGAAGACGAACCACTTTTCTTTTTTGGATAAGATTTAGGCGCAAAAAGCTATTTTGCATTCAAGATATGTACTCCTATCCCGAAAGAAATGCACATAGTTTAAGCGTGTTCCACCCAAGAAAACGTGGTATGATATTCATGAAAGAAGAGTTCCGCTGTGTGATTATTGGAAAAGTGAAAAGAGCGGTTCGTCAGTCCATGCCCCGGATAAGTCCGTCGATCAAGCAAAAGTCGAGAAAGTCAGGCAGATCTTGAATGTTGATTTTCTGGCCATAAAAAGATGTTTGAAGGCCAGTTGGAGGCATGTCGTTGGTCATCAAAGCCAGTTTTAGGCATGATTTCATCAAGGTGGCTTTAGCAACCATAGATAGACTGAAGAGCCAAGCACCTAAATTCCTCTCTGGAGTGACCGGCGGGCTTATTTAGTTGTGGGGGTTCCATCCTTTGAGTTCCCTGTGGTCTTTTTATTCAATCTTTCCCACTTGAGCCTATTACTTAGGCTCATGGATCACCTTCCAAGTACCTGCTTTATTTATGTATTGCTCCAGGTTCCCCAGACGGGATATAAGGGACTTTCCCGAGCGAAGTGAACCACCCGAACCACGCGGACTGAATCTAAGTAATCTGCTCTGATTGGAATGGTTATTTCTGCTTATTGGCCTTTAAAGTAGTCTTTGTACCAGGTACACTGAACAAAAAAAAAGATTTCGAGAAAGAGGCTATAAACCATTGAATTGTGTCGATTCGAGCTAGCTTCAGGTCTTCTTCAATCAGAAAGTCATGCCTTTTCACTATAGTAAGGGATTCGATCCATATCACAAAACATATATAAATCAAATATAGATGAGTAATTCAAAGTATATAGATGATGAAATCAAAGTCAGTCGTCTATCAGTTATGGAGTTGAGAGTCACCTTTGTTGCTTCTTTTGTCTCCTACGGTTATGCTAAGATATATTAAAATGTGCATTCAACCTATATTTCCCCTTTTCTATTGTACAGATGCCTATTCATTTCTGCGTAAAGCTCCCCCTTTCCTTTCTTCAAATATCTCATTTCTCAGTCTTGACTACTTCGGGCACGGCGCGCAACGGAACAGAAAATGAAAGCAAAGAAATCTAGCCTCGTATTCCAAATAATCGACCAAGGAATGAAGGGATCCGTTTTGATAGATCCCGTTTTGGCTTTCATATGGCAGATGGTCCGGTGCCTTTTCATATATGTAATGATGGCGCCCTAGGATTACACACCACGCAAGGCGGGCAAAGCCATTCAAATTTCACTACCTAACGGAGGAGCGTGATAACCTCTTTGTAATAAAGGAATTCATTCACCCTTTCCATCGGCTAGGAACAGTTGTTTGGATTGGACATACGTCACAGAAACAGAAAAGATTAACACTTCAAAGTGTACGGCTATCTCCCAGCCTCTGCTCCCTATCTAGTAGATGAAGAAGTGAGTCCATAAGGAATTAATTCATAGTAGAAAGGGGCGTACTTGACATAAACTAAAGCGCAAGGGAATTCAAATTTGAAGTTGAAAGTCAAGAACAAGAAAGGCTTCGGGCGAAGGTTAGACTAAAAAAGCTTTCCATTCCGTATATGCAGGATACTCTATTCCCAATACTTACATGAAAGCATGCTGCCAACTAGTATATTGATTTCGGCTAGTAGATTGATGAAGGTCGCTGATCCACTTGATAAAGTGTCGTATGCCATACCCATTTGTCCCTTTTCTTCGATCAAGTCCTCCCAGAAAGTCCAGAAAGTAGTATAGGTCTAATTCAGATGTGGGGCCTATCTCCGAAGCATAACGTGGAGCGTGGGGGTAATTCAAGAGAAAGACTAACCCAAAGTCGTTTATCCAACGGCACGACCAGGATCCGAGCACTCGCTTTGGAACGCACTTCATAACAACGGACTTTGACACTTTTGCTGTCGAGATACGGGTCGTGAATAACCTTTTATTTGCTGTGATCTCGATCCTGTTCCGATTCGGATTTCCTTTTGTAGTGGATAGCATCCCCTTATTGTCTTCACTAGCGTTTTCTTTTTATGTCCCGGAGCAGTCGCCTTATTCAAAACTATAACGATTATAGCTGCTGTACAAGAAATAGATTATATTAGTAGTAAACTATAAGACTTTTGCTTCTAATATTGAAAATGAAGCTTCATCTCTTACCTGCGGATTTTAGTGCTTTTGAAGTGCATCTCGCGGCCAACAAGCTCTAGTGACTGCCTCGATCAAAAGCCCTTAACCTCCTTCCTATTTGAGGATGATACCCGGGAACAATCCTAGATCAATGAAAGCAACCGAAGCATAGCAAGGGGAGCTTTAGCTTCTTCATCATGTCATTCTTCTGCTAGATGAGCCCATAAGCAATCGTAGGGCTTCCAAGCCCGACTATACTAGATTGGACCCTTCTGTATCTACTCTACAGAAAATAACCATCCCTTCTTCTCGAATATGTATTCTCGAATATGTACTCTTATTTCATAGAAATGAACCATCTCGCCTTTCTCTACGCTGCCCGGTTCGTCAGGAAGGTAGACAATTACCACATAATAAGCAAGCAAGGCCTCATCCTCGGGTAGCATTCATCGGTGGTAGGGTGGCGTCCCTGAAATAATAACTCTTTAATAGGCACCGCCTCGTCGAAGAAAGATATCTATTGAGTATGTTCGCGATTCCTCTTCTTTACTCCTCCTTACTTGAAGATTGAACCTCAAAACTCTTTTATTTCGACCTCTATTAAGCTAGTTTTACAGGGTGATCCTGACTAAACCAAAGTACCGTGACTCAAGGGGCATGATCGCAAGGCCGAATCTTTTAATGTAGGGACTTCACCAGACCCGAACTTATCCTCTTAACTATGAGTCGCCATCTTCAATTTTCTTTGTAGCCGATATCTTTCCTCCGCACCTACAAGGAGCTATATGCACCTCTTGTCTAATTGATCACAAGTCAAGGAAGAAGAATCTCTGGCTGATCCAAGGGAATTTCGTACATTGTATTCATTTGTCTTTGTCAAGCATCCTGACATAAAGGGAACCGTCTACTGGCAAGCGAAGTCATCTCGACGATGTAGCACTCTACTAATACCATAATCTTTAGTCGGAATTTTGTGAAAGAAAGAAAGGGCGCTCCCACATACTACTAAAAGCTCCAGCTCGGGCAATAATCCTCTCCACTCAAAAAGAAAGGGACTACTATCGAATTACCGATCGAAAATAATCATCAACCTATCACTTCGCGGTCGCACACTCTCCTCCCCTAACCCCAGCATTAGATCACTACGAACTAAATCCATTTCATTTTCAGTCTTATTTATTATAAGGGGACACCTGAAGTATGCTATTTTATGGGGCTTGGACCATCCTAGGGCGAGCGACTAGATCTATTGATCTATACCCATTACCTACTCTGTGATAGATCGAGCGTACTCTTCCATCTTGTATAGGTAGGTGTGACAGCACGCATTGGTCTATTTAGATTCCGTCGTGCTTCCAACCGCTAATCAGGGGCTCCCGACAAGATTAAAATCTTTGAAACTGGAGAGTTATAACTTGACCCTTTTTCTTCTAGGAAGAGGAAAGCCCTTTCATTATGTGCTGAGTCCGGCAACCTTCGTAACAAACAACCTGGGATTGGCCAGATCTTGAACTTCTCAATCGGCTCTCTACGAACCCAAAATACCAAGTTTCCCCTCTCCTAGAGGATGGCAATTACAAAACTTTGACTACTCAACCGCGGTGGACTACTACATGATAAAAGCTTTGCTAAGGTTCGAATCAATAGACCTGTATAAAACTTATACTACGAAAATACTACACAAAAGAAAGTGGCTCAGCCAGGCAGAAACAAGTGAACCAGAATAAAGAAAAAACTGCTTCAAGCGCATCTGTACGTATAGTAGTACTTTAGAAAGCACATCTACCGGCACGTAAAGAAATAAAAGAAAGCTATTGGAATCTCGATAATTGAACGAAGAAGCTTAGAAATTTCGACGAACGTCCAGAAATGAAGCAAAATCCCTTGTATTAGACCATGTCTCCGGAAACTGCTTTATTATTCTACCGATCTGGGCTGTCCAATCCGTTTCATTCAAATCCTCTTCATAGGTTTTTGGCTCTATAAACGAAAACACTTTCAAGTAACACCTCTGCTGTTCTGTACACTTCTATAGTTATACTCATGAATCTATAAACTGAACATAGGGATTGCCCTCCCCGGTGAAACAAGAAGCATCTTGCTCTACGTTTAGGTAGCTCATGGTTAAGTGAAGTGCGACTAGCCAAGCTTGGTTTAACAGACAAAGCACCTTTCTTATTGTACCTCCATAAGGATGTATTGTAGGTAGCAGCGCCGGACCGAGCTGTTGAGTGAACTCTTTGAATAACAGACTCGCGGGGCGCTTGCCTAGTAGTGAAAACCCTCAAAACAGCATATTTCATCAACTGCTTACCCAGATATCTGCGTATCCGCATAAGGGGAAAGCTATAGTAATCCTTCCCTTACTCAAGTACTTCCCATCTGCTGAATATAAAATATCCGTAAAGTGAACCTGTTCTTATTTGAATTCCAGGGTCTTTTTTTATTCGGAATGCCCGAGTAGTTGAAATTTGTGGGTAATAGCATATTACCATAAAGCATTTTGTAATGGATTAGCGACCAGCAGGCGCTGAAGTACTCGCTTCAAAGTCTTTCTTGGATATTTCTCTATTTAGTATCTCCCTTTAGATTCTTTGTGAATTGATTGTCCAGTCTCATCCTGAGGAAGGAAAGGAGAGTTTAAGGTCTAGTAAATCTGGATTTAAAGTGAAGAAGAACGCAAATCAAATTCTTGTTAAAGGTCCGATGTTTACGATTTGTTGTGGTTAATCTTCCCAATTGACTAAGTGCAAGTTAGAACATGGTAGCTTCTGATTCACGGCCAATGAGACGGAGCTTGCGAGCGGAACTCTTTTTGGCATCATTCGCAGTGAGAGAAGAGAGCATACGCAGTGAAGAAGGGAGCTTATATTTTAAAGTATATTAAAGGTATTATAAAATCAAGATTATCCCGACGTGAGCAATCACGCTGGAATAGAATAGATGACTTCTATGGCTTTCTTTGAAGAATTTTCGTCTCTTAATCCAGTTTTTCATACTTTATTATTTTATTGATCGGGAGGTTCGACGTAGTTGACCTTTCTTTTCACACTGTTGGGGGAACTCCCGTCTATCGATACGGGGTTACATATTCTTTTTATGGGAAAGCTTCTAGCTACCGAAAAGGATCCGAGCCATCTTCTAGAATAAAAGAACATCGAAGAAAGGTAGCACTGGAAGGGCGGAGTACTAAATCCTTTTTTTTTCTTTGTGCAAGTAATGATCGTGTCAGCATCTTTTGGTTAACTGATTCAGTTACCGATCAATCTGGCCCTAGGTTCCCTAGCTCCAACGCAGAAGGCCTCTCATTTCGTCCAGATCTTTGCGGCATCTCCAACTGCAAGCTCTGATGGACCAACCTACTACTTATGCATGCGATTTCAAGTCTTCATAAATGAGAAAGGTCGAGTCATTACACAAGCAAAGGATACCTATAACGAGAAAAAGGGCTTTTATTTTGCTAATCCCAAGGGGACTGCTTCCTAATGAAAGTCATTACTCTGCTAATCTTAAAAGAAAAGGGCTACTTCCTGATTCATTCCACATTTCACATTCCCCTGGGGTACCACCTTTGCTACTCGTAGATTGAAAAAATGCTGTCAGCTTCGCAGCCGGGCGCTTTCCCACTTCCTTTTTCGCTTTGCGCTTCACTACTAGTCCTAAGGCATCTTAAACACGAAAGACAAAGACGTTTATGCGCTTAGAACGTGGCGTGCTATTCTACATTTCGTGCCTATCGTATCTATCCCCTACTTCGGGAGACTAAGCAAAGATAACATATTGAAAGGATTGAACTTATCGAACGAGGCCTATTCAACTACAGGAATTTCTTCTGGTTCGCTACTTAGATTATTGGATTGGACCGAAACCGGCCCATTATAAAGTTGGGGGGTGAGCTACTTACTTACTTTACTTTCTTCCTTGTGGGAATGGCCGATTCACTACTCCCTCGAACTGTCTTATCACTTTCCTGGTTCACAACTAGCTCTATTTTCTCTTTCTCCTTTGGCTTTCAACACTAGAACAGTTCCTTCAAAGGAAAGAAGGCATTTTTTGATTCTTTCTTCGGGCAAAAAGTCGACGTGAGGCACCACGGTTGGATTCTCCAACTTTTGCAAATGAACCCCGTTCAAGTTCCATCCCAACTGTCTCATCTTGAGAAAGGGCAATATGGCAATATTTATTAGGTCAATCAGGCTTCGCGCCTTCCCTTCCCCGTGGTTTAATCGGAGTAACCGCGTAAGACATATTCTTTGGCAAAGCAAGCTCACTGCCTTAATTTAGGAGTGAAAGAGCCCGAACAGCTTTTATTGCACCAAGAGCGGGAACTCAGACAGCGTATGAGTGGCTCGGATCTAGCTAGACTGCTCGCTAGGCCCCTTGCCTCTCTTTAAGCATCAAAATAGGAGATCTTTGGGTCTCGGCTATCACTTTACTTTCCTTAGTTTCAAAGGATTGAAGAAGCTGACTCTCACAGCGGTTAGTGATTCAATCACACCGGATAGGGGAATTCTAAGAGCGTCAAGGCTTAGAGCTTCTTCTCAAGCTGCCTATTTTGTGCGTGGGTTAACTATTGATTCAATTGCGCAAAGAAGCCTAGTTGTCCTAAGAGCTGATTCGGGAACTGCTTCAATTCCAAGAGGAGCGCTTACTCTTGCAGCTTTTTCTTTCACAACTCTTTCTATCACAACCGATTTTTCCTCATACGGATCTAAGCTCTCGCAAGTGCCTTCCCTTCCTTCTTGCCTATTCGATAGGAGCTTGCATTCTCTGGGGGAGTTCTTTTATATTAAAGAATAGTTGGCATCAGTGTTATCAGTGCATCTATGAATCCAACCTTCCCTCACAGTGGGAAGGGATAAACGCCGATTCCTCCTTGCAATGGTTATTTCGGATTCTGTAAGAGCGAATTCTATGGTACAAAAAGGCTATGAAGATTGCCTTTACACCTTCAAGCTTGAAGGTTCGCTAAAGCAGTTCGGTGATTGCAAAGTACTCAATCAGGCCCTATCTCCTACGCTACCATCTGTCTTCTATTATAAAATGGATAGTTAGAGGGAATTAGAGATAAAAAGAACTCCTAAAAGAAAAGCACGCATGAGAAAGTATACGATAGCACCATCTCTTCCCACTACGCCTAAGAAGGAAAAGAAAGGAAAGGACAGACAGCAGGGAAGGAGATTCTTTGAAAGCCTACTACTCTTTGGCCCCTTGGCTAGCTTGCTTGCATGGAATGAATAGGCTTGCTGACTGGCTTACCTACTTGAACTATCCAGCATAAAGCAGAGATGCCATACTCTTCTTTCGTGCACTATGCTTAAGACATAGAATTCGAAGAAAGAAATAAAGACATTTGCAATTGGCTAGGACAGTTCCCTACACGGGCGAATTCCGACACTCACTGTACTCCCCACAGCTTTCGCCTACTGAGCTTGGGCTGGTAAGCTCCGGGGCCAGTCTCCTTCCCCTGTTATCCTCCCCCCGCTTCCTATAGTACTTTCCTTTGGCTTGGAAGGCAGCCACTTATTATGGAATGACATATATAATGATGATGGTAGCTATCTGCCTAGCCTCTGGTACATCTTATATGAAGATTAATGGCCGTCCTTAACAGATGACTTACATTGTAGAGAAAGGTTTATCTAACTAGTGTGGGAGTTTGGCTGACCACCCTGCTTTCTGACGCTTTCTCGACGGTAGGCACCCAACGTCGCCAAACAAATTAGCCTCTCCTTCTTCCTCAATAGCTGCCTTAGTTTAGTCTTTGGTTGGTGTGCGACTATGAGCTTCTGGGCCTGTACGATTTCCTGTCCGAAAAGGCAATCCTCTACAGGAAGGGCCAATGGCTACGTCCCGCCGGTTCGTCTACCCGGACACCGTGCACTCCCGCAGCATCCCATAATTACATATTATGGTTGAGTCTAAACTCTTGCGCTCACTTAGCTAGGGCTTAGTCTCGACGGGAACCTCCCATCTTGGGTAAGGGGCGATGGAGTGAGCCCTACTAGTCTCACTCTCCCCCTACGCTTTTGTGGGCTTCGGGAGCTCTGTCTTCTCCCCTTTCCTTTTGCTTTGGCTTTTTGCCTTATCTCGTGCAAATGAAATAATAGGAGAAAAGAGTTTTACATCTCTCTCTCTTTCTCTCTGATTTTTCCATTGCCAAAATACCCTTGCTCTTCAATTGTCGTAGGTAACGTTCGAAATCACCGATGTCGAGTTCAAGCGGAGTAGCTTACGGACCTCGGAACCTCGCTGTTCTGGGTTCATAAGTGACTCTAGAACGCTATGTTCCGCGGCTAGCCGGCTAGCTTCCCTTCCAGGCGGTAGCCATTCCGTCGGAGGTAGGACGTATTTCGAAAGGCCTAGAACAAGGAGAATTCTAAGGCCCCTAGAATCGCATCAGTACAAGAAGGCGGACGTTGATGGCTGTGTACGTCAGATGGCGATCCCCTATCTGCCCGGAAGAAGATTACTATAATCAGTAAGGAAAAGAGGTTCATAAGGTTTGCCACTAGGGGAGAGAGCTACTACTTCACTTTCTTGATTTGAGACCCAGATCATAGAGGAAAATGGGCTGTTTGACGGAAGGCATAGCGCTAGTCCTCTTACGGATAGATGGGACTAGGACCGATATCATGCTATTCTAGAGATAGATAGGCGAACAACGACAAGGAAATCCCAAGCTATGAATGTTCTAATGTTTGCGTCTTTGAAGCTTGTTCCTTTCCCACCCACCCTCCATCTTTACTTCTTTGAGTGTGAAGCACATGTTGGCATTCCAAGCTCCTTAAAACTCTATGACCTACTAAATCTTTCTTCCTTCTAATTCTCGTCCTGCTTTTTCAGTTCTTAAACGAATGAGATCGTGGGAGCTGTGAATATAGAATTCGTTTTCTTCTTTAACTCTTTATCTTATAGTTCACCTTAAATTAAAGCACTTCCAGTAAAATAAGGAAGACTCACTTGGGCTCTTATAATCATTGCAGGGTTCGCTCGAGTAGAATCATATCCAATCTTCCTGCTAAGCCAATCCCCAGTACAAGCAACTAAATCCAGTTCATTCCCAAGGAAAAGGGCTAACTGAATTCCCCTTCTCGAGTGAGAGTTCGGTCCGCAAGCTTCATGCTTCCTTCATGCCCTACCTTCACGCTCTACTTACTTAATGCTTTCCTTACTTCTCTTCTTTCCTTCGCTCCCCGGGTCATTTGTTTGATTTTCCCGTCTTTTTCGTCTAAAGTCATCTTTCACTCGGAAACGGACATGGAAATTTTGCATTTTCGCGTTTTATCGGTATTTTCGTCCTAAACTGCTAACAGATAGGAAAGAAAGATTCTTACCACTTAACTTTGACGCTGCTTCAAGGCAACTGATGAAGTTCCCCGTTAAGGGCTGAGGGTGAAAGCGTAATGAAATTCATCCTATAATAGAAATATCTATATCAGAAGGAAGCACCGATAAGAGTGAGCAGGGAAGAGCTGGAATGTCGGTCTTTGGCTAGAGATGCGCCTTTCTTCTATTCTTTGATTATCAATCCTTCTTTCTTGCTGTCTGCCCATTCCTTCCAGGCAAGCATAAAAGTAAAGGCAGGAAGGCGTAGGAATAGCAGACGAAAGGGAAGAGAGACCGAAGCTAGGCTAACTTCATCGTTCCCCTTTTGTTCAAGGTGCGGATTACGGTTTCTTCCTTCCCAACGCTATCCGCCCATGCAAGAGCGACAGCTGCTTTGTAGTCAAGAGGAGCAGATCCATGCTATTCCCTTGTTTAAGTTTAAGCAAGAGTCTATTTTGTTTTCCTCCGGTTAGCGAAGTTCCCCAGACTAGGGTTCTACCATGACGAAGAAATGCATTTTTAAAAAGAAAGAGATAGGTTCGTGCGTGCAGCCGTATACGAAAGTACGCTTCCTCTTCTTTCGAATGCTAATGTGTGGTTTTGTCCTACTTCCAAAGTCACAGAGGGAGCTGGAGCCGATTTTTTGTTTGACTACCTTCAATCGACGGATGGTGCTAAAGGAGTTGGGAGAAGAGTCCACCTATAGTTATAGTAGTTAGAAGCCCAGCTTCAATCGTCAGCAGGTGAGTCAGCAAAGTTCTCTAGGAAGTCAGCCCATTGCTTTGACTTTTAGCTGCCACTGCTTCATCGCATCGGATGTTGCCCTTGAATTTCTTTCTGTAGCCGCATCGGAGGATGTAATAGCAAAGTATGCCACCGCTCCTTCGGAGGTCTCCTCCCCCCTTTTGGACCTATAGATTGGTACCACACGAGACCGGACCCGTAGCCTGAGGTACCCATATGCAACGAAGACTTTGAATCGGATACTTATTCTAAGATCTTTCTTCCACTGCCAATAGTACGAAAAAGAGTCTGAGTAATAGCTTCAACAAAGCTCCGTTCCTTCACTGAAGTCTTTGTCTAGAACTAACTAGAAAAGTGAGCCCGGTCTGACTCAATCGTCTTCCGACTTGGGAAGAAGTGCCCCCGAAGCACTCCATTCATCTGGTGATGAAGAATCTCCTATCGCTTCATCTTCCGCTGCCCTTTCATTCTCTTCAGTTGTCTTCCTTCTTCCGTGTGGAGGAATGCCGATAGAACTGTGGATACCTCAGCTTTGGGAGAGACCTCCGTTTTGGTCTTCCTAGAAAGTGAGGAGGCGCCAGCCGCTGGTCTGGACTTTCTTTCTATTTAAAATCAGAAAGTCTTTTCAATAAAGCCTTCGTGAACTCAATCAAAAGAGCAAACAAGCTTCATGTTCTCCTGCTCGGAGAATGCTAAAACAGCGTATATTGAGACAAGAGCTTATTCTATCAAAGAGCGTATTCTCGGCATCAATACACTAACTCCTGGCAAGATCCGATCGGAAATAGCCAATTAGAAGAGTGGCTTAAAAGTTCCTTATCCCTTTGTTGATGAATCGCATCTCCCCCCTTCCTTTCTTCTCTCCAAAACAAAGTCTTCGAAGTTGGTTGGGGGAGTCACTTCGCTCGCCTTCGGGTTAGTTAAGAGTTCTTGCTTCCTCCTTTGCTGCTTTGCTACCTTGCTAATGCTAAGAAGTGAAGTTCTATGGTTACTGTCCTAGGTGGGGATTAGAGACTCAATTCCTTCTATTGCCCAGCTGAGAGAATGGAGTTAATCTTATTGTAAGTTCCCCCCCTTAGAATCCCCAGTGGTGAAATACGAGCTGGATTGAAAACCTCGCTCACGCGGGATGTTTCCGAGCTAGATTGCAAAACCAGGGGGTCTTTCTCAAATCAATACTCTGGGCAGGAAACCCATAGTTTGTTTGGGTTCGATAAATCCCTTATTGGATCCAGTTTAAGAGGGGCGTAGCGTGGGATAACCAATCTCAAGATTCCCTCTATTCCTTTGTCATAAGACTGTATATTACCTACGGCGATAGGCCCATCTCTTCCTTATAAGAACTAGATCCGCCAGAAAGAATGGAATCCTTTTAGGCATTCGGCAGAGCTAACTGACGAGAAGAAAAAGAAAAAAGAGATAACTGAATGCACTTCTGATTGATATGAACCAATCCCCTTATAGAAGATAAAGTTCGATCCGCTTGAATCGATCTAAGCACCAACCCAATCTCGATGAGAATCAGTACACGTAACTCGATCAATCCACGAAAGTGTGGCACTTCTCCACCCGCAGCTTTATTCTCTTATGATTTTTTTTTTGAGTGACCTTGCAAACAATGGTTATTTCAAACACCGTAGACTGTCACACCAACAAAGACCAAGAGCGTCTTCTCTGTGCTTGGAATTAGTACTAAGAGCGGCTATGAGTAGGAGCTTGAAGCCTACCCGCAGTTGATGGTCTTGTTGGAATATGCGCTGTTCTCGACTCCGATGCTATTTCATCCGTTTTCGATTGTTTAAGTCCTTACCGGGCGAAAGGCATAAAAGAATGAATACCAGGCGCAAGCTCAAGGCGAGACAAAACAGAGAGTACAGTAAGCGATCGAAAGCTGGATTCACAGGCAAACCAGACTGACTTACCACAGACAGTAGGGCAGAGAATTTCTTTTAAAAAAGGAAGAAAGAATCAAATCCGAAGAATAGCGTAGTATAGATGTGTCCTTGGGAATAAAATTTCCTTCTTCTCTTGGTTCTCATTGGCATAAGGCTCTAGTTCGACTAGCTTGAAGGTGGGCAATTTTGCTTAGCAGTAGGAATTTGATATAGAGCTGCAAAAGCTTGACTTGGCTAGAGGAGTTCACACCCGGTTTAATTTGATATGGATAGAAACCCCTGTAGTTCAGTAAGCCGAGGGCAAGAGTCATTCATGGCATGCTTTTTCCAGGTCCTATCGAACAACGAGAGATGGACTTACCAGGTATGACAGTCGCTAGGCTTGGTCTTCTTTGTATCCAGAGTCAGTCTACCCGGGGAAGCTCTAAAAGAAGCTTCGAGGAGCCTTGCCAATTAACGATTGGAGAGATGGGAATAAGAATTGTGTATTGTATTAAAAAGAGAAAGAGATTCGGATGAAAGTGCTCCCAAGGGGGAATCACGCCTTTTTTTTTCTAGTTCAAATAGCCCGAGTCTGACTCATCTCCCGGGGGAGAAGGGAAAGCAGGAGCGGTAGAAGAATAAGTAAAGGGAGTTTTTGCTCCCGTTAAAGGAAGTGATCTGACTCTTTCAGAAAGACGGAACTCCGAGTGAACAAAACAAAGAACCAGACTGAGACTGACTTACATTCCTTCAGTAGGGGATAAAAAGTTGATTAGCTTTCGTTAACAGAGATGAAAAGCATAAAATCCGAATCTGAGATCTTGAGAGATCGAATCATAGCTATGTAAAGTAGCCCTGGGCTGAGACGTGACCTCTTCTCCTCGTTTTCATTGGGTCACTCACTCGCCTACAGGTGAGAGAAGAAAGAAGAATTCACTGCTTCTGAAACCATAGCTATTCTTGTTCCCACGAAAGCAAGAGTGAAGAGTCGACGTTCACCACAGAAAGCATAGTCACAAGGGCAAGCGAACCACAGATACCATTTCACAAGAGCTGAGCTGATAGAATAGTGATTTTTTTCTTTTGAGTTTGGATGATTCCCAGATCTTTTTTCTTATATCCGAAATATTCTGCTTGTACTCTAGATTGCCTTTTTGTTCGAAATCGAGATCTT